CTGAGTATAGCCAGAGAAGGAAGCAGGATCCAATTGGTGAACAGACTTCAAAATCCTAAATGACAATGTACCATTTTGCATTAAGGAGCTAATCCAGTGTCCACTGATGTAAAAGGTCTTTTTAATTGATGTCAGCTAGTGTTAGATCGGACCTTAAATGTCATGTAATTTCAAAACAATGGAAGATATCATGAGTTCATCTGCCCCTGCTACTGGCCAAATCCCCATTTCAAACCATGCGAGTCAGGTACTCTGAGTTCTAATGATAATGTAGTATTTTTCAAGAACCACCCATTTCCAGATAGATGTACTTGAACAGAAGTATGTTCATCAGCTGGGTGCGCTCAGAGCGCCTTTTAATGCTGGCTACTATATTTCCCCAGATCTTTGCTTCTCTGCAGTCATGTGCAGCTCTCTGGTACATGGGGACGTCACAGACTAATGGAGAGCATTTTTATGAGAGCCCCACATTAGCAGCATGCTGCTGACTATGCAGAGGAAGAAAATCCTTGAATCTGGGATTTGTTTCCTTGCAGAGGGAGCATACAAGCTCATTAGAAATGGGTGTGTGACGGGTTCCCCCTGGGCTGCCACTGAACCAGCCTGACTCACCAGCCTGGGCTCCTTTTACACTGTAGTGCTGTGACAGACCCTCAAGCCCCCTCCAGACACACACAGGTAGGGACACACCCAGCTGCAGCTACGCACAGATGCTGAGATCAGCTCTGCATGGGAAGGCTCAGCTAAGGCACCTCCCAGTTCCTAAGGCACGCACCCCACTCTGGAGTGTAAACCCAAAATTATACCGTCTTGCGCTGCACAGAGAACTGTACAGCATAAGCTCATGAAATTCACCCCATACCTCAATGTGGAGGAAAATATGCAACAGCTTTTTGCCCCCCAGTTATGATGTCCACACACCTGGTTTTAAACAAAAACAAGTTTATTAACTAAAAAAGTTGGATTTTAAGGGATTATAAATGATTACCTAGTAAATAAATAAAAACTGCAAACTGATCTTAACACACTAGACAGGTAGGAGATGACTTGGCAAATTCTCACCCTGACTGATAAACAGGCTGGCAGATTCTTAAGGCACGAGCTGCCTTGGCTTTGCAGCTTGGCTTTCCCAGGTTTTCATACATGGCCTAGAAATCCGTTAGCCTGGGACCATCACTTATCCCTGTTCTTTGTTCCTCAGGTGTTTCCAGGTGTGTTGTTGTAGGGAGAGTGCGGTCCCCCATGCTGTCCTTTTCCACCTTTTATATCTTCTCCCCACATGCCTGAAAGGTCTTTTGCTGCGACCTGGGTCAAACAGTTCCCATTGTGCAGTGCGATCTCTGAGAGGTTTCTATTGTACACAGTTCCTGGGTAATCCTGGTGCTTGTGTGCATTTCCTCCATGAGCCATTCATATTGTTTGACCTTTTTACTGTTGTACCTGAAAGGATCCTTGGGGGTGTTCTTCAACCTCACCACGTTTCAGTAAGACGTACATAGCTAAACTTCAAAGACGACAGTAGCACCTACAATCCAGTGAGATATTAATGTCTAGCAGATCAAGACTTTTACAATGATACCTCACAAGGCATCCTTTGTACAAAACATATCCTAATGACATGAGTGGTGAATATTGGAATGCCAGGGTGTCACAAGGTGGATCTTAAGTTTGTTTCCCCAACTACTGCCAAGTTTGAGGCTAAAGGTTGATAACTCGTGCTGTATCCAAAGAAGTTGAAACAGGCTCATTGTTACCTGTCTGTCCTGATGTGCTTGTTTGCATGTCAGCAACCAGAATTCATTCACAAGGCTATTTCACAGCCGTACTAGAGTCTGAGCTCTGGAGAGGTTGGAGGTTTGACTTGTATCTGCATGGAGTTCTTGTTCTGTAGGATTGATAAGTCAGAAATGTAAAAGGCGTTTACCATTTCTGCTCTTACTACCTTCATTGTTTATTCTTTGGCAAATGCAATAATCTATAAACGGTGTGGCCGTAAGCCGTTCTCAGTATTGACCAGGGCCAACTCTACATTATAGCCAGGACAGATGGTTGACAGGGCGAGAAGTATTTTAGTGACTGCTTGATTGTTCAAGTGAGTAATTTTGAGGAGTGGACACTTTTTTTTCCTTTTGCTTAGGAAGAAAAAGCCCAGGGGCAGGGCCCTGTCCATAATTGGTCATAGTAAAACTCCAGACACTGAAACACCTTTGGGGTAGACAGACTATAAAACCTAGTAATTATAGCAAATCCAGGATTTATGGCTCTTCTCACACACATGCACAGTCACACACCTGTTCTAGTAAAGCCATAGGCAGCATTTCCATTGTCCCTTGAGGCAAATAAAGACCAGCTGAGCTTGTTTTTGTGCTGCCTTCATAGTCCACAGAGCTACAGAAGATGCAGCTCTCATATATCCACCCACCCAGATGATGTATCGGACATTAAATTGACCTTCCCAGCTTTAAAGTTTGTGGCCTGGGCAGAAAGCAAGATTGTCTCCTACGGGAGAAACATTGATCTGAACAGAAGGTTAGTCTCGCTGCTGGCTGAAAATTTTCCAGTGGAACAGTTCTGTTGGGAAAATGTTGATTCACTGAAATCAAAATGTTTCACAGGAGCGTGTGGATTTCAATGAAATTTTGCTTTGGAAAAACAATTGAAATTAAGATTTCATTTTTACATTTGAAAATAACACTTCATTTCAAATTGTTATTTATTATATAATTATAACAGGAAAAAGGTCAAGATCTGAATGAAGTGTTTCAATTTCTTCACAATGGAACATATGGATTGACCCAAAATGAATGTTCTTTAAAAAAAAAAAAAAAAAAGTGTGTGGGAAATTTTGGAATTTTTTGGTTTTGTTGTGATTTGGAACAAAACCAGATTCTGAAATCATGGAAATTTCCTGTGAAATGGAGATTCCAGTTCCTGCACAGCTAGAGTTAAGTAGGCTATGGCTCTTTGAGCCATTTCACTCTGCATCGCCGCAACAGCCTGCAATATAAACACTGCAGATTACTTTATTAGTACCCAGTTGTGCCAAGTGCTACAGAACCTCAGTTGCCAGTGAAGTCTCCAGCAGGATCAGACCCTCATGTCTCAAGCACTAACCATTTCTGTACACTCTATCAGTCATTCTGATGCTCACAGTATCCTCCTTCACCCTGGCCTGTCAAATCTGTACTACGGGGCCTGATTCTGATTTCACTTATGGTGATGTAACTTGAAGTCAAGGGGTGCCGCTAAGTTACACCAGCCTAAGTGAGGTCAGAATCAGGCCCCCACTGATATAATCTAGATGCATGGTAATAATGCATATGGATTGCACTACAATATGTCCTGTGTAACCTACATAGATTGTAACATATAGTTATCTGCCATTGGCATAAACAGACAGTAAATCAGCTGTGCAGAATGCTGCGGTGTAATTTAGTTTTTTACAGTATTGTACTATTGCACCTCCCTTGGTGGGCCATTATCACCCTGAAGGACTCTGCCTATTAAAGCCTCCTGGCCTCGGCAGAGAGATTGGAATGTTTTGCCAGCTGAGTGAACTCACTGACTGGCCAACACCGATAAATAATAATTATCTGACTTTCCCTATGATTGACGGCTTTGTACAAAATTCATGGATAACCTCAGCTGGTGTTTGTGAAATGTCGGGATCCTCTGCCGAAGGCACGAGAGAAGCACTGAGTACTGCAGGGTCACTACTGAAGTATCAATGCTCAGGCTATGGCTACGGCTTCACTACAGAGCCTGTGTCGGCACAGCCCCCTAAGTAAGCGCAGTGTGTGCTGACAGGAGTTTTCCTGCTGGTATAGGAATAGCACCTCCCCAACAACACTAGCTAGGTCAGCAGAAGCACTGTTCTGTTGGCATATTTATGTCTACACCGGGGGCTTTGTCAGCAGCGACATCAGCCAGGGGTGTGGTGTTTTCACATCCCTGACCAACAGAGCTACATTGGTATAAGTTTGAAGTGAAGACCAGACTGCACTATGCTGTGCCGTTGCCTAGACTAAGACCTGGTATAGACTTAAAAATTGGATCAACCTAGCTACATCACTCAGGGCTGTGATAAATTGCATGCTCTGGGCCTGGTCTGTGCTAAAAAAGTTACGTTGACTCAGCTACATTGCTTGGGTGTGAAAAATCCACATCCCTGAACAATGTAGTTAAGCCAATTCTTCCATCAACCTAACCTACCACCTCTGGGGGAGGTGGGTTAACTGCATAGATGGAAACCCCCCTTCCGTCGCTGTAGGAAGTGTCTGCACTACGGCACTCCAGCAGCATGGTTACAATGTACACATACCTAAGTACAGAATATGTCTTAGTAGATGAAAATCCTGTGGCATAGCTTGTAAACTCTGAGGAAGCAACTGTCTTTTTATTTCCTGTGTGTGTACAGCACCGAGCAAAGGGGGGCTCTGGTCCCCAGTCAGAGCTGATAGACCCTGGGTCGTCAGTGGGCGGGGTCAAACCGGGGACCTCTGGAGCGTAGTGCATGAGCCTCTATAGCATGAGCTAAAAGCCAACTGGCTGTTAAGCAGACTCATTCTCTCTCTAAGTGGTCTTGGTGCCTGTCAGGGTTCCCTCCCCACTCTGAATTCTAGGGTAGAGATGTGGGGACCTGCATGAAAGACCCCCTAAGCTTGTTTATAGCAGCTTAGGTTAAAACTTCCCCAAGGCACAAATTCTTTGCCCTTGGAGGGTATGCTGCCACCACCAAGTGATTTAACAAAGAATCAGGGAAAGGACCACTTGGAGTTCCTATTCCCCCAAAATATCCCCCCAAGCCCTTACACCCACTTTCCTGGGGAGGCTTGAGAATAATATCCTAACCAATTCATTACAAAGTGATCACAGATCCAAACCCTTAGGTCTTAGGACAATAGAGAAATCAGTCAGTCAGGTTCTTTAAAAGAAGAATTTTATTTAAAAAAAAAAAGAGAGATAAAAATCACCTCTGTAAAATCAGGATGGAAAATAACTTTACAAGGTAACAAAAGATTCAAAAACACAACAGAATTTCCTCTAGGCTTAGTTTCAAAGTTACAAAAAACAGGAATAAACCTCCCTCCAGCAAAGGAAAAATTCACAAGCAAAACAAAAGATAATCTAACATGACTTGCCTGGCTTTTACTTACAATTTTTGTAATATGAGAGACTTTTAGGATGGTTTATAGCAGAAGGAGTTTTCTGACCTGATTCTTCTCTGCTTCCCAAGAGAAATCACCAAAACAAAACCTCCCACCCAGATTTGAAAGTATCTTCTTTCCCCATTGGTCCTCTTGGTCAGGTGCCAACCAGGTTATTTGAGCTTCTTAACCCCTTACAGGTAAGGAGGAATTCTAGGCTATCCTTAGCTGTATGGTTATGACAGTGCCACTAGATGGGACACAACACCACACCCAGGAGGTGTGTGGGTTACATCCCACTGATCGGCGCTGAGGACATGCAGCCACTGACGTGACTGGACCACTAGCCTGGAAAGGGAGAGGTTCCTTCTCTCACATTAATAGTCTGCACTCTAGTCAGTCAATATGTTCCTGTGTCTGTGTATGTCTGGAGTGTGACTGCAGGGAACATTTGTGTTTTGGGTCTTTAAGATCTGCTCTGTTCCCTCTAGTTGTGTTTCCACAACACAATCAGTGTCTTTACTGTGCAGTAGGTCTTGGAATCCTGAAATGGTAGGTTAATCTCTGTGAAAACTCTGCAGATCCAGTTTAAGCTACAGAGACAGTCTCTTGATAGAGTTAGTATACAAGCTATGTGGTTTTTTTTTTTTGTTAAATGCCACTTCTTGGATTGTTCACTTCCTGATCCTCCGTCATGTTGGCAAAATAATTTTGAGGATTAAATCCAGGATTAGCCAAGTAATCATCTACCGAGATATCAGCATAAGAACTGTGGGAATTTGGATTGGGGAGCTCATGTCTGTGTGAATCAGAGGTGAGACTGAAGTAGGGTAGAGATTTTTATCTCCCTCCATACACAAAATAGTTGAAAGAGATGTGTAGATAAGTCTGCTAATTATTTTGATGGTCTTTCCTGCTAAAAATGCCCTTATCATAACCTAGATGCAGAGGGAGTGGGGGTTCTCCAAGCATGAACTGTTCCCTAATATACTTACTACTATTTTAAATATTAGAAATTACTCTCCCTGTAAGACTTCAGAACCCTACCCCCCCTCACAAGTTACTTGATGTCTTCATTAACCTCTTTAGAAAATATTCCTATTATTAGGTCTCTCTGTACCAGCTGTGGTTCTGCACCCCACTTGGAGTGAAATCCAAAATCAGGAAACAAGCAAGTCATGATGGGAAGCAATAAAAAGGAAGATATTCTTTCTAACTGTGACAACATGAATAAGTAATGGGAAACAACAGGACTAAGTGACAGCTAAATGGCAGAAACCAAGTCATGGAGTCAATATGGCCCCGTTGTCCTCCAAACAACATAGATGTATGGTGTCTGGATGCAACACATGCATGTTTCATGTGTATTATGTAAATAGGAGGTCCCAGTTAATTTCTAACTTCTGAACATAATAAACAACATCCTTGTATCTGGGCTTGTTCCTTCCTTTCTGAGCTAGAAGGGATCACACTGCCAGCTCATCTAAATGAGGCCTAAAGATACTGTCAGGTGCCTACCTCCACCTGGTGAAGTTCTATAACTAGCAAATCACAGACTAAGTGTTTATGCCATGTTTTGTGTGTTGCATAATCAGGGCTATTGACACGATCCATCTGATGCTCACTAATGGCAGCAGAAGAGGACAGGCTGTGCCGTGTGGGAGGAGGAAGTGATCCATCTAAATACACTGATGGTGTTTATTATAGATGATCCCAGCCCTTTAAAATACCTCCTGGGCTGCAGCGTGAGTTCCACTGCATAACACTGAGTTCTTGACTTAAAGAGGAAAATAAGACTCCCTTACTGCAGGATGGGAAGAGTCTTAAAGGGGCAGGACTGTAGTTAGACTTCTAGTCATGTCTCTTCTTCCTCTTTCTGTTCTGGGTATATTTCCTTTATGCTCATCTGTGCTGCTGAACATACCAGGTATAGCACTTCCAACCCCACTGTGTCCAATGAAAAGTTAATGGATGGTCTCTAATACAGAAGGTACAGCAGAAAACCAGCAGCAAAACGGCTAATGTGAAATAAACTTGGACCAAATGACAAAAAGCCCTGAGAGAAAGGGGCAGTAGATACTGCCCCACCCTGGTGTCTTGGGGAGTATGTGTGGGAGATATAGGGTCACCTGTGAAGAGAGGTTCTGTGTCTCCTGGCTTCCTGATGCTCCCCTTGGTTCCCCTGTCAACCCTGGCTTTCTCTGCAGTGGTTGCTGGCGCCAAGCCCCATTGAAGCAGAGCTTCCTTCTACATGCAGATCAGCTTAGCTCCTTGGTAATGAGGAGAAATCAACACTTTTACTTATAAAACTCCTAGGGAACATGAATGTATAATATGAAATTACTTGAGTGGATATAAGACAGGGATCCAAGTAACCAGATCCTGTGATGCAGTCAACAGCACGGGGCAGAGATCCCTCTCTTTCTGATTAAACTCTGTGCTGTTCTCTACAAACTGTACCGTGGGAACTGATTTCCACTGGGTTGGGAGCAGAGGGAGAGATTTATATGGAAGTTTTAATTCCAGTCTTAGACAAGAAAAAGTCTTGTGTGTTTATTGCTTGTTTTGTATATTTATTAAAACTATTACCAAAAAAATAGGATCAGCTGGAAAAATGTTGACAAACTTACACACACTGACAGGAAAACCCCCCGACCCTGAGGCCCAGCTTTATAAAGGAATTTAGGGGTTGCTACACTCAGTGTTGTAATGCCTAAGTCTCATTTCCCAAAGGGATTTAAGTACTTAGGAGCCACAATTGCATTAACAATGGATGGGATTTAGACTTTTAAGTGCCTAAATTACTTTTGAAAATGTGTAGGCTCCTAAATCAGTCAGGCAGTGCAACACTGAGCACAGCAATGCCCAATGCTTTAAAAAATCTGGGTCTGAGCTGACATGAGTTCAGGGCAGTTGTAGGTGCATGGTATCTCTCAGGATTTGGCCCATAACGAGGATAATACACTATCAGCCATCTTTTCTGTGTTCACAAGGTCTTATTCTATACTCTACAAAGAAGTTCTTTGAAGAAAGCCATCACTCTTAGAGTTCTACAAAAGCAGAAATGTTTCTGCAGTGATCACATCTTTGCATGTACAAACTAAAGTGATCTCTGAAGTCTCTTGCACAAGCTCCTTACGTTCTGAGATCTAATAATGAGTTACCAGCCTGAGCAATCCTCAGTGATTCTTCGCAAGGTTTAGCTTGGATTCTTCATTTGATGGGAGTTCATGTGCACACAACTCTGGCTATGAAGAGGACTCTGTAAGATTCTTTAATGTCTCCTTTTAAGGTCAGTACAGCTGCCACCATCAAAGGGTGATCTGGCTACAAACAAAGAATATGTAAGTATAAGCAGTCCTCTTCATCTGGCAGCTAGAGCCAAAAGTCTGATCAGATTTTGTAAATTATGCCTTTTAATATCTTGAAGTTATCAGATGTGCCAGTTATGGTTATAGAGAATCTCTCTTAATAACTGCGCTAATCTAATGAAAGCTGGGAACAACAGGGTACTCCTTCCCTAGTGGGGAGCATGGCATCATCAGGTTACAGCCATGACAACGAGCAGGGTGTGGGTGTTGCATACTGTGCTGTACTGTGGGTTTGGGAAAGAAATGGAGATCCTTTATCCATGAGTTGTGTAAGAGCCAGCTCTGGTCACCAGGAAACCCTGAGTCAATATCAGGGCCTCATACCATGAACTCTAGTTCCTTTTGTACAGAATGACAGCAGCCTTCTAATTTTGGAAGATGCTAGTCATCCTGCCACCCCGACAGGGATCCCTGCAGAGAGAGGAAACTGAGAGAACGAATAAGAAACACGTGAGGATGAGGCATGGAGGAAAATCTCAGCTTGTAGGGACAGTGTCTTGAACATATACCAAGGCCCTGTAGAAGGAACCAAAGCAAACCCTGGTACCTATGGTGGGTCACAAAACAAACTCAAATAAGTAGTGAACTCCACAAGAATTAACGGGTTTTGTTTGCAGTAAGGGAGATTTAGATTGAATATTACCAAAAAAATTGCTAACTCTAAGGATAATTAAGCACTAGTACAAGTTTCTAGGGAGGCTGTGGAGTCCCCGTCATTGAAGGATTTTAAGAATAGGTTGGACAAACACCTGTCAGTGATGGCCTAGGTATACTTGGTCCTGCCTCAGCATGGGGGGATGGGTGAGATGGCCTCATGGGGGGATGGGTGAGATGGCCCTGCATTTCTACGATTCCATGAAAGAGACAGGAATCCAGGGCTACCACAGCCTGGGTACTGCAGCAACATGCGTTTAAATTTGTCTGTGATTTCATATGATTGGGGCAGCAGAAAATCTTTTCTTTGTTGAAATCTAGCATGAGAGTGCTTATCAAATGACTCCCACCTAAGCAATCTGACCAAAGCAGTGACTTTAATTTAATTTAATACTAATAAACTTTTGCTGAAAGGTGCTATGTAAGTGCAAAGATCTTAATGCCTCATATAAGGTATGTGTGATTATGCCCCTCATTCTCATCTCATAGATGGATCAATTGAGGCACAGAATTTATGTAGCAAGCTCCCAAGGTGACACAGCCAGTCCCTGGCTTCTATTCTCTAACACTAGACCCTGTATCCTGTTTTCATGCAAATCAGACACTAAGTGAAGCAGGTCTATTGTTATAACTTCTATCTAAAGTGAGCTGCACTGACGATGACTCGAAGACTTGCTTCTGAGCTGATCCTGAAAGCTAGTGAGACTGTGCTCTGTTCCCTCTAGTATACAATAATTTCCATAAACAATATGCTTTGGAAATGTTAACGTACATCAAAGTCAGCAGGTGGCATCCAAGAAACACTGATGCATTTGATTTGACCACGATCAACTGTTCCTTTAACAGGCTCGATGGTAAATCCCTTCTGTTGCAGGAGTAGTAGGTTATCCAAACTGAACTCTACGTTCTGCAGCAACAACAAGCAGTTAGTGAAGTAGAACACACGCTGTTAGTTACAGCCAGCTCAGCTTCTGGGTACAAAAGACCTTAGCTTACAGGCTACCTCACCCTAATCTGTAGAACTGTGCCTCCCACCTGCCAAACCTCTTGTACCTTTGCTCCTGAGACATGAAAACAAGCAGTGAATTTAATGTGCTTGGTTGTAATGAAGCACACTCTGGCTAAAAGGAGAGTGTCTAGAGATTTTTCATGAAATTAAACTAACTTGTTGTCTTGAAGTCTCATTTGCGGGGACCACAGTCTGTTTCATTGTCAACAAACCAACCCTGAAAGCTGTAGCTAAGTGTAAGTTCAGAAGGTTGTTTTTATAAACAGTTGCCCGTAACACTTTGTTGTTAATGTGAAAGCTGCTAATTTGGTCCATAGTCACACTTTTATTATGGATTTAAGAATTAGGGGAGCAATGTATTCAACTAATTGTATTATCTTCTTCTAATACCCTCCTGCTGATTCCTCGTCTCCCCTTGAAAAATAAACGTCCATCCTTTCAAACAATACTAGTGCTTTTATAATATGGTGTCAGGCTTAATGGAGATCCAGAAAGTCATTTAACGTGGGAATCTCTGCTGGCTCTGGATTCTCGAGAGCAGTTGGTAGCCATTTGCAAGTGCTGACTCAATTTCTGAGCTGAGTGCATTTTTCATTTTGTTTACCTTCTTCGATGCAAACTGAGCTGTCCGTATAGCCCCGATTTTCAGCTCCCTCACTGCCGGAGTCCCAGAGCTCTCTGCCTGGATGTACTCCAGGCTCAGGAGGAGAGGCTTTGCTGGTTCTTCCAGCTCTAAACAGACATGGATCAAGTTAACTTTGGAACAGCCAATGAATGTTGGTCCCAAGTCAGGCATAAATGACTTATTGATCAGTTGGTCGAAGATGGTGTAAATTATGCCAGAAAGCACCAGCAGAGAGAGTGGTAGTAGGAAAGTCCACCAACAAGAGTGTCTGAACAGTTCCTACCACACTTTGACTTACATACCAACGGGTTGGAAGGAAGAGTGAATTTAAAGAAGGGTAAGGTCTTGTTAAATTGTGTCGTCTTACACAATCCTTGCTTTTTCTGTTTCATCCTTCTATTCAGGCCCCTTAGCGTGTAAGTTACACTCACTTATATTCCTTTGCATCTTTAAATGGGTGTAGTTTACATATCTCCTTTGAATTTAAACCCATATCTTACATTCAACCCTCCCATTTAGTTTCTGTATTAGCAACTCCTTAGGTCTTAGTCTCTGATCAGAGCAATGCTGAGTGTGCATATATGTGAGAATTTTATAAGCATTTTAAAGTAAACCTTCACTTGCCATTTACAGAAATGCAGCTAAAATACATTTCTGTGCTGTACTGTTAGTTTATCCTTTTTCACATACTAAACTGAAAAACTGTCTAATCCACATGAGGTAAAGCCCGTCATTCATGTGGATGAGAAATTCTACTGTATTAGATTTAGAGAAAATTCTTCTCCCGATAACAAGTTTTTCTGCCATTTTTATATTGAGTCAAACCCCATCCATAATATTCTGCCCTTTGGCATTTGACTCTGGTACCCACATGCTGGAGGTGCGATCTCCTGTGAACTTTTTTTTAACACAAATGGAGACAGATAAATCTATGTTGATAGCACTCTCCCACATTAGAATAAAAATAGAAAAGGCAGGTTGTTACCTCCTTTTGCTGCTTCTTCAGACATGGGTGATGTTATAGCCAAAGACTCCACGGGCACATCCAAGGGATCCCCTCCTTCCACAAACATCATATGGTTTCTTGCAGCACCCTTCAGCCAGATCACACGAGCTATTTCCTATGTAGGACAAGAATTCTGCAGATGCAGGTTACAGCCCAGGTCTTGATGTAATAGTAATCTCGACACAACTGTAATAGCTGTCTAGAAACGATTGTATAATCTGTCTCAGTTGTTTGCAGGCACACTGGCAACTGAGCTTAGTCTCTCCTTTATGTATGCAATTATATTCCATGATGCAAGAGATCTTTGTCATCTTCATTCTGCAATCAGCTGCTGACTTGGTAGGGGACATGTATTTTACTCTGCCTTTCATTCTGTGGCAGAGTGTCTCCGTGATAACAGGGCAAAGCATTCATCGTAGACCTCCCAGACAGGCAAAACTTATCTGGTATAAAATATGACCTGTCCGAGATTTGTGAACCTGGGCCAGGTTGCAGGCACTCATCACTGATTTCATGGTTTTGGGTGTGGAAACCATGCATAATTCAACTCAGCCACAATTAGATTTCTGGCTTTATCCCTACCCGAAACTCTGGGAATGCAAACTCACCTGAAATGTTTGCAGTAACCTTTTTACTTGCAGTAGGTGCAGTAGGTGCTGAAACCTTTTTACTTGCAGTATTGGTAGCAGCCACTAGGTGGCACTCCTTGCTAACTGTTGGCTAGTCTCTCCTAGGAGGTGGGAATATCACCCTTGATGTTGCCCATCTGGCTTTTGTCTAAGCCCAGTACCTGCTCCACAGAGGGACCACTCCCTCCCCATGCAGAGGAACAGCAGAGCAGCTTCACAGTAGAAAGAGCAGCCTCTGTTTAGGAAGGGCTTTTGGGGCATGGGCTCTGCAGGAAAAGATCCACTATCCCAGTCCCTTCAACAGATTCTCTGCACTGGGAACCTATGTGAAGTTGTGCTCAGCAATTGACAAGGGTATATGCTGGCTCCCCACAATTTGCCCAGCTGCGAAGTGGGGTTATGTACGGAGAAGAGGGATCTTATTCCAAGTCATTGTGAATTAATAACAAAATACAATTATTTCCACTCCTGGTAGAATCCCAATGCCCATGCTGATAAATTCAGTTTGAGCCATATGGCAGCCTTCGATTTAACAGTCCAGATGCCCTGAGGTTGCCTTACCTTGCCAAAGAGCACAACCTTGAGACAGTCAGAATAATACAAACTTTCATGGTCTGGACTGAAGGTAACAGTGAAATCCTGACTCTTCCTAGGCTCAATTCTGCCCTCTACTGGAAATATGTTGAACACACTTAACCCACTGTAGTTCTGTGTACCTGGAAGAGCAAAAAACAGAAATATAAGGATGACAGAAAGAGAGCTCTGTTCTACCTCTCTTTTTATATTTCTGTCTCACTTCCTTTTTTGTCCCAATGGTAAATGAGTAAAATTTCTGGTGCATGTTTATGCAGCAAAGTTGGAAATCTGGGTGTGAAAAAGCCTAGTTGGAAACACCCATGAAGTTTTTCAAAATACCCATTTCCCTGGAGGAATTGGAGAAGTGCCATTAAACCATTCTTACTTTCTTGTATTAATTACACATAAATTGATCTTGCTATTTGATGGGTAATATGCTGAGTGGGTTTAAGCAGATCTCAACAATAGAGCCTTCTTACTTGGGAACGTTCTCTTAGGCTATGTAAACTTGTACCAACCAGGAATTAATAATTAACGCATTTGCTATTAGTGAAGCAAATACTGTCCTTAGTTACAGTGTTGTGACCCCCACCACTGCAAGGCTTCAGTGGACCTGAATGGACCAAACACGAGGCAGAATTTGGCTCCTATATCATACTTGATTAATGAGATGAAAAACTATTTACCAACAAAATCTGTCCGTCCTGGGGGAGACGTGATGAAGAAGGGAAGTCTCTGCTGCTCTTTGTCCCTTGTTTGTGAGAGTGACTCTAGTTTGATGGAGTATCTCAGGGGCAGAGTAGAAGTGTTCTGTATCTGGAGGGAGTCATTGACACAACAGCATTTTAACTGGGGAAATGATTTAAAACCCTGTAGGATGTGTATTGTGCAAATGGGCTGAAATTGTTCATTGCATGCCGAGGTGCCATACATGGTGCATATGGGTTACTATTATCCACAGTGCATTCTTCTTGCCAGACAACACAGAGCTTTTTCTACTCTTGGAACCCACCTGCAGGAAATACATGCTAGTTGCTTCCCATCAAAGCTTTGTGATGCCTGCACAGTGAAAGATTTAATAGACTAACAGTTTGCTTCTAGCACTTGGCCTGTTCACTAGATTTGGGATTAGCAGTGTGGAAATTACAGCAGATGAACGAATCAATTAAACTGTTCTCTAGCCTATCCTGGTAATCCCTAGCTGGGCACATCCCCATCCCACGGAGACAGGAGGCAGGCACAATCAGGGTGGCTACAAAGGGGAACACCTGGGAGGGAAGGGCAAGTAACTCTGCTGCTGATGCTTGAGGGGCCATTTCTGGCCTCCCTCACCCTTGTGTGTACTGGACAGAACCAGGGAGAAGAGCATTCAAGAGGTGGTTTTAAATGTGCAGTAAGACGCTCACCCCTCCCCAGTGCCTCTGTAGGCAGAATTCCCCCAAGCAGTGCAAAGTCAGCTCAGCACCCCTGCCAGGTAGAAGTACTGTTAGCCTTTTAGACTCTCAGCTTCTAATGAACTCCCTGAACTAACAGTTTGTCCCGGGTGTTCATCACAGGCTTAAAAGCTAAATGTTTAATGAAGCAACTTACTGCTCAGCATAACATCCTGTCAGGAAACTCTCTTACATGCTTCTGACCAACTAGGAATGGTACTGACCCACCACTAATCAGGTCTTTCAACTCGACACAAGGGAGTTTCCATAAGGTCAGGATTTACCTTGAATGTGGAAGTGACCTTCTCTTTTGCTATGACATATCCCATATCGAGCACTTCTCCTTCCACAGAACAAGCAATTGATGGAGCCACCCCATGGCCAGTAATACTGAGGGTCAGGGTGGCTTTTATGCTCCGGATATCCAGAGTTTCAAAGAACTGCAAAGAAGGATGTTCATACTGGTCAACTGTAACAGACACTTGCTTTAGAATTTCAGGGTACAATACAAAGCCAGGGCTAAATGCCAGCTGGGTGCTGTGCATAGGCACCTGGAAATGGGGATGGAACGTCCTAGCTCTTCATAATCACATCCCAGGTCCTTTATAGAAACATCTACGAAGAGGATAGTTCCAGGGCTTAGGGACCATCGGGTCATTTATCTGTGGGCATGCCCATTGACAGTAGCATTCTGCCTGTGCTGGGGTTAGAGGTGGGGCTAGGGCTGGTTCACACTGGATCTGGATTTGCAGTACTGTATGTGTGTATCTGGGCTTGAGGGCACTTAGACAGCAAGCCAGAATTTGGCCCTACTTTCTTATTCTGATTCTGAGGGGGCTTATATTTCCTTGTCTAAGAAATCTTGAGGGACTGGATGCTCAAAAGGGGTTAAGAGTGAAATCAGTGGAAGTTAGGAGGCTAAATAGAAGTTTGGAGCCTACCTCTTTCTGAGCATCCAGCCCTGGATCTATAATGAACTCTCCCAGGGAGAATGACCTCAGTGTGATACCAATGTACTAAAGAACACAGCTTATCTGACTGCCCATTACTAGAACAATGTTAAGCTGCTGTCAATGTTCTGTTAAGGGTCAGACTCCTATAGAGCCATGCACATTCCCAATAGACAACAGAGAGCCCACTGTGTATGTCTTTAGACTCCACTGTTGTGCACCGTGCTGTGCATCAGCTGCCTACTTTCTCCACCCAGAAGTGGCTGCATTTCAGACGAGCTGTCTGTAGTTTGCAAAGCACTGTGGGATGGCCTGTCTGTGTAGTTTGCAAAGCATTCTGAGATCCTTTGTTAGGAAAGACATTCCAGGCATAAATTAATATAATTCTCCTTGGAAAAAATGCTAAAATCAGGTCTTAACCAGTCAAATGTCTCTCAGAACTCCTTCAGCATGAACATTCTTTATTTTATTATTTGTGCACCAGTACTGACATTATTTTAAAAATATATTTTTGGGCAAGTCTTGTATTTTTAAATGCTTCTGATTGCTTATTATTATCCATGTGTCTTCCCGTGTGTAAAATATTGTCATATATATATATAAAATATTTACTCACCAATTTACTCTCATTTGGACAAAAAGAAATGAAGAGAAACTGGTTTTCCCCTGGCTCAAGAGTGCCAACTGGACTGATCAATAGGAAGGGCCCATTGGGGTTCAGGATGGAGAATCCTAGCTGAAATGTTGCAACTCAAGGAAATGCAAGTTTATAGGTGACAAACTAAGGGAACAAGAGCAGGATTTAAAGATAATTCAAACCAACCTGTGGTCTATCAGCTTTTTTAGCGTTAGTGAGCTAGACCAAAGAAAATAAACAACAACCCAATTCTTTGCCCAAAACTCAAATGTCTGAAACAGGGTTTTTTCAGTTAAAAAAAACTTGTAATAACTTCCCTGCAGCTCTGTCCCTAGGTTTTGCCTGAGGTGGGAAGCACACAAATTAAACCAGCATATGAGAGATGTTGTTCTCTCAGATTTTTCTGGCCCTGTTTAGACTCGGCAATACTGGTAGCTTAGAGAACAGCCTTTTCTAACTGAAGATTTCCAGAAGTTGGGAGAAGTGTTGAGCAAAAACTTGGCTTTTGGTCTCTGAGCTTGGTGTGTCATGTTGGTGCTGGAGTTGGCTGCATTGCTAGTAGCTTTTGCCCTTTTAGAAAGGGCTGAAGCATGAGCATGAAGAGCCTCTCAAGTCTGGTTTTTAAATAGAGATTTGCCAGCAGAAAAGTGAATAGTGAGAATTTTACAAAAGCATTTAGATTGGAAGTGGTCTTCCAAAGTTCATTTCTTCCAACCCTGTAAAATAGATTTTACAGTCTATCTAGCTGTGAAAGATGGGTACTATAGCTGAACTACGCTGTCTCCATTAAAGGTGCTTTTACAATCCTAATGATGAACAATTCTTGCAGAAATAGGGCCAAAGTCAACAGTGCCTGAATAAGTGGGTTGTGGAGAGTGAACACTCGAGTCAAGGATACTGCTAGCTGCTCCTGGGAGATGTTCTGTATTGTAACCCGTTCGATTATTCTGTGGCCTAAAATGTATAAAAACAACACTTTCAGAAATGTTACTGTAATCAACCAGTAAGAAAGACCACTAAATTGGACACTCCAGTTTCTAACTCCAGTGCTGCCCAGGGCCATCTTTAGTTATGGTGTCACAATATTCATTGCACTCCAATGTTAGACAGAATGGCCAGGAAATAAAACCATTAATGTTAATTCCAAGAATGAGCTAGCAAAAAGTTCTGAAATTAGTGACAGACTGATCCTTTCTTTCAAGATAGAAAGCAGCAAATGTGACACTTCTAGTGTCTCCCAGTCTTTCAAGGAAGAAGGTCAGATACCTCTCAGGTGGCTGTTTAAAAGTATTTACAATGCATGAGACTTTTTACTCTTCATCTTACTGGGATTTCCTAAATGTGGTATTTATAAATCAACATTTTATAGCCAGCCTGGTTGTGATGAAGGTTCCATGTATTAGAAGGCTGTCATGAAGAGGCTAGACCTGTCAATGACCACATTGTATTCTCCAAACATTATTTGGCTAGAAAATTCTATCCAGGAGGGAAAAATGCATCTTCACAACCCATTTTAGTAGTGGATTTGTTTTTAACAGAGGTTGTTACAAAAGACCATAAAACCTCAAAGAAGAATTGTTAGGAGTAGTTTGAGTAATCTTCCACTGCATCACATCTCCATGCATGACTGTACGTATGAGAGCTACATTTCACTCCCACTTTTCGCTCTGCTAAAATGTTCACTCCATTTCTGGGGCTGGTGCGCAGTGAAAGTGCACAAACACAGGTGGTCTCCATTAGGGCTACTAATTACATCTCTGGGCATCAAATGGGCTCTTAAGAACCTTAAATGGTTATCTGGGCTCCTGATTACCCATTTGTGTGACTACATCTGGCCTAATTTCGACACCTATGTTTGAAAATTGATCCTACAGCGAGTAAGAAAATCATAACAAAGCTACATTTAAAAGGAATTAAAGCCAGGCAGAAAAACCTCAAAAGTTGAATTCTAACTTCATACCTACTGCGACCTCTCCAAAGTTGATGATGTTTTTTCCATTATTTGAAGTGACCACAACAGATGGTGCTACAGCAGGACAGTGCAACTCTAGGTACAAGGTGTTATAAGGACTGGGGAGATGGGAAAAAAAATGTTTGCTGTTAGATCATAAAATCTGGTATTTGAAATCTGCTCTTACTCTATGCAGGAGGGGAAAAAGCATTATGGATATGTGTTAAAGAGACTGTATAATTCTTGGCTTCTTTTCTTGCATCTGCATAGGCAGAAGAGGTGGACTGAATCTGGCACATAAACTTTACATTGTAAATATTCTCTAAGGTGCTTTGATATTTGCAGGCTCAATTCTGATCTCAATTATGGTGGTGTATATTCTAAGTTATTCCACTGATTTATGGGGCAATTAAGATCAGAATCTGGCCTTTTCCCCAAAAAACAAATGAATACTTTTTTCAACATGTGCCCCTACTTTCTTCTGACCTTTCTGATCCACTATAAATTGCATTCATATAGTGTCATGCTGCTCATTTATACAGTACCTGTACTTTAGATTTTCCGATCCTCTCTTTTCATCAGTATCTCCACTTGCAACAAAGCAAGGTATGATGTATCTCTCAAACTTTCCTGTGAAATTCCTAATCAGGGAATACTGAGCTGCAATATATTCTTCAGAGCTAGAGAGCACAAGAATATGGTCTTAATAAGAAGAAAGCAAAAATCATGTAGTAACACAGCACTCTAGTATTAATGCCAGCAAGCAGAATATTATATTGCAGACCTGACCTAGTAAGCATTTGCATTTACTATTTATTGATCATTAATTGTTTAAAAGTAGACTTTAGCAGTAAAGCTGTGTGCTCATTTATTACAAGGCAATGGATCTGCTCAACAGAGGGAGGTGTTTAATAAGTAGTTTGCTTTTCTGTTCATGTCACAGAGAACAAAAATTATGAACTCAGATACTTAATGTCACACTAGAGAAGACAAAACAATTCTCAGTGTGATTCTCCCATGCTGGATTTTCTACTGAAAATCCATTTTGCAAACATTTTCATTGCATCTTTTTATATTCCAGTACTATTCCTAAATTACATATTTCTGTGATAGAGTACATCTGGCAATGCCTCAGAATTCTCAAATACGCATTTCCTTTGGAATGAATTGTGTAGTTACAGTATACTTAAACAATTCATGATTAAAAATACAAGCTGCTTATATGCTGATAGTTAATGGATTACACTGAACGTCTAATTCTTGTCCAAAGCATGTAAGGGGCCAATTCAGCAAAGCACTTAAGCATGTGCCTAACTTTAACATATGAGTGGTTCCATTTACTTCAGTGGGACTACCCAGATACTTGGGACTACTTAGTTACTTAAAGTTAAGCACATGCTTAAATGCTTTGTTGGATCAGGGCCCTCAAGCACTGGACTTTCTTATTAGATGGTATAAATTTAAATGAATAAACTGCTAGGTACCACGTGAAATAAATGTTAATTTTCTGTCAGCTGACCTGCATGCTGCAAAATGACTACCTGGAAGCTTTAAATTAAATCACTGTTATATTTCCCAATGGGTGAATTTCGCCCCATCCTAGTGGTGGTCCTTAACTATACACCATTTAACTGCCAAATTCAGGTGTCAGTGGGTCTTGGGCAGTGGGCATGAGCCTTGTACTGCCCTGGGTGAATTTTACTCGATACAAATGCAACTAATTTATTTGGAAGGGGTGAATCATTCGCTGTCAGTTTCTGTCATTAAAGTGTTTAATCAGTCTCCTATCTGAAAAACAGGCCAATTGCCCTTTAAACTGCTATTGTGGTTGATTCAGCTGAGTTATAGGACAGCCACGTTTAATGCTACACGGTACATTCTTTCAAGCCCACAGCTCTGCTATTTGATCTATAATGAGGGATTCTCTGCTTTGCAGGAGAAGTTCTGACAGTGTAGATTAGAAGCATTGCTAATTTTGGAAATAACCTTTGTAATAAAAAAGGCTAGTTCTCCCCTAAAGTTAGATTGCTCGCTCACACACAGGGATTAATAGATTAATGAAACCAATGTGGTAAATGGCATTCGTTCGCTACCCAGTAAAAGCTGCTGCTACTGACTTACTTGGTTTTTATTTCTTCTGGTTTTGGTGGCTCAAAGCCACTGCTAGCAGCTGCATATTTACTGTTTCTGACCCTCAAAGGCTGTCTGAAAGCGGCAAAACTTGGTTTCTTTCCATCTTTCTTTCCTGCCACAGTTTCGTCTTTCCTCTTCTATAAATACAGCATTTTATATGTATATATAAATATAACATGCATGTGATACTTCAAAGCTGTCTCGGTAATTTGGACACCCAATTCCTATTAAAATCCCATAGGTGGCTACAAATTATTATAGATCAGGGGTTCACACACTTCATTGCACTGCGACCCCCTTCTGCCAATAAAAACGACTACACGATCCCAGGAGTGGGGACCAAGCCTGAGCCTGCCCAAGCCCCGCCGCCCTAGGGTGGGGTGGGGGACAAAGCCCAAGCTCCAGGGCTTCAGCCCTAGGTGGGGGGCCTGTAAACTGAGCCTTGCCACCAGGGCTAAAGCCCTCAGGCTTCGGTCCTGAGCAGTGGGGCTCGGTCTTTGTCTTCAGCACCAGGCCCCAGACCCACCTTAGGGTCCTGGCCCACAGTTTGAGAACCACTGTTATAGATTATTCTGTGGAGATGCTCTAGTCAGGGATCATGGCTCCACTGTGTGAATGCTGGTGCAAACATACAGAAAAAAGATAGTCTCTGCCCCAGAGAACTCCCAATCAAAGTATATAAAAAGAGGTGACAGATGGATGTAACCAAAACCACAAGATAACAGCGATACAATTATGATTAGAGCAATAAGCAATGGATACAGCACGTCAGCAGCCAGCTGGTGGTGGTCAAATAAAATAATAAAAAATAAAGTGAAATTGGACAATTCAAGCTTAGAGCTGCTTCACTCAACCTCAGAGGGCAAATCCTCTGCTGGAGTAAATAAATGCAGCTCTATTGACTTCAGTGGAATTTTATTAATTTACACTAGCTGGGAATCTGACCCATTTTCAAAAGTGCCTAAGTCACTTAGGTGCACATCCCATTTTCAGAAGTCCCTTTTAGGCACTTAGGAGCTCCTAAGGTACTTATGAGCCAAAGTCCACTTTCAAAAGTCAGTCAGGTGCTTTTGAAAATGTTACCCTATATTTATTTATTTATTTATCCAGTCTGCTGATTGCGTTAACTGCCACTTTGTACCGCTAATCACTGGTATATGATTCTTGGCTTCATTTATTGTATTTCTAATTGCAAATAATTTTATGCGAAATAAGTAGTGCTGTAAAAATTAGCTTGATTTTCCTTTGAGAGTTGGTAGAATAACTAAGCGCACTGATTTTTTAAACTGTTCTTACTTGCATTTCCAATTCACGAATCTTCTTCAACATCATCCTTTGTGCATCTGCCCTGCACAGCATTTGAACTGCCTCTTCTCTGATTAGCTGCTCTGACAACACTGGTCTGAAGTACACTTGTATCAAGCATTTCTGAGGTAGAGAGATTGCACACAATGAATGACATTGGGCTGCAAATTAACATCAGTGGCTAAGAGCAGAACTTGGCCCTTGCTTATTTGTAACTCCCACCAAAATCAATAGAAGCTGAGAGCACGAGTTTGAGAACACATTTTGACCTTGGATACCTTGGCCCCTTTTTGTAAGGGAGCCAGGTGAATTAAAGAAAAAGGCTAATAGTAGCTGTGTTTTAAAAAGTTCACAAGGCTGCAATAGTGTTAGATTACCACCAAATTTTCTATATTTAAGTTCCTTTCAGCTAAATAAATCATGCTATAACACTGATGCAAATTTGTCCATGAGTAAAGTTACATGCATACTTGTTTGCATCATTGAGCTCTAGATTTCCATTAAAAGTATTCTTTTAAGATCAGGATACAAAAATGAATTAATTATAGGACTGATAAGTACTAAATTTGTAAGGCTAGAGATGATCATAGAAGTTTATCATTTGTATTCAAATACTTGACATACTCAGAATGAATTTACCTTCCCTGGCAAAACTGTCCCAACAGAAGGCATAATTGTCACAGGAGAATCTTCTGGCACAAGGAATTCAAAGGAAGTGGGTCCAACAGGGGCAATTTCCCCTTTGCCGATCCTTGGGACAGCGTGCGTAAAGCGGTTGAGGCTCACATGTCCATTTATCACATACAGTGTTGCTGTAGATACATCATTTAAAGCTGTTGCTGCAAACTTGACTAAGGAATGAGACAACTCAAGAGGTGGGTGGACTCCAACTGCTTTGCATGACAGCTTGAATTGTCTAAAAATAAACACACCATAAATTGTCTCAGCACAAACAGAGCATCTTAAACAGCCCAGAAGCCTGGGGACCTGATTCTGTAGCTCTTATTCAAGCAGGATTCCTATCGATTGCAATGGAAGTTTTGCCTAAGGATGGCACAATGAGGCAAATATGGTATTTGTTTTAAAATGAGCAACTCCCTAGAGAAGCTGTACCTGAATTATCTCTCTGAACTTCTGAATAGAAATGCAGTGAGATGCAATCTGAAAGTTTGTGCCTTACGCCTTCACTATTATAGAGCATCACCTGGCACAGATGTTGAGCATCTTCAGAAGAAACATGCACAGGACCCATGTAAAGCTTCAATAATTCCACCAAGAAAAGGGGTTGGGAGGAAGTTGCAGGTAAAGAAAGTAAGAGGCAAATTTATAGCTGGAGGCATACAGTATTGATGGACTTGGGTGAGGTAGGAGGAGAGCTGGCAAAAAGGCAATAAATTAACTCAGTAAAGACTTGAACCTGGCAGGCAGGCACTGAGCACCTCTTGTACGACACAAAGCTCCTGCCTCTGCCAATGTACAGACAGCCTAGACTCCGGGACTTAATTATCAGACTCTGATCTTGACTCTAGAACTCCACCATTGATTCAAAGTAACACTTCTACCTTTACTCATTTGTGTTTCCAGATTCTTAACATACCTATTAATCTCCGACTTGCAGGTCAGCTCAAAACTGTATTCTTTTGCCTTGTTGGCTTTGAAGATTATGTCCAGGTTCAGGCTTTCCAGGGGGAGGAGAGTTCCAAACCCATCACTCGGTTGAATTTCTACAAACTTCAAAATGACAAAAAGAAATCTTGTGTATTACAATGTAACAAAGGGTAAGGGCACGAGAAACACATGCCTGAGGAACTTCGGCCCGAGACACTCATCTGAGGAATAGTGTCTGTGGGTGACTAGAATTCTGTGCAGGCTTCTAGTTCTAGAATAACTTGGAAGGTTGCAATTTCAATTTACCTTTCCTGCTGCAACTGATTTCTCATCTTGGACAACATGTGACCAAGCAGTAAAATTCTATCACCTCAGATTTCAATGGAGTTGACATTTGAGAAAGCAGAAAGCCTGAAAGGAAATCCTGACTTATTGTCCATGGTAACCATCCTATTCTTATGTAGCTATTAGGGCTGTTGATTTTTAATCACAGTTAACTCATGCAATTAACTCAAAAAAATTAATCATGATTAATTGCAGTTTTAATTGCACTGTTACATTTCAATTGGTATTCTATAGTTTATTACATATTTTGGATTTTTTCCTACATTTTCAAATATATTGATTTAAATTACAACACAGAATACAAAGTGTACAGTGCTCATTTTATTTTATTTTTTACAAATATTTGCACTGTAAAAATGATAAAATAGTATTTTTCAATTCACCTTATACAAGTACTGTAGTGCAATCTCTTTATTGTGAAAGTGCAACTTACAAATGCACATTTTTGTTGTTACATACCTGCACTCAAAAACAAAACAATGTAAAACTTTAGAGCCTACAAGTCCACTCAATCCTACTTCTCGTTCAGCCAATCGCTAAGACAAACAAGTGTGTTTACATTTACAGGAGACAATGCTGCCCACTTCTTATTTACAAGGTCACCTGAAAGTGAGAACAGGCGTTCCCATGGGACTTTTGTAGTCCGCATTGCAAGGTATTTACATGCCAGATGTGCTAAACATTCATATGCCCCTTCATGCTTTGACCACCATTCTGGAGGACATGCTTCCATGCTGATGACACTCGTTAAAAAAATAATGCGTTAATTAAATTTGTGACTGACCTCCTTGGGGGAGAATTGTATGTCTCCTGCTCTGTTGTACCTGCACTCTGCCATATATTTCATAAAAAGAAAAGGAGTACTTGTGGCACCTTAGAGACTAACCAATTTATTTGAGCATAAGCTTTCGTGAGCTACAGCTCACTTCATCGGATGCATACTGTGGAATGTGTAGAAGATCTTTTATACACACAAAGCATGAAAAAATACCTCCCCCCACCCCACTCTCCTGCTGGCAATAGCTTATCTAAAGTGATCACTCTCCTTACAATGTGTATGATAATCAAGCTGGGCCATCTCCAGCACAAATCCAGTGCTGGAAATGGCCCACCTTGATTATCATACACATTGTAAGGAGAAAAGGAGTACTTGTGGCACCTTAGAGACTAACCAATTTATTTGAGCATGAGCTTTCGTGAGCTACAGCTCACTTCATCTGATGAAGTGAGCTGTAGCTGTAGCTCACGAAAGTTCATGCTCAAATAAATTGGTTAGTCTCTAAGGTGCCACAAGTACTCCTTTTCTTTTTGCGAATACAGACTAACACGGCTGTTCCTCTGAAACCTGTCATTGTAAGGAGAGTGGTCACTTTAGATAAGCTATTACCAGCAGGAGAGTGGTTTGGGGGGGGGGGGCGGGGAGGTGAGAAAACCTGGATTTGTGCTGGAGATGGCCCAGCTTGATTATCATTCACATTGTAAGGAGAGTGATCACTTTAGATAAGCTATTGCCAGCAGGAGAGTGGGGTGGGGGGAGGTATTTTTTCATGCTTTGTGTGTATAAAAGATCTTCTACACTTTTCACAGTATGCATCCGATGAAGTGAGCTGTAGCTCACGAAAGCTTATGTTCAAATAAATTGGTTAGTCTCTAAGGTGCCACAAGTACTCCTTTTCTTTTTGCGAATACAGACTAACACGGCTGTTACTCTGAAACCATATATTTCATGTTATAGCAGTCTCGGATGATGACCCAGCATGTTGTTCTTTTTAAGAACACTTTCACTGCAGACTTGACAAAATGCAAAGAAGGTACTAATGTGAGATTTCTAAAGGTACTACGGCACTTGATCCAAGGTTTAGGAATCTAAAATGCCTTCCAAAATCTGAGAGCGATGAGGTGTGGAGCATGCCTTCAGAAGTCTTAAAAGAGCAACACTCCTATGCAGAAACTACAGAACCCGAACCACCAAAAAAGAAAATCAACCTTTGGCTGGTGGTATCTGACTCAGATGATGAAAACAAACATGCGTCGGTCTGCACTGCTTTGGATCATTATTGAGCCGAAACCCATCATCATCATGAAAGCATGTCTTCTGGAACGGTGGCTGAAGTATAAAGGGACATATGAATCTTTAGCGCATCTGGCATGTAAATATCTTGAAACACCGGCTACAATAGTGCCATGCGAATGCCTGTTCTTACTTGCAGGTGACACTGTAAACAAGAAGAGGGCAGCATTGTCTCGTGTAAATGTAAACAAACTTGTTTGTCTGAGCGATTGGCTGAACAAGAAGTAGGACTCAGTGGACTTGTAGGCTCTAAAGTTTGACATTGTTTTATTTTTGAATGCAGTTATTTTTTTGTGCATAATTCTACATTTGTAAGTTCAACTTTCATGATAAAGAGATTGCACTACAGTATTTGTATTACGTGAATTGAAAAATACTATTTTATTTTACAGTGCAAATATTTATAATAAAAATAAATATAAAGTGAGCACGGTACACTTTGTATTCTGTGTTGAAATTGAAATCAATATATTTGAAAATGGTATTCTATTATTGTTGAACAGCACGATTAATTGTGATTAATTTTTTTAATCACTTGTCAGCCCTAATAACTATCCCCTTGCAAGATTGAATGAGATGCGAGAAAGATATCAACTACCTTTCCTACCTCACTAGGGAGTTGTGAGGATAAATCCATTAATGCTTATGAGGTGCTCAGATAGATGAGGCCCAATATGCTGCATATAGCTCTCACAACACTTCTTCCGGAGTCTTCTGGTTTGATCAAGGAAGGAAGATTTCATTAGACTGCTATGACAATTGATACTTGTTTAAAAGCCATATGAGTGGCCTGTACTATTTGTATGCAGCCATTAAAATAGATTGCATGCCAATTTTTCCTGCATGAATGCTTTTTTAAAATGAATAAGCAGTGCTGTATGAGTCAGGATCCCAAGAAGTCTCAGATCTTCAGTGCTGCTGCTATAAATGACAGCTTAAGCTTCAGCCCCACCTGCATATCTGAGAAATGAAGCTCTGATGTAACTGCAACTGATCCTGACATCTTATGTCAGCAGCCTCTTTGGTTTTCATTCTCTGAGAAGACTGGAGAGCGAGTCATTTCCCCAAGTTGCCAGGTTCTCCCTAGCACTTAATGAAGCTTCAGCCCAACCTGCTGTGCCCTGGAGGCTTCATTCAGCAGGCATCTTCCTTTGACCTGATGCTTGAGTAGTTGATTTCCAAAAAGGCCCCAAAAGTCTTAGCCCTCAGGACCCTGTGGTCTCCAATGTTTGCTTTCGCTTAAATGGCCATTTAGAATTAAAATTCTCCTCACTCTTGTTAAGTTAGACACCTTTCTTGCTAATAAGGGATTGATTTGTTGCATGCCTGCAGCATGCATGCCTGCAGCACCAGCAGCTGTCTCTGTCAAGTCAGGCTTAACAGTCTTACAGAGTTCAGTATTTGAAGCAGATTTTCTGCTCTGAAGAGAGACCTGATGGAAGTGGCACTGTTGGGGTCCTGTGTCTTTTGGGGACCCCATCTTGGATTTGTGTGGTTAGAAAGCTTTTAAAAGGTGTAGGGCTTGCTTTAATTGCCACATCATAAACTCACCAGGGGTCTGAGTGTCAAGCTGGGTGAGCTCGTGCTCCAACATCCCCATTACTTTGGTATTAAAAATTCTGCAGGGCAAATTATACCCTCACTGAGACCTGCACAGTCTTCTTAGCATTCAGCCAGGTTGCAGAGGATAACTGGGATTTGCAGGGTAATTTGAGTTGAGCAGGTATAATTGAGGCCGGAGTTTGTCCTGCAGAATTTTTAATGCTGGTGATAATGCACGAACCAGAAAGAACACAGTCGAGCCCAGGTTGTTTGCAGAGCTGGAAGTCAGAAAAACATGGTCACTTGAAAACTGAGCAAATTTGATCTGGAATCACTGAGACATGATAACCAGGAGCCCCACCTGTCTTGGAAGTCTTACTAAAATCAGGATATCATGTCTACTGCTTCCCCTCTGTCCTCTAGGCCAGTAACCCTGTCCAAGATCCATGACAGTAAGTCACAAGCTTCATTTGCACTCAAAGTTTCAACATTTCACAAGAATAAAATATATTTAAAACAAAGGAAGGGGGGAAAACCCAGCCAGGTACCTCAGGGAGTCCAACAAATCCAAACTCTTGTGGCAGGATGGATTTGTTTGTTAGAGTTATGGTTGTCTGAACAGCTTCATAGATAGTGCAGTAACCAAAATTCACTTCAGCTGGGCTGATTTCCAAATCAGAGGTAGTAACAATTGCATGGACAATAAATTCAACGGGCTTAGTCTGAAACGAGATTGAAAGTACTGAGTAAGAACTGCAGCAGTGGGCACGAACTAGGGTATATGAATTAAGTGAAAAGATTTCCAAAAAGACACTGTGAATTAAGATATTCTATTCTATTCCTCGACAGCAATTTAATTTAAGTAGCATTCTTATTTTGAACTTCAGTTTATCATGGTTCTTAACAACAAGCAATTGAAACATGCCTATTTTATAACTAAAATTGCCAAAAGAATCACTAGGTATTTCAGATTCCATATGTTGGAATGTAGTCACACCTGCATTTGTATGAAATATGAATTCTAAGATACATGTACATTTGCTGTAAAATGTTTTATATTTTCAGAATAAAACTGTGTGCTATGGTACCTAAAAGCTCTCTGGAACATAAGAATTCCTCAGTGAATAAGTGAGCACCTTCCTTAACTATTCAAAGTCTAGGGTTTGCATTTTGAAGAGGCTTGATAGAAAATGACTTTACACAACTAACCATCTATTATACCATTTTGAGCATCTTTTAATTAATTTAATCACAGACTTCCACTAATACACAAAGGTTCAAACTGAGATTTGGTATCACCAAGTGCAACTCCACTGAAGTCAATGGAATTGCACCTGCTGACATCAGGTGTGAATTTGGCCCAAAGAGTATCTAATATCAGTACTAGAGCTATGCTCTGGATCAGTGAGGACTAGATTCTGCCACCCTACTCATTTGGAGCAATACTGCAGTTGACTCCATGAGTAGCCCTGTTGAGTTGGTTTTCCATTAGATTCATCAGCGAGAGGAAGGATTAGTACTTCATCAGTTGTCCTACTGATTTGATTTCAAAGGGATGGCTAACCGCGTAACTCCTGTCTGTAAGGTGTCAGAATCTGGCCCTGAAGCAGCACAGAATTATTGAGATTTCCACACTCTTTGCAATTCTAGGCTGCTTGGACTGTGGAGAGCCTGTTAAAATTTAAATCTTCTACTACTTGCAACACACAATAACACTAACCTTATCAGCAATCTTTATTGTCATTGGAACTTCCAGAACCCTGGTTTCTGTGTCAAAATATTTTCCTGCATCTTCTGGGAGAGAGTGCCTGAAATAGAAAAATGTATTTATTTTTCTTAAGGACAACCTAACTGCTCTCTAGCTAAGGAGGAATAATTGAGTCTTCAGTGCCTATATTTTGAATCAAGTACAAGTTTAAGACAACTGAGTTTAGTTAAGATCCAAAAGGTATATTCATCAACATTCTAATCCAGCAAAGCACTTGGATTCAAATAGACCACTCAGATTCTTACATGCTTCACTGGACTGGGGCCTAAATTAAAGTCTTTGTATGAATTTGAATATGCCAATGCTGGGGAAGAGCATGGAGGGAGTTTCCAACCAAAAAATACGATAACCTAGGAGAATATGCCTCTGTCCAAGAGACAGATAATGCAGCTGTGTCAGAGGTAAAGCAGACTTGTCATATATTTCATACAGAAAGATCATCCCTCACTATGCAGGTAGCTATAAATCAGCTTTCATGAGGATAATTAGCAATGTGATGTTCGTATTAATAGATCTGACTAAGGCCCAATTTTCCAAAGACAAGCTCCTTTTAAAAAACCCAGTTTAGGAGCCTATGGGCGTTATTACTCAATGGGACTTGTTCTCGTAAGGAACATTAATTGCTTTTGAAAATGCCATCCCCATCTCCAGTGGGAATTGAGTGCCTAATTCTCTGAAGCCCCTTTGAAACTCCCAGATTTAAGTTCATATTTAGGCATTTGGGAGGCCTGATTTTCAAAAGTAAGGAACACCCATAAGCTCCCAATTAATTCAATATTGCTCTAATAAAAATTGGTTATTGCTAAATATTTCAAACTGTTGAAAAGGCCATAATAACACAGTTAATGTCTGTTTGAAACATGCGACAAACCACAACAGAAAAGGTTTAGTGCTTCAGTGATCTCTCTTCATGGCTACTACCTTCTTTGCATTTAGCTAGGAAATGTGAGGAAAATTAGAACAAGCATTAAAGCTAATCTTTCAATCAGACATGGGCCATAGCCACCAAGGTTGGTTCCAGAACCCCAAATTCTCCAAACTTCTAGCGCGCCTGGATATAGGAGTAAATGCTCTGCTAGAATGGGAGCAATTTATTCCAACAAATGAATAGTGTAAATGTTACTAATCCAGGCTATTTCCTACTGTTTTATTTCTATTTAAATGTTATGCTGGAACGAAAAAGCTGGACATGAAAAGGGTCTAGTTTGATAGGTGCATGAAATTCCCATTAATGCTAATGAGACTAAGACCCAGATGTGTGTTTTGCCTGTATTACTAAAGGAGCCGATTATACAGCAGGGTTTTATTTACAGGCATTTTAGTAAAGTATTTCTAAAACTGCTCCTCTATTTTTTTACTAGCAAAACCTTTATGGCCATAAATAGGAATTAAAACTTGCTTTGTAATCAGTGTCTAAGCCTCCTGCATTCTGGCCGCAGTCACGAGTACGTGAGCAAACCAACCTAGGCAATCTGTTCCTGTTGACATTGATGTTAATTAATTACCAGTCCCTCTGAGTCAGTATCAATGGGATCACAACACAAGGGAAAGACATAAATAAAGACAGGCTGCAGAAATGAAACAAACATGAAGACCAACAGCCCTTTGTCTGATTACATACCAGATTTGTCATTAGCAGGGAATGTGTGAGCTTCAGTTGCTGAAACTTCTCACTCTTGTACAGCCCAATTTCAGAGTTTTCAAGCAAAGTCAGTACAAAAGCTCTATTATTTTTAGATCTATGTGCCTATTTATAAAGCTGGACCCTTAGAGCATTGGAGTGAATAGTTTCCCATACTTAAGTCTCCACAGTGATACTATTTCTGCTACCAGCTCTCTAGATAGGTTTCCTCCACAAACACCACTGATTGCAGAACAGTGAGGCAAAAAGACATTTTTCACAAAGAAATGTTTAGGCTCCTGTTAATCGTCACTGCAATTGCATATCTACTCTTTAAAGATAGTGTTGTTCATACGTCTTCCTTCTTTAGTTTGTGCCCCTTTCCCTCATTGATTCTACCCTTGCAAATTCAGGATTGCTCCCAACAATATATTCTCTAGTTTTCTTAGAAGGCCCAAAAAATGGGCTTTCACCACTATCCTGGAGAGACTAGTGCACTGTCTAACAGAACTTGTGGTCAGGAAGGATTTCCTGATATTCAGCCTAAATTTTCTTTCACCTCGTTATTTCTAGTTAAACATCCATGTAGCACATTAAAAAATTCCTTTGCTTGTCCTCTGCGAGACCATGCTGTTTCAGGTGCAGCAGGTACTCCAGGATGAGTGGGATGGGCACCTGGAGTGGAAGTGTGCAATGCTGAGCACACCAGAATGTGAACCTTTTCCACTTTGCTAGGTAGTGGCCCTAGTGGAGGGTTTTCTGCTGCCGAGTAGTACCTCTCTTACTGGGTCCGAGCAGAGGAGCTCCATGGGGTTTAGCCATGAAGCTTCCAGGCCGTGAGATGGAGGGACTGGAGGTTGGGGTGATGAAGACAACCATGGTCCTGAGTGATCAGGTCAGGGAGGAGTGGCAATGTGATCAGGGCGTCCACTGACGCCTCCAGGAGCGTGGTGTAACAATGTTGGCGAGGCCATGCTGGTGCGACCAGAATTAACTCTGCTCTATCTCTGTGGACCTTGAGTAGGACCTTGTGCTCGAGGGAGATCGGGGGAAAGGCATACAACAGGTTGCTTCCACAGGGTAGCAGGAACATCTCTGATCAAGCACGGGCTGTGTTTCTGGAAGGAGCAGAACATTTGGCACTTTCTGTTGCTCCAGGTGACAAACAGGTCGACCTGGGGACACCCCCACCTTTGGAAGATAGAGTGTACAACATCTGGGCGGATGGACCACTCGTGATTGTGGAAGGATCTGCTGAGGTGGTCTGCCAACTTGTTCTGGGAACCTGGGAGATAGAATGCTTCCAGGTGTTTAAGATGGAAATCTCACTCCTTCTTCGTCCTGGGGTAGAAAGCTCTGCAGATTTTGCACCTTTCTGTCTCATGCGCCTCCCCCACACACTTCAGGCATGGGTCATAGAGGTCGCCTGTTGGCATAGGCTTGCTGCAGGTTCCGCAGGGCTTAAACCCTTGGGACCGAGGCATGCCACAGAACCCAAGGAAGGGGTCGGGGACTGGGGGGAAAAACTCCACTACCAAACTTTATCTATCAACTATATACAACTGTCACTAACTGTGAACTAGAAACTACAACTACAAACTAGAAGATATGCTAGGAGAAGCACTTGCTACGCAAGCGACCGCAGTTCCAGTGATGGTCACTGGTGGTAAGAAGGAACTGAGGAGGGACTAGGTCGGCAGGGGCACATATTCAAAGCCATGAAGGTGCCACTCCAGGGGCTCCACAGCCGACCTGACGGGAGCTGCTAAGGGAAAACTTTCCGATGACTGCACACAGCGCGAGTGCACACCTAATTGGAATCAATATGAACAATGACTCGAAGAACAGAAAGTTAATCCAACCAATGTCAATGAGATTATTCCAGAATCTTTGTGAAACCTTGGGTCATTTATAAATATGTTTATGGAGGCTGTCAAAAAATGACACTTACTGTTTGTATCCTTAAAGACTAGTTAACGAGCAAATGAGATTGCTTGTCATAAACAGAAGCATGATGTAGTGTTGGTATTTTTCTTTAGTTTATATTGGCATTTACTTTTCAATCTGTAAAGGTTAGGTATATATTCTGGCATTGAGAGTTGAAGATTTTAAACGTTTTTGCAAAAACAAATTTTCCATAGATACACATTCCTGGAATATTCTTCTTTTGCATTCCTAAATCTTCTAATGGAGAAATTAGCGTCTGTGTCCCACAATGTTCAGTAAAGGAGGTCACTTCAAACTGTTGAAGAGGCAACCTCCTGAGATCTGTTCCTAGTGGAGTTCGGTATGCTTGATATTATTTACCTTTTTATTAATATGGAGTGACTTTAAAAATACATATATTGTTTCTAACATTTCTGCAATACATAGTTCTATTTTACTTTTTATGCAAGGTGGTCTGCAAGCTATCACCAGGTAAAGTCACACAGGTATGTCTACACTGCAAAAAAACCAAAACAAACATGGCAGAAAGTCTCAGAACTCAGGTCTACCCACTTAAGCTTGTGCTATGGTGCTAAAAATAGCAGTGTAGACATTCCTGCTTGGGCTCTGAGGATACCTCTACATGGCAAAAAAAACCAACCAACCAACCAACCCACCCCCATGGCGGCAAATCTCAGAGTCTTGGTCTACAGACTGGGCCTCACAGGGCTCATGCTATGGTGCTAAAACCAGCAGTGTATACGTTCCTGTTTGGGCTGGAGCAGGCTCCGAGACCCACTCACCTCACCAGACTTCAGAGCTCAAGCACCAGCCCCGGCAAGAATGTCTATGCTGCTATTTTTAGCACCATAGCGCAAACCTGAGTCTATAGACCCACTGCCATGTTTTTAACAGTGTGGACATTAGGCTGCCAGTGTCTACGGAATCTGTTCCAACCGCCAAGAAACCAAGAAGCAGAATACTTGGGGAATTCTGGTAGTTGGTAAATGAGAAATCTTGCTTTTAAATAGGCTGAAATCATGACTGTCGCAAGAAGGAGTACAATTACAGTACATGTCCTATGACTAAGTATTGGGATGTGCACTGAAGACTGAGAGCTCCCCAAGCCCTCCCAGCCTTCTTATCACACACTTATCATTCCTGCTCAACACATTTAAAGCTTAATTTAAAAATAAATAGACTATTCCTTCTTTTGAGGAGCCTGAATTTGTCGTGCTGAACCAATTAGGTATTTGCATAAATGTGTCACTAGCTCAGCATTATACATCAAGCATGTACCATAAAAATACCCCACCTCCCATGCTGTACCATACAGATCAGTTTCAAAGGAGTGTGTGTGTGTAGCTTTCCCATTTTTCAAATGCAGATTAACATTTTTAATCCACGTTGTGCTTCTATCCATTCAGCAAATGTAATAGTGTTTCACAGAATCTGAAGTTTAGGAACTGGAAACTGTCATAATGGTGATAACTGTTGTTGTAATGGGATAGAATTGGCTATGTAGGAAGAATTGTAACATTTATATTTTCTTTGAAAATTATGCTGTTAAAAGCTTTGGCGTCTGACTTTAGATTTTCATTTTAGAGCTGAGGGTCTATTTTGGAGAGGCTGAGTGCAAATGGGTGAAAATCTGACCCTACTGAAATCAATGAGACTAGAATTTTTACCTCACAACTTCAGATAAGGTCAATGGGAGAGGCAGATGCTCAGCACCAATGGAAATCAGATTAAAAGTCTGATTCTACTCTCACTATCACTGCTGTAAATCCGGAATAATTTCACTGATGCAACTGGTTTTACAACAGATTCAAAGGGATGTGACAGGAGAATCAGAACCTAACCATTCAATTTATACTTGAACAGGAAATTACTCACTAAATTCTGTTTAAAAAGTGATTATAGCCTTAGTCAGAGAATGGTCAGTAAAAGACCATGTCATTTAAACAGCCAAATGGATCTCTTGGTTTATATAGCTGTTCTCTTCTGTTTATATACATAGCCTTCTTGCGAAAGGGTGGCAGAGAATCTTGCTGGACTAAGGCTTTTGACATGTTTAAGAATAGAAGGTGGTATTATTTTAAATATAGAAAACAATCCCAAAATGAGAGGTGAAAACCTTTATAACCTCTCCGAGGAAAGGTATACAATAATGTGAGTATGCAGCAGCAAGTTTGGCTATTCTGCATGTGCTCTGTAGCCACTTGTTCAGGGGTTAACTAATTAGTGATCTTTGACTAGAAGGCACACCCATGAGAGAGTGAAATACCTTTTCAACCATGTGACACTGATGTGTGTCTCACTGTTCTGAAAGAGTAGCTTCCCCCACAATGACAGAAGTAACCAACTAGGATTGCAACTGCTAAGATTTTCACACTGTTGCTGTCACCACAGGGAAAGTATTACTGCATAGGAATGTAATCCAAGTCAATTTCCTCCTTGGACTCTGACATCTCAGAAGAATAGAGGAGAAGGAGGAGAGAAGGGGAGAGTGCTTGAAAGGGCCAAATTCAGTACAGCTATGCAATCGCACTGAAATCAATAGTATGAAGTCCAGCCATTGCAGTCTGTGGGTGTAAGAGGAAAAAATTGACTTGCTCTAACTTTTTGCAGACAGGTTTCAGAGTAACAGCTGTGTTAGTCTGTATTCGCAAAAAGAAAAGGAGTACTTGTGGCACCTTAGAGACTAACCCATTTATTTGAGCATGAGCTTTCGTGAGCTACAGCTCACTTCATCGGATGCATACCGTGGAAACTGCAGCAGACTTTATATACACATAGAGAATATGAAACAATACCTCCTCCCACCCCACTGTCCTGCTGGTAATAGCTTATCTAAAGTGATCATCAAGTTGGGCCATTTCCAGCACAAATCCAGGTTTTCTCACCCTCCACCCCCCCACACAAATTCACTCTCCTGCTGGTGATAGCCCATTCAAAGTGACAACTCTCTACACAATGGCCCCTCTGCCATTTACATTGGTCAAACTGGACAGTCTCTACGTAAAAGAATAAATGGACACAAATCAGATGTCAAGAATTATAACATTCATAAACCAGTCGGAGAACACTTCAATCTCTCTGGTCACGCAATCACAGACATGAAGGTCGCTATCTTAAAACAAAAAAACTTCAAATCCAGACTCCAGCGAGAAACTGCTGAATTGGAATTCATTTGCAAATTGGATACTATTAATTTAGGCTTAAATAGAGACTGGGAGTGGCTAAGTCATTATGCAAGGTAGCCTATTTCCCCTTGTTTTTTCCTACCCCCCGCCCCCCAGATGTTCTGGTTTAACTTGGATTTAAACTTGGAGAGTGGTCAGTTTGGATGAGCTATTACCAGCAGGAGAGTGAGTTTGTGTGTGTATGGGGGTGGGGGGGGGGTGAGAAAACCTGGATTTGTGCTGGAAATGGCCCACCTTGATTATCATGCACATTGTAGGGAGAGTGGTCACTTTGGATGAGCTATTACCAGCAGGATAGTGAGTTTGTGTGTGTGGTTTTTGTGAGGGGGTGAGAGAACCTGGATTTGTGCAGGAAATGGCCCACCTTGATTATCATACACATTGTAAGGAGAGTGGTCACTTTAGATAAGCTATTACCAGCAGGAGAGTGGTTTGGGGGGGGGGGGGGGGGCGGGGAGGTGAGAAAACCTGGATTTGTGGTGGAAATGGCCCAACTTGATGATCACTTTAGATAAGCTATTACCAGCAGGACAGTGGGGTGGGAGGAGGTATTGTTTCATATCCTCTGTGTGTATATAAAGTCTGCTGCAGTTTCCACGGTATGCATCCGATGAAGTGAGCTGTAGCTCACGAAAGCTCATGCTCAAATAAATTGGTTAGTCTCTAAGGTGCCACAAGTACTCCTTTTCTTTTTGCAGACAGGCTCTCTAAATTAATATCTTAAATACTAAACAGAGAGGTGATTAATACCATTCATTCACCTGGGCAGGAACTTCAGCTGCACACTGAAGGAAGACTGGGCTTGAATGTAACCTGTTTTCGGAAGAAGCTCCATGTGGTTACTCAGTTCTTTGGATACTTCAAACTTCAAGCGTAGAGCGGCTTTTGCTCTGCAAACAGATCAGACAGACCTGAGTGGGTTTGTGCTGCCAGCTCAACAGCTACATTTTATTCAGTGCTTTAGCTCTCTTTTCCCATTGCAGCTCAGTTTTGTATGTTGCACTTGGAATTATTCCAAGCTTTCTTTGCAAGTGAAGGACAGTTACGCTGGGCACATAGAATTGTTAAAGCAAAATCACACAGTTATGTTCTCTGTCAGGCTACAATGCTTCCAAATCTGGGTTTCTGTATTTGAGTTCATCCTGCTTCAAAACCAAAATGTTGCAGAATAGAAGCAGTTTGTGTACCTATCACACATTTTTCCTTCCTGAATCAACAGCGCCAGAGACCCATGGACTCTGTTCCATGTGGAACCAATTCAGAGGTGAAGGGACAGCCTTGCTACAAAGTTGGGCCTGTGCACTGCTAGGCAAAAGTAATCTGGCATGGGTAGGACCAACAAATGTAAACAAGTATTAACCCCAATATTAACTCATGAGTCAAAGCCCAGCAATCCCCTGAGCCTGGATGCCTGTGTAACCCACACACCTTCTGGGTGTGGTGTTCTGTCCCATCTAGTGGCACTGAGACCACTTAGGGAGAGAAAGTTAAATGAGTCTGCTCTACAGCCTTAGCTAAGAGCCAGTTGGCTTTTAGCTCATGCTCCAGAGGTCCCCAGTTCGATCCTGTCCGCCGATGACCGGGGTCTGTCAGCATTACACCTGCAGCACTGCAAGGTGGAGATTGTCTCCTGTGTGAACACGGAAATAAGAGAGGAACGAATCTAGAAGTGGTTGGTGCATACAGATGAAAGCATCAAAATTAGTCATTTGCTTTCTTCCCAGGGCTTTTCTAATGCTGTAATTGATCAAATCAGTTAGACTGATTATGAGCAAGTGTAGTCCTTTCTGCTTGTTTCTCATGCATTCTGCTGGATCAGTGGTGTGAGGTGCACTGTATAGCAATGGACACCGGTAGCAAATCCTTCCTCCAACACCACGTGCACAGACTCTTTAAAGACCATGGAGGGTGGCAAGGGTCTGGGCTTCATCTGAAAGATCTCCACACAGTGAACCAAAGGGACTGAAAGTGTCTGCTTCAGCATACTGAAAGGCTGAGCCAACACTGCCAATGTCTGAGTATATGATACTAGAGTTTCAGATCTGATGCTTAAACAACGCAGGTATTCTCTCTAGCACTGGGAGGCTAAGTAAAGCACCTGATCCTCCAAGATCCTGAGGACACCCTGCACTGTTCTGAGCGCCCTAAACTCCATGCAAGTTGGAAAGCTCAGCATCTTATAGGACTGCTCCCCTTGGTTGGCCAAATTTTGGCCTAAGCTAATTGACAGTTTCCTAAAACAGGAACCTGGAATTTGCATTGGGAGAGTTAATCACTTTTAACTGACAAAAGTTATTCCGCCTCTGCATTTGTAATCCTGTTCCTGGGAGTGGGTTATTTTAGAGCAAGTAAATCTCTTACATAGCTTGTGTTTGTCACATCTGGGAGCTGAATTTCTGAGATAACAGCTCTACTATTTCTTTCCAACTGTGAAGAATCTCTGCAGTGTCTAATTCTGGTAAAAAGTTTAGAATATGTGTCTTCTAACAGAAATAGTGTAAAAAAACCCCACACCAATCCTATTAGCATGCATTTAAATAGAATCTAAAATATGGGGATTGTTAAAATAGGAATACTCAGCATCTAGCAGCCAATAACTGCATTAGACAGAAAAAAAACAGCACATGGAAGTCAAGTAACAGAGTAGCTCACATAACCATTCTCTAAAGGTAAGAGCCACTGCACAGACCTCTAGGAAACTAACAATCTACAGCACTATCTTTACACTGCAATATGTTCTGACACCATGGGACAGTGCACAGATATTACAGTGGTGAGGGCCATATAAGTACCTGGACAAAAATCCAGGATCCTCTGAAATAAGGATTTGGTCCATCTATGTATTTATATGGGACTTAGCACCACAGCATTGGAGCACCTCTGAAACCCACTGAGGGGTTCTTGCTCCAGCCCAAGCAAGAATGTCTATACTGCTATTTTTTGTCCTGTAGCCCAAGCCCCGTGAGTCTGAGTCAGTTGACCTGGGCTCTGAGACTCGCTGCTATGGATTTTATTTTCTTTGCAGTGTAGATATTCCCAAAATATGCCTAGAATGCTACACAACAGTCTGAACATTAATGACCCATGGATCATGCCAAGTGTATTGGAAGCTTTGAACTCCTGTAGTCTGAATGAGAATATTTTTTTCTCCTTTTAACTTTCTGCTACGTACCCTGAAGCCAGGAAAAAATAGGTTTCAGAGTAACAGCCGTGTTAGTCTGTATTCGCAAAAAGAAAAGGAGTACTTGTGGCACCTTAGAGACTAACCAATTTATTTCATGCTCAAATAAATTGGTTAGTCTCTAAGGTGCCACAAGTACTCCTTTTCTTTCAGGAAAAAATAGTCACCCAAGTAAAGTTAGTGACAAACTAAACCTAACAAACTAGTAAGGAGGAGTCATTTACAACCATGTTCTGCTGCAGCAGGATCTGAAGGGGAGGCTACTGCTGGTTCTACTCCCACCCTTCAGCACCATGATCCTCACGGGATGCCTTCAGAGGAGGTGTTGCACAGAAGAGCCAGAAGTGGGAGAGAAAAACAATAACAAAGGCAGCTGTGAACCTTTTAACCAAAAGAATGGAGGCCTTTTCTTCCAAAGCCAACAATATCCAAATTGAAATAAGACCGACACATAACACTGTATTATAAACACCTCTACTAATTAAATATCTAGCTAATAATATAGAGTGAGAACTTCACAGGCTAGGAGTGGGGGTTAAGGGAAATACAACTGGCCCTTTTAGAAACAGACAGGCCATATCAGGTTTGCTTATACTATACAGAGGTACTATAGTATCTGTTTAAAGGTATGCTTGACCTCCATGGTGGTTGCCCTATAGATCTTATGAGGCAGATTGGCCTGAGGCTGGCTTCTAGTTCTGACATTGATTGTAACTACAGGGGAAAGCCAGGGGAAGAATAACAATGAAAAATACAAGGCACTTTGTACGCTATCCCAGGCTGACTAAATGTACTTGTGTATAATGAAATAATAAGCTTAACATCCTTCCCTCCCTAAAATATATTGTGTGAATTTAATGCTGGCGAAAGATGCTGGGTGTCTGCCTTAGAGACTGAAGTCTTCCATCCAGGTACAACACATGCAGCAGCAGTGCGAGTTTCCCCCACTGACCAACCAATGTTCTTCAATCCTCAAATGACGGGGTAATTCAGTCTTCATGCCTGCTGAGTGCTTGGCTTCTCTGCCGACATAGCCAATAGGGGAACCATTTTGTGGTATTTGTGGTTGTGGTTATTTGCCTTCCTGAATGGAGACGATTGAAAAGCCAATGGATGGTAATGGAAAAAAAGACTTTCAGTCTACTCAAGCTAGGATGAAAATTTTGAAGGCCTGTTTAGGTGTTCTGAGGTTTTATTAAAACAAAAATTATTCAAATACTACTGGTCACTATATTAGTGTAGTTCACTACCTATTAGTTTGATGCTTTGATTTTTTTCCCCTTCTCAGACAAGTCACTCGTTATGATCTCACTATTTAGTTATTTTAATTAACCAGTCATGAATATATTATGGGATAGCTTACCTGCTTCGAATAATGATACAGTCCTGATAGAGCCGGTCGTACATACAGATCTTTAGATCGACATTTGGATTGGGCACCCAAACAGGCACATCAACAGAGACTCCAATGACACAAAAGTGTAGCTATATATTTGAATATACAAATTAATAATGGTTACTACTTTCCAGAAGCCATTGAAAATTTCTAACAATTCAGGATAAAGGAAAATTAGGTTTGTGCTGATAAACAGCAGAATCATATATCCTATTATTAATATTAAAGACATTTTAAGTAAACACAATGAAGAAAATATCCTTTATAAATTAAAACGTTGCAGCTTTCACTTACCAGTATAAAACACAAACTATAGTAGTTTTTGTCCACACATGATAGAAGGCATACATGAGTGTCATACTGGCTAATATTTTAGATTTTTACGTAAAATACAGGATTTTTTTTTAATTTAGCACTACAAGTTTAATAACCCTGGAGACTGCAGTCTGTTTGTGGGATAAACAGTTATATCATTGTCAGCACAGTGCAAGCTGCTCCCACAGTGACCCCCCACCAAAGGACTCAGCCCAGTCCTAGAGGGAATACTCCTTCCTTCCTAAGAAGTGTATCCACAAAGTCATGAGGGTCTGGACTACTCCTCTGCAGCTCTTTTTGTGGAGCTGCTTCTTTGTGGATTTGGGGGAGTGCCAGGTTTGGGGCAGACAGCCTGCTACTAAGTGTAGATTTTCTGCCAAACTGCTAAGATGAACACCCAGGCAGTGTGTGGCCTGAAATAAAAGTGTAGCATTAAAATACGTTGTAGTGGTAATTAGAGTTGTCACCTGTCCCAGTTATCATGCATTCTGTGTGTGGTTTCACTCTCCTTTCTCAGGATGACTATAAACTTATTTTTCTCTAACCTCTCCCACAGCTTCAACCCCACCTCCCAACCCCTTGTAGTTCTTGTTACACATAGAAGGATGTCAAAATTGCTTTTCTTCAGTGTGTTGGACCAGACCCTGGCACTTAGAAACACTCACTGGTTTGCAGTTTGGGTTGTCAAATGTAATCTCAAACTCTGCACGTACATCCCCAGGGACGCAGGGAGTAAAAATAATCTGAAGTTTGATTGAGCTGAAGGGTCCAATTTCACCTTCTGTAACCTAAACATGATGCAAAAAAAGTGTTACTAACTTTCATTTAAAATCTGGCTGTATTATTCTGTTCTATATAGGACCGTACACTGTGCTTATCCTGGTAGTATCTGAGCCTGTACTGTATTACTTTGTACATACTGATATATCAATATAAATATGTTATATTGATCTATATAGTTACATAGCTCATCCCATTGTCAGACTGAATGCACTATGCTGGACATAGTAGAAAATGTATCAACAGTACCTTAAAGAGCTTGATCCTTCAAAAAACTGAGCACCTAATCTGAGTCACAGAGTTCCTTCAATTTCCAAAGGGTGTTCAGCCATGGACTCTAAGTGTGACATCTGAGTTATGTGTTCTCTCCTCTGATGGAAGGAGGATAGAATACACACTATCTGGGCTGGCATGTAAGTGATACATGAAGCAATGCTTTTTTGTGCTACCACTCACGGGCCTGTTCTTCCTCCCACTGAATTCAACAGCAGCAGGTTCAACAGCCTCTCCTACTCCCCTTCACAAGGGGAGCAGCAGAAGCCAACTGAAGCTTGCAACCTACGGTGGGTTTTGTAAAGCCCAGGACATGTGGAAATCCTGCTCCAAAACAGCCAACACCACTTACTGCTGAGAGTGAGAGTGAGGGATAAGTTGGGGCTTTCCAGCCTCTCTCTGAGTGGATTCAGAGGCAACTGTCTTTCCCCCAATCTCACATAGGCTGCATCCACAGTTGAGAGGAGCCTAGGTAGCCTCCTGCCATCATATTCATTCTCATCTGAAACCTTGTCTCTGGCCATATTATTTTTATATATATATATATATATAATCTCCTTTCTCTCTCTCTGGGTAAATTTCCGCACCCCCGCCAAATCTTTCTAGATTGCAAGCTCTTTAAGCCAAGCACTGTGTCTTGCTAAGTCTGTGCAAGGCTGAGAGCATTTTGAGTGCTGCTACAATATAATTAATAATAATAAAAATAAAAGCAGCAAACTGTGGCCTGATTTCAGTGAAAGCATGAGAATTCACATCCCATACAGTTGTGGGAATGTTTGCAAATTCCATGAAATAATGATGAATCTATGAAAGGGGATGAAATTCAATGAAAATTCCCCAGTCTGACTACAATATGTTTGGTTTAATTTTACATAAAACATTGTACATTTTTTAAAGGCATAGAAGACACAGAGTAGCTGATCCCAAAATTGAAATGGTGCAAAGTATAAAATAGGTGTAGACTCTTTCCTGACAGCTGGATATGGTACATTTTAGGCAGAAAAAGGCAGTGTAAAGTAGGTCAAACTACGGAGTCCAAATACAGTAAAACCTCAGGTACGAACACCTCGGGAATGGTGTTGCTCATGACTCTGAAGTGTTCGTAACTCTGAACAAAATCTTATGGTTGTTCTTTCAAAGGTTTACAACTGAACATTGACTTAATACAGCTCTGAAACGACTATGCAGAAGAAAAATGCTGCTTTTAATCATCTTAATTTAAATGATTCAAGCACAGAAAAAGTTTCCTTCCTTTGTCAAATCTTTTTTATAACTTTCCCTTTATTTTTTAGTAGTTTAACACAGGACTGCACTTTACAGTATTTGCTTTCCCCCCCCATCTCTGGTTCCAAATGAGGGGTCTGGTTGACTGGTCAGTTCATAACTCTGAGGTTCTGCTGTACATATAAAATGCCTAAAATAAAACCACACTAAGTGTGATGTGATACAGTGAAACCTTATGGGTTTATCAGTGCTCACACTGAAACCAACGCAAGTTTTGCTTGAGTAAAGAATGCAGGATTTGGTTCATGGTCAGTTCCTTGCTCAAGAATTGGACTAGCTGAATGTCCGTACATATCTCAGTAAAAACATTACCTTGCCCAATGTAATTTCAATGAGTTCTTCTTCATGTGGCGGTTCTGCTGGGCTTTGTGCATTTTCTGCCTCTAGATCTGCCTCGGTGATTAATGCATCTTGACTAAATTGTTCTAAAAGACAAACCGGATGTTTGGCCTGAGTAACTAACTCTGTGTTAAAAGCATCAGAACTCATGTCCCTTGAGTTCTGGGGAATAATACAAGGCCCATATCTTCTCTCAGGTTTTTGAGGAGGGGATTTATGGGGGAATCTAGAAAATGATTTCTCTTTGTTCATATGAATGATCAGGAGAGAAGAGGGTACAATTTAATGGTTAAAGACGTACTGTAAATGTTCAGAATGCAGCAAGACCTGTTGTTGTTCTTAACTTATCTTGTTTGAGAGTGAGTTCATAGTCGACAGTTTGCTCTAGTCAGGTGATAGCTCTATCTTCCCCGCTTATGAGCCTCCCGCTACTGGGTGAGTTTCATTGGTCTAGTGGAATGTAGCTGTGATAGGTGGCCAGGTTCATCCCAGAGGGAGCTGGGTCCAATCCCATGAAGGGCCCCAAATCACAGAGCTTGAATTGGACTCTGTATCCAGCGGGGATCCAATAGGGAGTGCAGAGAGCAGAATATCAGTGTGATGTTTTCAGTAAAACCTGTGTTGCAAGCATGATGTCCTGCTGCATTTTGGACCATTAGCTGATTCATACTCAGCACAGATATAAACATAGAATCATAGAAGATTAGAGTTGGAAGAGACCTCAGGAGGTCATTCAGTCCCCCCTGCTCAAACCAGGACCAACCCCAACTAACTCATCACAGCCAGGGCTTTGTCAAGCCGGGCCTTAAAAACCTCTAAGGATGGAAATTCCACCACCTCCCTAGGCAACCATTCCAGTGCTTCACCACCCTCCTAGTGAAATAGATTTTCCTAATATTCAACCTAGACCACCCCCACTGCAACTTGAGACCACTGCTTCTTGTTCTGTCATCTGCCACTACTGAGAACAGCCTAGCTCCGTCCTCTTTGGAACCCTCCTTTAGGCAGTCGAAGGCTGCTATCAAATCCCCCCTCACTCTTCTCTTCTGCAGACTAAATAAGCCCAATTCCCTCAGCCTCTCCTTGTAAGTCATGTTCTCCAGCCCCCAATCATTTCCGTTGCCCTCCGCTGAACTCTCTCCAATTTGTCCACATCCTTTCTGTAGTGGGGGGGCCCAAAACTGGACACAATATTCCAGATGTGGCCTCACCAGTGCTAAATAGAGGGGAATAATCACTTCCCTCGATCTGCTGGCAATGTTTCTACTAATGCAGCCCAATATGCAGTTAGCCTTCTTGGCAACAAGGGCACACTGTTGACTCATATCCAGCTTCTCATCCATTGTAATCCCCAGGGCCTCTTCTGAACTGCCTCTTAGCCAGTCGGTCCCCAGCCTGTAGCAGTGCATGGGATTCTTCTGTCCTAAGTGCAGAACTCTGCACTTGTCCTTCTTGAACCTCATCAGATTTCTTTTGGCCCAATCCTCCAATTTGTCTAGGTCACTCTGGACCCTATCCCTACCCTCCATCGTACCCAAGCTTAGTGTCATCCGTGAATGTGAACATCATAGAATCATAGAATATCAGGGTTGGAAGGGACCTCAGGAGGTCATCTAGTCCAACCTCCTGCTCAAAGCAGGACCAATCCCCAATTAAATCATCCCAGCCAGGGCTTTGTCAAGCCTGACCTTAAAAACTTCTAAGGAAGGAGATTCTACCACGTCCCTAGGTAACGCATTCCAGTGTTTCACCACCCTCCTAGTGAAAAAGTTTTTCCTAATATCCAACCTAAACCTCCCCCACTGCAACTTGAGACCATTACTCCTAGTCCTGTCCTCTTCTACCACTGAGAATAGTCTAGAACCATCCTCTCTGGAACCACCTCTCAGGTAGTTGAAAGCAGCTATCAAATCCCCCCTCATTCTTCTCTTCTGCAGACTAAACAATCCCAGTTCCCTCAGCTTCTCCTTATAAGTCATGTGTTCCAGACCCCAATCATTTTTGTTGCCCTTCGCTGGACTCTCTCCAATTTATCCACATCCTTCTTGTAGTGTGGGGCCCAAAACTGGACACAGTACTCCAGATGAGGCCTCACCAATGTCGAATAGAGGGGAACAATCACGTCCCTCGATCTGCTCGCTATGCCCCTACTTATACATCCCAAAATGCCATTGGCCTTCTTGGCAACAAGGGCACACTGCTGACTCATATCCAGCTTCTCATCCACTGTCACCCCTAGGTCTTTTTCCGCAGAACTGCTGCCTAGCCATTCGGTCCCTAGTCTGTAGCTGTGCATTGGGTTCTTCCGTCCTAAGTGCAGGACCCTGCACTTATCCTTATTGAACCTCATCAGATTTCTTTTGACCCAAACCTCCAATTTGTCTAGGTCCCTCTGTATCCTATCCCTGCCCTCCAGCGTATCTACCACTCCTCCCAGTTTAGTATCATCCGCAAATGTGCTGAGAGTGCAATCCACACCATCCTCCAGATCATTTATGAAGATATTGAACAAAACCGGCCCCAGGACTGACCCCTGGGGCACTCCACTTGACACCGGCTGCCAACTAGACATGGAGCCATTGATCACTACCCGTTGAGCCCGACAATCTAGCCAACTTTCTACCCACCTTATGGTGCATTCATCCAGCCCATACTTCCTTAACTTGCTGACAAGAATACTGTGGGAGACCGTCTCAAAAGCTTTGCTAAAGTCAAGATACAATACATCCACTGCTTTCCCTTCATCCACAGAACCAGTAATCTCATCATAGAAGGCGATTAGATTAGTCAGGCATGACCTTCCCTTGGTGAATCCATGCTGAGTGTTCCTGATCACTTTCCTCTCATGTAAGTGCTTCAGGATTGATTCCTTGAGGACCTGCTCCATGATTTTTCCGGGGACTGAGGTGAGGCTGACTGGCCTGTAGTTCCCAGGATCCTCCTTCTTCCCTTTTTTAAAAATTGGCACTACATTAGCCTTTTTCCAGTCATCCGGGACTTCCCCCGTTCGCCACGAGTTTTCAAAGATAATGGCCAATGGCTCTGCAATCACAGCCGCCAATTCCTTTAGCACTCTCGGATGCAACTTGTCCGGCCCCATGGACTTGTGCACGTCCAGCTTTTCTAAATAGTCTCTAACCACCTCTTTCTCCACAGAGGGCTGGCCATCTATTCCCCATGTTGTGATGCCCAGCGCAACAGTCTGGGAGCTGACCTTGTTAGTGAAGATAGAGGCAAAAAAAGCATTGAGTACATTAGCTTTTTCCACATCCTCTGTCACTAGGTTGCCTCCCTCATTCATTAAGGGGCCCACACTTTCCTTGGCTTTCTTCTTGTTGCCCACATACCTGAAGAAACCCTTCTTGTTACTCTTGACATCTCTCGCTAGCTGCAGCTCCAGGTGCGATTTGGCCCTCCTGATTTCATTCCTACATACCCGAGCAATATTTTTATACTCTTCCCTGGTCATATGTCCAACCTTCCACTTCTTGTAAGCTTCTTTTTTATGTTTAAGATCCTCTAGGATTTCACCGTTAAGCCAAGCTGGTCGCCTGCCATATTTACTATTCTTTCGACACATCGGGATGGTTTGTCCCTGTAACCTCAATAAGGATTCTTTAAAATACAGCCATCTCTCCTGGACGCCTTTCTCCCTCATGTTATTCTCCCAGGGGATCCTGCCCATCAGTTCCCTAGGTTGTCAAAGTCTGCTTTTCTGAAGTCCAATATTCTTCATCGGGATAACATTGGACGTTTGACACCAGTTTATACCAGCCGAACATCTGACTCTTACTATTTTGCAATTCTCCCAATCCAATATTCAGTTACTGGCACTAATATTCTCTGCACAAAGGATCAGCCCAAATTCACCCCCCACAACAGGTTCCACATCCACTCTGGCTCCACTTGGAGGTTGGTCACGCATGACTTGCCCTGGGTGAATCCATGTTGACTGTTCCTGATCACCTTCTTCTCCCTCCAAGTTTGTGGGAATTCTCCCTCCAAGTGCTTCAAAATGGATTCCTTGAGGACCTGCTCCATGATTTTTCCAGGGAATGGGGTGAGGCTGACTGGTCTGTAGTTCCCCAGATTCTCCTTCTTCCCTTAATAATGATTATTTTAGATTGATTATAGCATCTACCCTCCTAAAAGATTCCAAAGTGCCTCAAACTATATTCATATTGCACAAAGAAAAGTACCCACTTCTGGAGTGGGGGCAGTAACCAGCCGGTGACTGCACATGTAATGCCAACAGACCCTGGTCATCGTTGGCGGGATTGAACCTGGGACCTCTGGAGTTAAATGCATGAACTAAAAGCCATATGGCTGTTAGTTAAGGCTGTAGAGCAGACTCATTCATCTGTGTCTTTAAGTGGTCTCAGTGCCACTACATGGGACAGAACACCACACCCGGGAGGTGTGTGGCTTACACATACTTCATAATTGGGGGAAGAGGGGAAATTTTGGCCAACTTAGCAAATCATGCTCAATATGTCATGGGATCTTTAATATGCATGGAGAACAGAGAAGATCTTAACGTTTAAGATCTCACCCAAAAGACAGCATACAGATATTGTATGTTGTAGAGAGAGCATCATAATTGGAACAAAACAATCTAAAGAACTGTTACTGAATCTTTTAGGTTCAAAACACAAAATCCATTTTTTTAATTAAAAAAAGAAATCTTTATATGATTTTCAGTGTCTTTTGATCAGAATGGTAAAATGATCAGAATGACTGGGAGCACTTCGCTTCTTAAATATCTGTATTAATGGCTGTAAGTCTCCCCCCCCCCCCCAATCTTATAAAGCACAAAATAAAGATTAAAAGATGAAAGGAAAAATGTCTGAGGAGCTTCATCTGTATGTCATTTTGTTCCTAAAATTATAGGTTGTAAAAATAAACTTGTCATGTGGTTCTCTTGTGAAAGGTGGGTGTTCAGTTGATGAGACAAGAACAATGATAACAATTTTGTAGTCTCTGCAGGAAAACTCAGTTGGATTTTGTTTTTACCCGAGGTTAGTAGTTGATAAGGAGGGAGGTTGTTGGGGACATTCTCCACTGCTTTTGGTATATGCAAGAGTGCCAGTGCATTATTTTTAGTCACTTTTGTGTGGTCCCCAGATGCCTTTAGGTTGGGACAGCATACAAACAAAAACATCTATTACTACTGGAATGGTTATTTGTTTCACTTATTGAGCAGGTTTACTAAGCATCTTAGCTCCAGTCTCCTATGTGAACCAATGAAACTGCTAGGAGAATGCTTAGCCTCAGAAATTGCAGAAGGTCAATTTTCTAAAACCATAGTCTCACCTATATGGCTGCTGCCCAGGTTGCTTTCAGTCTTCTGGCTCTCAGGCAGGCTTATGTGTAGGGTAACTTCTTCAGTATGGACAGGAGAAACTTGTTCCTTGTTTTCATATATAGATGATTCCACAGGACTGCTGCTGGCTTTCTCTTCAGAGGTGATGCCATCTAAAGCAGGACTAACCTAATTAGATGATTTATAGAAAAGATTTTAAAACATAAAACATATCAAGATGTAACTTAATTGCACCTAGCTCCAATTCCATCTGCCACTTTTCGAAAGGAAGTAGCCTTATTATCTATCTACATTATATATTGTGTGTGGAGAAAATGCACTGTGCGTTCCATACAAAGTGCACACTTCTTTATACTACAGTTTTATTGGCGGTAGGATGCAATTATTGCTGCTCAGAAACAGAACTGATATAGTGAGCACAGTTCACTGGAACATTGAGCGACTGTGTTCAGAAAAATGACTCAGGAAAATTGACATTGTGTATTGGTTCTCAAGGACTTCATAACAAATTTCCGAAAACATACAAGTAAACAGGTGCTTTTCTTTAACTGCCAAAGCTGAAAATTCAGCCTTGGATCTGAGTCAAGCATAGCTTGTTACCAGTGATAAAGACTCTGCATTTGAAACTGGGCAAGTCTGCTGCTAATGTATAGAATCCATATTACTTGTTAAGGTCTTCTGGATTTGCACTGGAATAAAGAGTGATAAAACTTTGTTTTAGTTAGCAAAGAAAGTGGATATGAAAGAGAATATAGACAAGGAGTTGTGAATTCAGAAGGTGTCATTTCTAAATAGTCAATTTTCTTATATGAATAACACTTTTATATTATAGAATTAGAGTGGAAAACCATGGTGAAGAGTCAGCTCAGCAGTTTTATTGTACATTATGTTTGACAGTCTCTCTTATAACAGGTCTATCACTTTCTTCAAATTTAAAAAAGAGATTAGTTTTGAAATACCTTGGAGCCAATTAAACTCTAATATATAAGAAGAAGAAGCTAAAGATTGGGCTGATTAAAAAAAATCAGATGAAATATCCTCAAATTGTCCCATTGATTTACTGTGGGACTTTAACAACATTGTTAAAATGTAAACTTTTTTTTTTTTAATCAAGACAGCAGTTACAGGGCATGATAAGATTGATGGTATGATTTTTTTAAAACCGCACTGGAGGAAAAAAAAAAAAAGATTCACTGGAAATGCCACCCTGGAATCAACTAATTATCCCAGCTTTCTTTTTTTTTAAAAAAAATTAAGCGTCTAACTTTGTGGTTGCAGAGGAAAGAATGAAAATGTGACCTGTGTATACATGAAATGCTCAGAAAACCCCAAATGTATTATTTTAATTTTTTTTTATAATTTTAAAACTGATTCCATGATATTTTGGGAGGCCCAGACTCTATTTTTGAATGCTTGCGTTTGTCAATGTTGCATAACTGTTTTTCAAATCTAACAAGCTCTACTGGCTGGAGTGTCTAAATCAGTCTGATGAAATGCCCTTGGACCCACCATTCTTTCAAGGGAAGATTTCGCTGTTGTTGTGCATGTGCCATTGTCACCCGCTGATGTCTGAAGTTTAAATCTCGTTCCCAAAGCGCCACGGTTTGTTAGGATGATCATCCGTGAAATTGTCTCCCCCACCACGTGAGTGCCAAAGTCAATGAGCTCTTTATCTAGTGCCAGCTGTAAGGAGAAAAACCATAATTACTGCTGTCCTAGATAGTCAGTAATGTCAATTAAATGAACATCTACCATTTTCAGCATAAGACTTGAAAGTCCTTATTACCTCTTCAAAGACAATGTCAAATAATGACACAAATTATGGGCACTCTTCTGTCTTTTGTGTAGAAGCCAACCCATCTGAACAACAAAGTCATATTAAAGTGAACAACTTTCCTTTCACTCCATTAAATGATGCTGGAAACAGTTGGCCAGATTCTGCGATTAGTTACATCATTGCATAAATCTGTGGTAACTCCCATGAAATCCAGGGAGTTATTCTGTATTTATACATTGGTTTTCAGGGCAGAATTTGGCCCTGTTGTTCTTTTTATATCACAATTAGTTGGACTTATCTCGCTGGAAAAGAAGAGTGTCCAATGTATTGTATTGACTCGCAATCAATTTGTGACACATTCTAGCTTGTTAGGTCTATAACAGCTTTAACCTCATAGTGACTCATTAGTAGAGGTGGAATTTTCATTGATCTTGTAATTAAGTTTATGGAAGAGGCATATGAAATAGTTTCAAGCATCACGTGGCTGAAGAGAATGAGTCTTTCTTTAGTAAAACTTGTTAACCTTCAATCTGCTAGCAGACCACAGTGGGCTGAATTCCCACAAACTTTTAAAGCATACAGAATGTTTCTTTATACAATTTACACTTCAATTCGTAAAATATTAAAGTTGCTATAGTTCAGATCTTTCCCCTTTCCGCATCTTTCTTTAAAGCTTCCACGGACCCTTTCCCATAGAAAGTGTTATTTCTTTTGAAAGGGATGGAAAACAAATCCATTTTATAAGAGGCAACTTTAAATGAAGCAAAGACATAGGAAAATTACTTTGGTTGACAAGGACTCTAGTTATGTGAAATAGAGAATGTACACAACTGTAATGGCCTGGAAAATCATTGAATCCATGATAGCAGACAACTGGCCATCTGCTCTTTCAAATCCATATATACAACTCAAAGGCTTTATGATCACTGAGATGTTTTCTTATGGGTTTGCTGTGCTGCTAAATTTCACATTTAGTAGCAAATAGATATTAGAGCAGCTGATTTATTAGGCAATTTATTTACTGGCAATTTGCTGCCAAGTCAGGGGTGAAGTTCTGAATCAGGCACTACGGTGATATTTAATACCAGTATTCATGGCCATAGGCACCAACTCATGGGTGCTCCAGCGCTGGAGCACCCATGGAAAAAAATAGTGGGTGTTCAGCACTCACTGGCAGCCCCCCCAATCAGCTCCTCCTTCCCCCCAGCACCTCCCACCCTCCGGTGGCCCTGACTATCAGCTCCTCCCCTCCCTCCCAGTGCCTCCCACCCACCCAGGAGGTGCTGGCGAGAGGGGGAGGAGCAAGGGTGGGGTGCGCTTGGGGGAGCGGTGGAATGGGGCAGGGGTGGGGGGTTGGGAGAAGGGATGGAATGGGGGCGGGGCCTGGGATGGAGCAGGGGTCGAGCACCCCCAGCAACTCATAAAGACAGTGTCTGTGTTCATGGCTATGGGAAATCAACAAAAAGTTGCTCATTTCAAGGGTTGACTTTTTTACCTTGACTTGTAGGGAACAGAGGGATGATTAGAAGAAGCACCTTTTGTTGAAGAAAAATGATGGATTTAGGGCTTGGCTACACTTGCGAGTTAAAGCGCTTTAAAGCAGCCCTGGGTGTCCTAGCTCCACTACCCTTCCACACTGGCAAGGCATGTAGAGCGCTCTGACTCTGCGGTTAGAGTGCTCCAGGTACTCCACCTCGGCGAGAAGATTAACACTTGGTGCGCCTTGGCTGAAACACCCGGGCATCAGTGTGAACGAGGTGTTGCATTACTGCGGTCTGATAAGCTTCCAGAAACATCGCATAATCCCCTTAAGTCAAGTGGCCACTCTTGTCATTGTTTTGGAATCACTGCAGGAATGAGGATATGCCCTTTGAAAGCTCTGTTTCTGACAGCCGGCTGCTTATCTGCTCCAAGACAAAGCAAACCATTACTGTGGAATGCTGTGTATGAGAGAGAGAGAGGCTGGGGGGGGGGAAGGGGGAGTCTACTGCTGTCTGAACTTACAAGACAGCATGCTGACCTGGTCTCAGCCCCCCAAAAACCCACACTCTCCCCCCCTACATACACACAACACACTCCCTGTCACACTCCCCCCCATTTGAAAAGCACGTTGCAGCCACTTGCATGCTGAGATAGCTACCACAATGCACTGCTCTCTGTAGCCGTTGCAAGAGCTGCTAATGTGGTCATGCCAGTGCGCTTGCAGTTGTCAGTGTGGACAGACTACAGCACTTCCCTACTGCGCTCTACAAAGGCTGGTTTAACTCAAAGCGCTCTACATCTGCAAGTGTAGCCCTGCCCTTCGGGCTTGTCTACACTTACATTTTATAGCGCTCTAACATGTTGGTTCAGGAGGGTGAAAAATCACCCCCTGAGCGCAGCACGTCGGAGTGCTTTAAAGCGCTAGTGTGGACAGGCTTCGAGCGCTGGGAGCCATGCTCCCAGCACTCTGAGCTAATCCCCTCGCGGAGGTGGATTACCAGGAGCGCTGGGAGAGCTCTCTCGCAGCGCTCGCGCACAACCACACTTGCGCTTCAAAGCGCTGCCGCAGGAGCGCTCCTGCGGCAGCGCTTTGAAGTTTCCAGTGTAGCCATGCCCTTAGTACATGCTCCACTTTCAGTATCAAGTAATCCTACTGAAGTCAAAATGACTTCTCATGTGCTTAAATGTAAGCACATGGTTAAGTGGTTTACTAGATTGAGGACTTCCTGAATAATACACTGCATTTCTTTTCACAGTTTCTATTTTCTTATTTTTCCTCTTCTATGTATTTGATTATTTTTGCTTTGTTCCACTATCTCGGAGTAAAACTTGCTGTCTGCTGAGCTCTCAATGTGAAATACAATAAAGGAACTTAAACAATCCAAACTCAAACTTTTCTGAATTTTAACAACAGTACTAAAAATTCCAAGCTAGAGCAAAACAAATGTTTTCGACAAACTTTTTTCAGCAAAAGATGCAGATTTGAAAACGTGGAAACATTTTGCAGATTCACATTGTTTTTGCCTAACATTTTAAGTCAAGAAAAAAACCCCAAAACCCTTCAAATCAAACCATTACATTTTGATATTTTCAAAATGAAATGTTTACATTTTTTTTTGGTTCAAAATAATTTTTCATTTTGAAATTTCCTTTAATTTTATTTTTAAAATTAAACTTTAAAAAAATGTTCAACCAAAATGAAACCTTTTGTTCAAGCTGAAATGAATTTTTTTCAACTCTTTGATTCATGGAAAATTTTTGAAAAATTTCCTTTTTGGTTTGATCTGACACAACTTTAAAATAATTAATTTTATTTATTTATTTATTTTAGAATTGCCAATGAACTGAAAAATCTATAATTTGCCCAGTTCTACTCCAGGATATTTCTCCTGTGTCTAAATCCTTTTTATACCTGTTTGGGCTGCTAAAAGGACTACTAGGAATACTCCAAATTTTGTATTTGCAACCGATTCCTCAGTGACTGCTATATTGGAAAAATCATCCTGCATACCCATTTCCATCCAGTGTCTAGATTTGTTTAGTGTCAGTCTGTAGGCACACATTGTTTATCCCCATCTTTTTTGGTCTGTGATGCAATCTTGTGACTGATATATCTTCACTTATCTGATAAGGAAGTTTCAAAAGAGCTGCTGCTCTGCCAAAGTACATTCTTCAAAGTAGCCCATGAGAAATCAAATGCCCCCACTTAAGAAAAACTAGTGCCTCCTGTGAAAATACGGTGTGTCATAGCTTAAATATAATAGGTATATGTTCCTCATTTAAAACCAGGTTTAAAATTTTTCTAAAGGCTGACACTTTGCGTAAGGAGAGATAGTTTATAAGTTTTATTATGAATAGATGGAGGGATCTAAAGATGTTATATGATTTTTTTTGTCTAAATGGAAAGCTAAGCTTATGAACAATTTCCTAGACATAGGCTGGATTTTCAAAGAAACGTAAGGAAGTAAGGTACGCAACTTCTGTTTGTGACTTTGAACATCTTTTCCCCTCTCCTGTCATATTGTGCCACAATTTTTAAAACAACTCCCAACTGGTTTCCACTGGAAGTTAAGGTCACAGCTCATGGTGAGCTGTATACGTTAAAGTGATTTTTTTAAAGGTCTCAGTGAAACCCTCAGCGTTTGATTGTAATGTGTAAGATAGCACGTCTTCTCATACAATAAGTTATTTTCACATCCAGTAAAATATGAAATACATGTTGTAATGTTATGTTCAAAATAAAACGAGAAGGAAAAGTAATGGGTGTTGGCTACATGTACCACGCATTTACCTACCCTTTTTGCATGTTAATTAGAGGACCCAAATGATAAAGGCTTAACTATAATTTTAACAGATTTTAACTATAAGCACATGAGTACCTTGTAAGCTCTTTGGAGGCAGAACATCTGTTTGTTCTGTGTTTGTACAGCCCCTAGCCCCATGGGATCCTTGTGCATGACTAGGGGATCTAGGCACTTCTGTATTGCACATAATTAATAAATAGTAGTAGTAAGAGTCCCACTGACTCCAGTTAGAGTAGAGTACTCACATGCTTAAAGATAAGCACATGCATAAATCTCTGTAGAGTTTGGGGCCGGAGACTTTAAAAAAACAGCATTTCTTGTTTAACTCAAAATATAACAATGCATCTACTAGGCACAAATGTTGGACATTGTAAGGTTCTTTGTAAGCATGTTAGTAAACAAACTATAAACAAATCTTTATGAAATATGCTAATAGTAATGCTGCACTTTCATAGAAGAATCTATTCAGGAATGAATCATTATGGCAAAAGAGTACTTTAGACAGAGAGGAATAAGTGAAGTGTATACATTTCTATGTATTCTCACTAATATTTATATTCATTTTGCTCTTACACTGGACTCTCTCATCCAAAGTATTTAAAGTTAAAAAAGTTGACTTACCACACATCTCTTGGTTGTACATTTCAGTGGAATGGAAAAGGAACCATTCTGAGCCAAAAATGTGACTTTTCCTTCAAGAACTTCATTTATCTAAACAAAATAATTTAAAAAAATTAATGATGCATCTAAACAGATTAAACATTAAATCTTTAGTCATCTGAACAAGTCAATAAATAAACTAATTACAGTAAAGAAGAAATAAATACATTCTTAAGGTTCGATACTGTAACATAATTTTAGTGTGTCTAGGTTTCTATGTAACTGCAATCTTTTTTTCGTAATTATCTAACTTATTTCAGGAGGTAACATCTAATATGTTCCAGTTTGGAGCAATTTTCAGCCTGAGAATACATGCTACAGATATACTTAATGCTTGGAGTTATAAACAAATATTGCACTAAAAAATGCCAGTGTGTGGTGTGCAAGATAGTTAAATTAGAATATTATTTTTAAGGTTGTAATTATCTTTGTTTCCTTTCTAACAATAAACAAAATCGGACTAAAATGATACAATTATCAAATTAGGTGGGTGGATAACACTATTATTCACACCATCCTGTAACTAACGTATCTGTATTATAATTGCTGCATAAAGTGCACTTACCATTGGTTTAAATGTGACCACCACTTCACATGACATTCCAGCAGACATCTGGCCAGGTGGATCAAAGCTGTGCAGATCATAAATGTATGGCACTGAGTTAGATTTATATATCAAAATCCAGTTCCCAAAATTCACAGGAAAATTACATATTTTTACTTGGGTGAATTTATTACACACAAGTCAGAAAGAGTAACAGGCCAGTGAAAGGCTGTGCAAACATTGAGAAATAATAAATAATCACACTTTGTACTTGTATAGAGCTTTTCACTGGAAAATCTCAAAGTGCTTTAAAAAGGACGAGTGTTATTGTACCCATTTTACAGATGGGGAAACTGAGGCATTGGGGGTGAAGTGATTAGCCCAAGATCATACAAAGTACCAGTAGCAGTGTCAAGAATAGAACCTAAGTCTTTTGACTGCAGTCCCCTGTTCTAGCTACGAGGACACAGCTTCTCCTAATATCTACATGTGTCTGTTGAGCATCCTGACCTGTAATACCTCTGCTAATCAAGTTCCAGAGCAAGGAAAAAAAGAGATAAATTAAAAAGAACCATGCAGTTGCAAGCTGACTACACAACATTACAGTATGTGTTGTCTGTTGCAAATTGTACAGACAGCAACATTTATATCTTATCCTCTGAGTAGAAGTTGCCAGTCATTTCAAATTGTGCCATATTTTACGGTCTTTGTGATGTGAACAAAAAGTCCACCAGGGACTTCAGTGAGACCATTAAACTTCTTTTCAATTGTGACTGAAACAGGATTTATGAGACAAGAAATCTAGCTGCTGCATTCTAAGTACTGCTAGTGAGTCACAGCTGAGGGTCTGTTCTGGCAACATGCCAGAGAAGATGGAAACTAAGCAAATGAAATAACTGGATATTATTAGTAAGGGGAATTCCCAGGCAAGCTGGACTATCTTGGCACTGTTAGAAACACACCTTAAATCATAAGAAAAACTAATCTTATTAAAGGCACATTTTAAAAAAATCCTCCTCCAATCACACTTGGAAAAAGGGAACACCATTCAAGGTTCTGGGGTTGAAACATGCTTACAGTCTAGAGAAAGTTTGCTGGACTAATCTTCGCTCTTAGCAAGGACCCTCAACCGCAAAGGTAGCCTAAATTCAGCCAGTGCAGCCTGTAAATGGCAAAGATGATGACCTTTCATTGGAGAGTAATCAACATCAAGGTCCAAACATCTGCAATGTTTACTACTTCACCATATTACGTACATTCATTCACACTGTATCTCCTTGCACCCCTAAACATGTCTGCATTATTGCAGTTTGTGTGTGTGTGTGTGTGATGGGGGGAGAGTAGTGTGGACAGCTATGGAGTCCCTTATGGAAAATTCCTACAGGATATTATAGAAACTGAGATCCTTTCAAACTGGGGTTTTGAATGGTCCTATAAAACTTAATGGAGAATTCTGTCCCTGCTATAGAATTCTACAGAATGTCTCTCTTTAAGACTCTTACATTCTAGAGGCTTTTGGAGTAATATCTAAGGAACCATGTTGGTTACATCCATATTGAGTTCTACAGCCCTTTTCCATATGGGTAGCTACATGGGGTTTTGAGTCTGCTCCTATTCGAGTCAATGAAAAAACTCCCATTAACCTGGATGATGCAGGATCATGTCCAGGATGACTCCAGAGCTACCCTTTGTGTGCTGAGCTCCTGGGCAGACTACTCTGTGGGAACATATAGAGGGATGAGGACTCCCAGTGGTGGGTCAGGGGTCTGTGAACTCCTTGGATCCACTGGCCCTCAGATCTGCCCATGAGGGAGCAGCAACTGCCTGAGGCAGTTTGACCTGGCAATAGCTAGGAGTAGCAGCGAGGGAGACACTCCATGCTGCCATGGGCCATGTGTGCATGCATACAACCCATATAATTGGAACACATATTCTAGTTATAAACAGGTTTGTTTTGAACTTGCTCATTGATTGATGACTCCCATGTGCAGTGCAGTATGTCCATTAGTATGAGAACATAGCTGTCCTTTGGTGGAAATACTCTCTATCACTAGTATTATTTTTAAAACACAAAGTATGTAACTGCCTGCCTTATGAAAAAATTCTAACAGTGGAAGAAAATCCACATGTGCGACTCTCTTAAGGGAAGGTAGGTAAGTCAGCTATTAAGACAGCTTTGATTTACTCCGTAGTTTCTGAATGCTTGGCAAAAATTGGTTGGAGTAATAAATTGTTAATCTATGGCTTTCTACTTGAGATAAGGTAAAGCATTACACAGCCTTATTTACAAACGTGATCTGTGCTGTACAAGCAATTAGTATATTATCTTACACAGTCTTATTGGAAAAAAGATATATAGGTAAAATTTCTAGCTAGCTACTTGGTAAATGTAAGGGGAAAGAGTATAATTTAGTTTTTGAAACCTAAATTAATTCAGACATTTTTCCATGCAGTTTCCCAAAAACTGCATTAACGTACTTTGCTCACAGTACCTGAAGCTTAATTTGAAATTGGAAGGTACTTTGACAAACCTATTATACCAAGGTAAGATTTAGGATTTTTAGCAAGTTGTAATTTATATTTCAATCACATATCAGAAATGTTGAATTAAATATGCAATTCAATGAACATGCTAAATAAAGAAAAAAAATAACCAATCCTCAAGAGCATCCAAAGATGTGTAAGAAAATGGCTTTCCTAATCCATAAAAAAGTGTATTCATTTAATTTTAATTAAGAAGTCTTAATAGTTAAAATAATTGGTTCAAATTTTAGATCAATGTACAGTAGACTCCAAAGCTGGCATAAAGTTAGACTCCTATTCAGGAAAGCACTTAAGCATGTTTAAAATTAAGCATGTGCTTAGGTGCTTTCTTGAACTGGGGTCAAATTTGCATCTGTTTCTCCATGAGTCTGTGACTAAATTGTTCAGCATCCAACCTCTTCCCCTTTAACAATGAATGTGACAATGTTCAAGACACTGTAATAGCTTAAACTAGTCAATAGAGTCAAATGTCCTATTTCTAATTCAAAATGTGTTAAATTAAATTAAAATTGCAAAGGGCCATGAAAGGCTGTACTGAGAAGGATATTTGAAAGCAAGAGGTTAAATTTAACAAGAGCTTCTACAGCAGATTGAATTCAGAACTTTTAGCTCTCAAGGAGGTTGTGCTCACTCAGTAACTGTATCTTGTTGATATTCCAATACACTGTTGTAGGGACTGAAAGGATGGGGGTTGGTTTGTTAAGCACCATGGCTTATCTTATTGAGGCGGCTAGAAATTGAAAGCACAGCCTATCTCTACAAAGTGGCAGAGGGCAGTGAGCTGTAAAATAGAATCTCTCGAGTATGAAATCAGTTATTGTATTAACATGACTTGTTCATTTCAGTGGGCAATATTTTGTGTCACTTCACTGGGGTACAACAGAAACATCAATGTCAGAAACTATTTCCTCAGGTTAGCCTGAAGAGTTGGCAACTTTTAAATTCAATTATATGCAAAGCAAGCAAGTTTGGTTCAAGCTGTTTCATCTGTTAATAAATAGCATTTACACACACAATGCTGGCTTTTTTCACTTTTAAGCCTGATTATAATTGGTCTTCTTTTGTTTGGTTTAATAGAGTTCCAAATAAATGTGATATTTCCTTGGTATTTTTTTAAATTAAAGTTACTGAATTCTTGGGTTCAGAACATCTTAATCTAAGATTAGCCCATCCTTAAAAAGAAACAGACCTGGGATGCTCTCATTTGCTGATTCATAGGTATACAAAGGAATTTATCAATATAGTCGTTTATTGGAATCTGTCCCAACTGGACAAAATATTTTGCTACATAATCTATTATCAATATTATGTTAAAGAATTGATGTAGACATCCCTAGAAATTTCTATTTAAATGATCTTTGTTGTAAAGATTTCTATTCCTTTATTTCATCAGCTCTTTTCATCTTAGCCTTTCATATGAACTACCAATAATCAGGAAGTTAACCTGAGCCATACCACAGAGGATGGCAGCTGACAGAAATTTTTTTGCCTATGTTAATGTAAAATCCCTTTCGGTAGCCCAGACAGAAACTCAGGTCCCTTTTCGCTAATTACCAGAGCGGTTCTTTGCCTTTTTCAAAGTGCCTGATATATTAAGTAAGAAACAATAGAAGTATTAATTAAGGCTTGAACCAAAGCCCACTAAAGCGAATAGGAGTCTTTCCATTGACTTCAATGAGCTTTGGATTAGCCCCTTGTTCACGATCACTATCAGATACTACAGAGATGGGCATGTTAGATTTACTAATATTCTCTTAATCCTCATTTTGCAAGACCATGTAATTTTTTCCCCTCACACTGGCATGGAATATTAATGATTTTAGATAAAACAAAAAGTCAGATAATTCTCATGCCCCATCCCTCCTCACTCTTTTGTCTGTTTATTTAGCTTGCAAGATATTTGGAGCAGGAATCTGTTACCCTACATCAGCCAGATTTTCAAATGCTCAGCACCCACAACTGGAACCAGATTTTCAGAGAAAAAAGAAAAATCAACTCCCCTGTAGGAACCTAAGTAAATAGTCAGATTTTCAAAAGTGCTCAGTTTGCTGGATGCCAGGCTCCTTTGAAAATCTGACCAATTATTGAGGTGCCTAATTGGGATCTTAAAATCTGGTCTCAGTTGTGGCTGCTGAGCCCTTCTGAAAATTCTGGTCCATGTCTATAAACTCCAGTGCTTTTCTGTGCAGTTAATTATAACAAATCATCTTATCACCAATGTGTGAGTGGAAAGTGGGCATCTAACTCCCTTAGGTGTCTTTAAAAAGAAATCAGTTAAGGCAGGCATTTTCAAATACCTAGAATATGGACGGAACTATGTGAAATTAAATTCTATCTTGTCTAAAGACCTTCATGTAATTACCAGAAACAAAGGGTAGGAATTAGGAAATGAAGGATAGGAATAAACGGTCAGTTTTCAGAATGGAGAGAGGTAAATAGTGGTGTCCCCCAGGGGTCTGTACTGGGCCCAGTCCTATTTAACTTATTTAGAAAAAGGGGTAAACAGTGAGGTGGCAACATTTGTAGATGATACAAAACTACTCAAGATAGTTAAGTCCCAGGCGGACTCCAAAGAGCTATAAAAGGGATAGATAAGACAGAAAATATCATATTGCCTCTATATAAATCCATGGTACACCCACAATTTGAATACTGTGTGCAGATGTGGTCGCCCCATCTCAAAAAAGATATACTGAAATTGGAAAAGGTTCAAAAAAGGTCAACAAAAATGATTAGGGGTATGGAACGGCTGCCATATGAGAAGAGATGAATAAGGCTGGGACTTTTCAGCTTGAAAAAGAGATGACTAAAGGGGGGATATGACAGAGGTCTATAAAATCATGACTGGTGTGGGGAAGGTAAATATGAGAGGGAATAAATAACACTTCCTTAACACAAGAACTAGGGGTCACCAAAATAAATTAATAGGCAGCAGGTTTAAAACAAACGAAGTATTTTTTCACACAACACACAGTCAACCTGTGGAACTCCTTTCCAGAGGATGTTGTGAAGGCCAAGACTATAACAGGTTCAAAAAAGAACACGATAAATTCATGGAGGATAGGTCCATCAATGGCTATTAGCCAGGATGGGCAGGGATGGTGTCCCTAGCCTCTGTTTGCCAGAAGCTGGGAATGGACAACAGGGGATGGATCACTTGATGATTACCTGTTCTGTTCATTCCCTCTGGGGCAGCTGGCATTGGCCGCTGTTGGAAGACAGGATACTGGGCTAGATGGACCTTTGGTCTGACCCAGTATGGCCATTCTTATGTACCTGATAATTTTTCTAGTCACATTTTATTTTACTCCAAAGCAAGTTATTTCCAAGAAGGCAAAATACACAAACGTCAATCAATAGGATGGATCTCTTCAAAGTTGCACTGTATTTAAAGGCAACAAGAATTGCATTTTTAAGTGTTTTGCTTAGGGAAAGCTTGAAACATACTATATATTATGTTCAGATTGAATTATTTTATATGCTTTCACAATATATTAACAAGAGAATCACTATAGGCAGCTTGTGCCCAGCAAAAGCTTGACTGAAATATTAATTAGGACTATGGGAATTTTCAAGCTTTCCCATTTCTATCCCAGATACACTTCTGTTACAGTTAAAAGCTATTCCTGTGATATGCACCCTAGCTAAAAAGTCTGGGAATAGAAAGAAGAGGCAGAATCAGGAAATGTTCTCGCTTCTTATGTATGCGCGCACATAAATGCACATGGCATCTCCTTCTATGCAAAAGAGTACTTTACAATTTCTGCACCTTAATGGCTGTTTAAAATCCATACCAACAAGGAGTCCGGTGGCAACTTAAGACTAATGGATTTATTTGGGCATAAGCTTTCGTGGGTAAAAATTTGATGCATCTGAAGAAGTGGGTTTTTACCCACGAAAGCTTATGCCCAAATAAATCCATTAGTCTTTGAGGTGCCACCGGACTTCCTGTTGTTTTTGTGGATACAGACTAACGTGGCTCCCCCCGATACTTAAAATCCATACCATTTCCCTTTGGTAGGGGAGGGTCTGTGTGCTCCCAAGCACATGTGGTGTTATGATCATGGGGAATGCCTAAACCTCAGTACTCTCAGGGGACCAAGGCAGGGTTGAAATCCCTCTGCAATGTCTTTGTGGCTCAGTGGCTATCAGTCGCTTTGCGGAGCCAGTACTTTGTAACACTTCTAGTGGGGTTCCCAGTGTGCTAAATGGAAATTAATACATGCAGGTGCAAGATACAGTAACTCCTCACTTAAAGTCATCCTGGTTAATGTTGTTTCGTTATTACATTGCTGATCAATTAGGGAACATGCTCGTTTAAAGTTGTGCAATGCTCCCTTATAATGTCGGCAGCCGCCTGCTTTGTCCACTGCTTACGGGAAGAGCAGCCCGGTGCAGCTAGCTGGTGGGGGCTTGGAACCAGGGTGGACTGGCAGCTCCCCACTCCCCTAAGTTCCCTGTGCAGAAGCCACTGCTCCTACCCTCTGCCTTGGAGCTGCTCCCCGAGCCTCCTGCTTGCTGGGGGAGGAGATAAGGGGGGCTAATGTCAGGGTGTCCCCCCCTGCTCCCGGACCCCACTTACCCCATCTCCATAGAGCAGGGGGACACACAAGAGGGCTTAGGATGGAGAGGGCTTCCTGGCAGCAGCTGTGGTCTCAGTTTGCTGATTAACTTAACAAGGCAGTGAACTTAAGAGTGGGTCAGCCTACTTAAAGGGGAAATGCGCATCTCCCTCTCACACACAGGGTGCCTGTCGCTGTCTCCCCTCCCTCCATTCCTGCTGCCTTGTAGAGTGTGAGGCTATATTAACAACGAGTTAACCCCTTGAGGGCTCAGCCAATTGCTAGTTTATCATTTAGCACTAAGGCAATCCCTGGGAAATATCCCACTCTCTGACTTCACCACCTCAACCAAGGTTCACAATCATCATTGCTGTGTACAGTATTAAATTATTTGTTTAAAACTTATACTGTGTGTGTATATATATATATATATATATAGTCTTTTGTCTGGCAAAAAAAAATTTCCCTGGAACCTAACCCCCACCGCCCCCTGCATTTTACATTCATTCTTACGGGGAAATTGGATTCACTTAACATTGTTTTGCTTAAAGTCAATTTTTCAGGAACAAAACTACAATGTTAAGTGAGGAGTTACTGTATGGAGTATCCTGGCCCTGTACCAGCAAAACACTTAGGCACATGCCAGCAGCCAGTTAACTTCAAAGTTAAGCTCACAGGTTAATACTTTGCAGGATGGAGCCCTAAGTTCTGTGGTACACCTCTACCCCAAAATAATGTGACCTGATATAACACAAATTCGGATATAATGCAGTAAAACAGTGCTCCAGTGCGGCGGGGCTCCACGCTCTGGTGGATCAAAGCAAGTTCGATATAACACGGTTTCACCTATAACGAAGTAAGATTTTTTGGCTCCCGAGGACAGCGTTATATCGGGGTAGAGGTGTATTTACTGGCCAGAGAGTCACTGGGTTTGGAGAGGGAGTGTGGTGAATAGAGCAGCAACTCATTCATTCATACTCCCTCTTATGTGATCGCTCCCTCTGAAATCCCACAGTGCCATACTTTCATGTTAGTTGCACCGTGAGGTTTCTGCAGGCTTTGGAAAGGTGGGGAGAGTATGCAGTATAGAATTCCATGATTTAAGGGTATTACTTATGGCCAACCTTTGAGCCTCATTTCATAAACTAGGATGCATGAGGCCTCTGCAGGATTGGAACAAATGACCAAAGGTACCACTGTGAGTGGGGTCCTGATATTTTGAACATGTTGGGTACAGTGATTTTATTCAACACATTTCTGTAAAAACAGTCAACTGACAGGTCATCTTGCCAAAGAGCACAGGCCAAGATTTAAAAAAATAGATGCCTGAAGTGAGGCTCCTAATTCTGTGTCCAGGCACCGAAATGAATGGTACTGAGAACTATTGCAAACCAGGCCTCATGTTTAAGTGCTTACATTTGGATTTAGATTCCTAATTTTAGCCACCCATTTTTCCCCCCAAGTCTCAGCAGAGACGTTATATCTGCTGCAATTTCCGTTTTGGAGCGGATGGAAGTAAATAAAATCCCATTAGCACATTTTTAAAGCAGGGTGGAGGGTTCACATAAGGGATCTAATGATCTTGATGCTATGGTTTCATACTGTACATGACATAAATGAGAGATGGGAAAAGGAAGAAGAAATAGCAAAGGGAGATGAGATTTGTTTTGGAAGGTAATTTTTTACAGCTCTATTTAACAGAACTGACTCTACTGAGAATAAAATATAAATGCAATAAATACAATAGCTTCCTGATTGTAACTTTAGCCGATTGTTTTGATGTTAAGGCTGCAATAAGTCATCCTCTCAGAATTTGAGCCTGTTTACTTACTGAATATTGATGAAATCCTTGAGATGCTCACTGACTCCCACCAGCTTGCAGAAGTTAACACTGTAGGATGCATTTATCAAAATTATCTTCTTTTTGTAGGTTTTACCTACATCAAAATCCTAGAAATAGCACACAGATTCAATCACACCTCCATGGAGCTGGTAGCATTTTCACATGTGATAATGATTTTTTTTTTACAACATGTACTGCAGTAGCATCTGAAGGTCCCCATCAGGATCATGGCCCTTTATGCTAAGTGCTGTACAAACACATTTAGGAAGCTTTCCTGCCCCAAACAATCCAATTTAAGACAAGAGACACAACTGAACAACAAACAGCAAGGAGGAGGTGGGAACTAGTAATAGGATCATGTGGTAGTGTTAGCCAGCTGTGTGCACAACTTGATGTTTCCAAGCCATTTTTTTTGTTGCCTGCAGTGAATGCATATAAGAATATTATTACATTAAAGTTTGATTCAGGGTCTAGTGCTCTGAGCACAAGACTGAGAACCAGAAACTCTGAAGCAGTTTTGAAATCAGTCATTAAACTATGGTCTACACTATGGCTCCAGCTAGTTTTTAAAAACTGGTTAGGATTTAGAGGAAATTTCCCCAGTGCATATCCTTCCCCAGGCCTAAGGGTCCCGCTTCTAAAGGTGGGATCGTGTAGCTGCAGTTCCCACTGACTTCAAATGGAATTGTGAAAATTATAAATGCTATGCAAGTGTTAGGTATTATTCACTGCCTTTTAGAATTGTATTTTATAGGCACACTATCATCAATTAATTACATATTATTAACAAGGAAAACTAAATAATTACCCAACAGTAGATTAACACTAATTTGCAAATTGTTTACAAATATGAATACCATCTATTATACATCATCCTACTAAAAGGTGCAGGTAGCATAGTAGTAATTCACTGATTCATCTGGGACTCTTAAGAAGGGGGCTCCCAGTCAGTTAGTGTGCCTGCAGTCACAGTAAAGGAAATAAAAATTATTCTGCAAGTAAAAAGAGAAGTAACAATGGAATAGGGGAAACTACAAAAGAGTTAACAGCTGATCTGCTGGTCTTTTTAAACATGGGGATACTTTTAAATCTCACATGTAATCTAATGGTCAGATTTTTAAAAGTGCTCAGCACCCACAATTAGAATAAGATTTTCAAAAAAGCTCAGCAGCCTTTAGGCATGTGGAGTGACCGGATTTTCAAATGTGCTCCATACTCACCAGTAGAAGCTACTGAGTGAAAATTGGGCCATGTGAACCTTACTGAAGTAATAGGAACTTCACGCCAACCATATTTTTGGAATGAGCTAATAATTTATTACTAAAATTGTGTATGAAACTCCAGCCACAACAGGAAAAGGTAAAAAGATTTCTTCCTCTGGCCCTCATCTGTTTATGAGGCTGTCATCCTTTGTTTACTTCCATATGAAAAGAAATATGAAATGATCACTGGAGTGTTTGCCAAAGGACAGGGCACATAAAGGCAGTGCTTTCAGTCTTGTTGATAATGCACTTTAAGATTTACAAAGACTTCTCGCATTGTGCCAGAACCATGACTTCAGTTTGACACTTTAAGAGAGTTGTGTGTCCGCTTGGATACAGCCACTTTACTTTTCTACCATGTTCACTGTTTTCTTTGGGCATGTTTTTAAATGAGGAAATGGTACTGTCCAATATAGCCAAATGATTTCTGAAATTCACTGCTGAGAAGCCACCAGTTCAAAGCTTCATAAGGGATATCAAAATCTTTAAGTAAAACATATTTAGTTCTCAAAAAACTGAGAAGGGAAGCATTGTAATGAACTGGTAAAATTAAAGCGCTATAATAGCAGGGGATAATAGGGGGCTTGGCACATGTTCCACCTGCCCTCAAGCATAAAAACACCGAAGAGCTAGAGAAGTTTGCTAAGGAGTTAACACCCTGAAGCAAGAATCCTGCATATATGGTATCTGTGGAGAAGTATTATCTTCCTTTTGCAAATAAAGAAACTGTAGCATTAAGGAACTGAAGTAATTTGCCAAAGATCACACAGGAAGTATGAAGAAGAGCTAGGACTAGAACCAGCCCTGTCCTACTATGTATTTCCTCCCATGTATATGAAAAGCCACAGCAGAAAGGCTGCATGAGGGAGGATATTTCCACCCCAATTCTGCCATCACTCTACACCCACGGAGAGCCCAGTCCTCCAGTCCTCCATACTAGGAGGTATTCCAGAGCAGGGCATACAGGTTGGGAAGTATGGGCTATATATCTGTTCATCAGTTATGTACCCACCACATAGCTTACCCATGTGCCTTGAAGGAATAAACTTTGGCGCACTGACCATGAATACGGATGTGGCTGGCCGAAAAGTTGAGTTCATATTTGATGCTACAAAATAGTCATTAAAGTGTGCCTATTTGGGGAACATTTCACAATGGCCTGGAAATTGGCTCTGTAAGAGGTGACAGCGCATGGTGGGAGAGGGGGGAAAGGGGAGGAGAATGTGACATTGTGTTGAATACTAGAAAGCTTTTGTTCCTGTTAATAATTAAATTATATTTGACAGTGGGATACAAGACTTTCTTTAAGCAGCTTTTTATTACATTAATATTGTATTTATACCACATACTCTTGAAACAGTTATTACGTTAAGTAATTTACTTTTAATTGATTAGCATGGAACATAGCCTAACAAGAACCACATATAATTTTATCTCCTCAGGCAGGTTCAGATTATGTGCTGACCTTTCTGATTTAATTCCTAAAAGTCTGAAAGCCCATTTAAGTCGATGGGAGTCTTGCCTTTGATTGCAATGTGCTTTTGACTGAGACACTGGTTTGTACATACAGTAAATACACAAAGCCACAATGCAAAATATGCACCAACCTTGAAGTGAATAAGACTTGGTTTGCTATAAAAAGGACACCCCTTAAATTCACGACCGGACACAACTTGTTTGCGAATAATTCCACTTCGAAGTTTCTCCAAGTTTTCAGTGAAAATCTTTCTTTCCAGTTTACTTGCACCTAGTGGCTTTGGATCTGTTTCATCTTTTGGCATCTAATAATTGAAGCCAATAAAAATGGTAATTTATTGATAAGAAACCATAGTTCAGAGATTTTTTTGTACACTCTTGTATTCCATCAAATTTTCAGAACAGAACCCAAATTTTGACCTTACAAATTTGTGCCTTAAATCCGTTCCAGAAAACATAGTTTTCATATTTTAATTAGCAGCACTGATTGGATAGCTGGGTATATAATCGGTTGATTTGTATGTGCAAATGCAGCATGTAGACAGACAACTGGTTATGCATTCAAAATTAAAGGCTAATCTGAGGCCTCTTGAAAATCAGGCTCAACGTATTCTCTAGACTAGAAAGTAAGAAGAGAAAATGATACTGTAGGTTAACAAAGCATATTTGCCAAATCTGCTCTCAGATGCTTGCATGGTGTTTCCACAGCGATGGATAAACTTATCAGAAAGTAGAATTTGGCCCTTTTAGGAAAAGCTAAAGAAGCTATCATTTAAAAGAAAAAGACTATAGGTCCAATTTTTCAAAAGCATGAAGAAAATGTGCCTGCACAGTTTTGAACATGTGTGTAATTCCAATATAGTCACAACAAGGAAGTGTGTGGTTTGGGCCATTTCTCAACTACTCTAGATAATTTAGGTTTTTCTCTTTTTACATTTAAAGAGTCAAGGAGAGGAATAGCTGAATACAAGTACTGAAAACTGTCGTCTGTATAAGAGGTAAAGTGGCAGTGAACTGAACAGATAGGAAGTGTTGAACTAGATATTTAGGCATTCATCCCTCTCATTTTAAGCTCTCTTTCTGATTACTAGCATTCTTCCAGAAGTTCCATCCACATAATGATAATCATTACGGGACAATCAACTGAGGAGGAATTTTATGTACCGTTTCTGATCCTCTCCACCCTTGTTTCAATTCCAAACTGAGCTAACAGCCCAAATGGCAGTTTGTTGCTGGTTACCAAACTATAGCCTGCAGTTTAAGCAAGTGGAAAATAGTCAAAAATGACGCAATTAGAGACAAAAGGTTCGCCAACGCCTCAGCCAAGAGTCAACAAAATCAAATGGACTACCACCTGGTTAAGTGGCCATTCTTTGGCAGGAAAGAGGAAGTGGTCAAAAATCTACATCTTGACAAAAGAAACAGCTGGAGGTTCCTGTCAACACAGACTTTTGTCTCCTGAACCTCAACTGCAGATGATTCTCGAAGAAGAGAAAGGACTGTAAGAAGAGATAGAAGGCGCCCCAAAGTATTCCTCCCTTCTCTCTACCCAGGGTTTCCAGAACACTTGAAGAACAAAGGAAACAGCTTTGGACTGGGGGAGGGATCCTGACTGAAAGAATTCAGACAGTAAGACTGTTAGAACATATGGTGAGAGAAGCCTTTGCTTTGAAATCACTTAGCTTGTTAAGTTAGTTATAGTTGCATTTTACTCTTTATTTACTTGTAACCATTATGACTTTTATGCTTCATTACTTGTAATCACTTAAAATCTGTCTTTTTGTAATTAATAAACTTGGTTTTACTGTTTTATCTAGAGCAGTATGTTTGGATTGAAGTGTTTGGGAACCTCCATTTGGGATAACAGGATTTGTGCATATCATTTTCTATTAATAAAATGATAGACTTTATATGAACTTTTATTGTCCAGGAGAAAGCTGTGCAGTACAAGACACACAATTCGGGGGGAAAGTCCGGGTCTGGGAATTTGCTGGTGATGCTCTGCAGTGTAATTCAAGGGTGGCTGGCCATAGAAGTCTTGCAGTATATCTGGGAGTAATTTACATGCTGGAAGGTGTGTGAGAGCAGACCACAAGTGGTAGCTCTCACAGCCAAGCAGTGTAAAAGGCACCCCAGGTTGGAGATCTGGGAGGACACATGTTCATCGATCCAGATTGTACCCTGGGTAATGTCACAACACTATAAACACATTTTATATTAGTGAAAAATAAATAAATAAATCCAGTCTCTGAGTAGGAGGGAGTCAGAAACCCAGCTGCCTACCAGCCAAAATGCAACAAAATGTTGACAGCTGCACACCCGCCTCTCACTCTCTGGATTTAACATAATGTAAAGAGTGAATGTGAGATTCTGGGTTATCAGCATCTGGACGTGAAAATCTCTTTACCACTGCAAAGAGGTTAGACATTCGGAAAATACAAGGGCAAATCAAGAAGACCTTACACAGCCCTCAACCAGGCAAAACACCCTTACTTGTGTCAATGAGACAGAGGGACAGACACTGCCATCTGCTACATCAGAATGTATCTGGAGTGGCTCCATTAACTTCAAGAATGGTTCCTGTTGTTAAGCATGTCCATTTCATGGTGTGGGTCTGTACTGCTTTCCAGGGTGACTACATATAGTGTTTAATTGGTCACATGATAGACAGTGCAGTGTATACATAGAAATTAGAATCAAAAATGGAATATTTTGCACTTCATGATGCCTGTTAGCCAAGGCTCTCAAAGCACGTTGGGAAAAATGATCTCAACAGAGGGAAGCTTGGAACAGGATTTACGTTAACAGTAAATTGTAGTCAGTGGATTTACTTCAGCTTTACACTGATATACCTAAGAGCAAAACCTGACCTTTAGTATGAACAGTAGGACTGGCTTAATGGAAATATGAGAGAAATTCATACTGTTGCCATTGAATGAGAAACTGCTTCAGCACTTTTACACTGGCCTATGTTGTCTCCATGTTGTTTACTTGCAAACTGGCAAGCATTACAGAGAGGCCAACATCCATCAATCAATCAAATAAAATAATGATTTAATTGGAATTGTAAATGCAAAGATTTAGTCATCTACAGAAATTTACAAACACTGCAAAATATTGGGATTTCTTTCCAGTGAACCTATTGTGCTAAGATTCAGCTTTGGAGCTGAATTAAGCTTACCAGGTTAAGGCTGTGCTAAGATCTTATTACACATACCAGTTCATCTGAAACACTGTGAGCCAAATTTATCCCTGACGTGCAACTCTCTTGACTTCAACAAGCAAGGACTTCGGGGGCTATAAATAACTGATTGGAGGTGTTCATAAAGGATATTTTGTAAGAGAAGAAAGCCATAGTTGGTAGAGGAGCCTGTGACTGGAATCTTGTCAACCCTGTTTGGCTTCTTTCTTTGCTACTTCCCTTCAGCTGGAACTCAGCCTCCCAACTTCCACTTGTTTTGTACTTTGCACCTGGGCAACACTATGTTCTGACTATTGTATACAGTAATACTGCCTCTCCCCCACTTAAAGTGAGTCTTTTTCTGACTTCCAGAGTGACTGACTGCTCCACAAAGTCAACTAACTTTATAGCCATCTCAGCTTTGATTCCAATTTATTTTTTCCATGGAAAGAGAATACATTTTTACTGACGGTGCCCTTTGATGCTAAAGTCTACTCTCAAGGTCACATGTGACTTAAAAAAGAGATCTATGGAAGGTATGTGCCTTGGTAAAATGTACAAGTGCTTGGCAGCATTATGAAAACATCAATTTCCACTTTGCATATGTACATTATTTATTTCTGATCAGAGCCCTAAATGTTGTTACTTTGCTATACTGAAAGATGTGCTTTCTATGCCAAGCACTAAGTAAAAAAAAATGTTTTCTACATGAAATGATCTTCATTACCAGCTCAACAGAATGTCATGTTCAGTTTTAAAAGTCAAACAAGCCAGCAAACATGAAGTGATATATGTCTCCACAAATCTTGGAACTAAAACTAAGCCAGTTAATTTTCTCTATATAAGGGAACAAACAGTATGAGAATATAGTGGCAAACTTCAACTGCTTTGACTGATAAGTATTTTAACACATTAGTGGTTCTATGAAGATTTACATGTGCAGGTACCTTCTTTAAAACAAAACTTTCAAATGAATTCTTCATGCAAGGCTTTGAGTGCACATTCACATGGTGATAGCAAGAGTCAGAAAACTTCTAAAGACAGCGAGAAGGCCAATTACTGGGAAAAATGCAGGGGATAAGATGAGAAATTAAAAGTTTTACCTTGTATAAGTTACATTCTTGACTCCAAAGTCCTGTAAACTCTGGCTCAGCTAGAGTCTGACTCGCCTCTTTATCATCATTTTCATGGATCGTATCTTGCAATGCTTTTTCAGAAAAATCCACCACAGAACTAGATTTGTCATCAACTAAGGAACAAGCTGATGGAGTACGCCAAGACTTCTACAATGAGACAGGAGCAAAATTCCAAGGAACTATTGTTTTACTCCAGCAGCAATACCGTAAGAACAGACACTTAATAATGTTTTAATAGACTATGAAGTATGGAGGTCTGGGACTGTTTTATGCTAATTAATCTGGAAGACATTGTGCACAGTGAAAACCGTATGTTACAAGAAATCACATCATCATGTGAATTGCAGGAGTTAGTAGGTTGGAAACTAATGTTCAGGCATAAGGGTATTCATTAATGTGTACTGCCAGGAAGCTGCTTCAACCTCTAATAAATGATGCAGCCCAATTTCATGTGTTGTTTTTAACAACGGTTGTACTGTGCCTATTTTCACTGGCAGATACATTTTTCCTTTCTTTTCTTTCTTTTAAATAACAGACCTACACCAGACAAGAAGTCATATGGGAGGATCTAAGTTGGGGACAAAAGTCCACTCTCCTCCTCTCTGAGCCAGCGAAAGCCTGGAATATTATGGAGGTAAAATACTTGTAGGCATTGGTTAGGAGGATCACAAGTCTTGAAAGAACTACCCCACTTGCCTGATGTAAAAGCTGCGTGGAGAGGCTCCAAACAGAGCTGTGTTTGTCACTTGGGACAAGCTAATCTGAAACTAAGTCTACAACTACATTTTACTTCTGAGTTAAATAAGGAAGTGTTCCATCGCAAGAGAGTGTCAGAACTGGACTAGCAGACTGAGACTGATGGCTATTGAGAGATCTAATGGGGAAACTATCCCATTGCCTGCTCATATTGTACTGTACAGCACCAGGCTCTAGCAAATGCAAATGCTTTTTTACAACCACCAACTCAAACTATACATTTTCAGCGGTGAACAAACATTATTTTCCCTGCCACTCTGATAACAGCAGCCCTAAAACATTTGACCAGTTCTCTAAAGCTAGTTAGGTATAATAGCATTGCTTACCTGCAGTACTGTTGCAGCTGGATCTTCACAGGCATTCTCAATATACTGCCATGTTTTGATTCGCCACCGTAAGGAATCCTGAAGTTTACCCTGACTCCTAAGTGCTTCTGCCCAAGCTTGATGTTTTTTCTGCTTCTCTACATATGCTTCCTCTTGCAAAATCCGAGCTACAATCTCAGTTTTTCTAGATTTCTGCTGTTCTGTAAATTCTCTGTATTAAAGAATTAAAAAAACAAACAGAAACCAGAAAGAAAGTAAGAAAGAAGCCATTGCTGTGCACTAACAATACTACCAAAGGGTTCATTTTTTGAGCCCTTAATATATAGTGCAGTGATGATCCGTGTATATCAAGATAATATGGGATTTTTATGATTTCTACATATTTCTACAGACTAAATATTTTCAATTATGACTTTTAAAAAGACTTGTTTGGGAAGGATATCAGGGCCCATTCCCCAAGGCTGAAAGTGATGTAAGATTTTCAAACTGTAATGTTCTCGATTCACTTAGACTTTATCCTTTAATGGGATATTGTAAACTTGAGATCTAGTCAGTTTATAACAAAAGAACTCAAAGGAGGACTGTCTAGTGACTAGGCCACTAGCCTGGGACTTGGTAGATGCAGGTTCAAATCTCCGCTCTGCCATAGACTTTGTGTGACCTTGAGTGATTCACTTATGGCATGTCTACACAGTATATCATTGCGCACTACGGAGGTGTGATTTTTTTTAAAGCACACTAACTGGTCCTTGTAGATCGTGCTGGTGCATACTAAAAGTACCCAACAATACTATGTTAAAGCACAGTAGGTAATTTTTAGTGTACACCAGCAGGATCTACATGGAACAATTAGTACAGAACATGTTAGCGTGCTTTAGAAATCACACCCCTGTAATGCGCATTGCCATGCTATGTAAACAAGCCCTCAGTCTCTCTATGCCTCAGTTTCAATACTAGCAGTTCTAGTGCTTTTAGTAGTTCTAGTACAACTCTGTCTCACAGCAATGTTGTGAGGATAAATACAGTACAAAGTTTGAGGTGCTCGGATACCATGGTAATGGAGATCATATAAGTACCTTAAAAATAGAGAAGTAATTTGAGATCCTATGCCTGCCCCTAAATCCCTCTGACAATTTCTGTGATTTTTGCAATAACATTTTCTTATATTTTAAAATGTTCTTTGTCTTCCCTGTGCTGTATCAAAGACCAACACAAATATTGTAGAAACTGAGCATAACCAAAGTGTAGTCAATGCATAAAGTAAACAAACTGAAAAAGCTGGAAGACATTTTTTCTCTATACTCTTTCACTTATAGTAATCTTAAATATTACTTGTAGCAATAGAAAACACACTTCTGTCTGAAATTATCTGATTTTGAAGCCATGTCTCTTTAAAGTACAGACTTTAGCTAGCAGTCTACGGTGATTAACCTAAGCTAACAAAATGAGTGTGTAGGTGGGGCCATTCTGTTGAGAAGGGAATTAACAGAATCTACAGGAAAAATTGCTATTTCTATTCCTTTCATCTATATTCCTTTAGGTTCTATATAATTTTCAGAAACAGAAATTATTTATAGTAAAGATTCAATTAGCTTCTGAGGTTTACATTTTCAACTGATTTGTGTGTAAATGATTGCTTATTCTAAATATAGGCAGGACATTATAATCTTTTGCACATATATATTGACTCATATATTGCAAATTGCTTTATCAGCAGTTAATTTATCCTTGTAGTTATGTGGCATACCCTCCAGTTTACATTTGGGGAAACTGAGGCATGGAAAGTAGCAGTCCCAGAAATGGCAGAGGATTCTTGACTCCCAGTGCTGTGCCTTACCTAAAGACCATCTTTCTTCTGTACAATTAGTTCATGAGTTTACTGTGCAGTCTACAGAAACTTTAATAGCAAAACATCATATTAGCCCTAAATCACATTTGATATGGAATTTTGCTATCTTTTTGAAATTGAACAGTACAAATTAAATTACAGATTCTAATGGTTAAAGAATTAATTATTCTGCAAATAATTCAGGGACATATGCTCAGGTTGAGATTCAGATAGGAGATAGAGCACAGATCATCTCTGTTATGGGAAGAAAGGACTAAGATCAAAACAAAGGCACTCAGAGAAATAGCAGGTTAGCAGAGTGATAGCTGAAATTAGAAAGGAACTGTTGTGAGGAACATACTGTCATGTATAGCCAATAGCAAGTCTAGCAGAACATGTGATCCACACTGGGACTGCTATGTAAATTACATGGGGAAATAGTGAAAAAGATGAAGGTTTAAACCTAAAAAAATAAGGTAGTCTTTTCAAGGACAGAGTATCCATAACTCCTGCAGAATGTTTATTCATTAATTTTTATAATATGCATTTAGCGCTAGTGAAAGTGGCGGGTTCACATCTCCAAAGACTGAAGTCTTCTATTTCTATGGATATCTAGTGCATTAGTGATTAGTCCCCACACTGCCTCCTCAATCTGCTTCAATCCTAACCTAGAGGCTCACTTCTAAAGGTTTCAGAGTAAAAAGAAAAGGAGTATTTGTGGCACCTTAGAGACTAACCAATTTATTTGAGCATAAGCTTTCGTGAGCTACAGCTCAATTCAGTCTCCCTGGCCAGTCATCCACAGCCTCACTGGTACATCTACCAATAAGAGTTCCACTTCCATCTGCTTGGGGTGGTTTTCAGGACATGGACACCTGGCCAGAGAATGGACAAAACTTCAGACCTATTTATGTGGGCCACTAGTCACCCTTAGATGGCAACAATTTTGGTCTTAACAAACAAAGGCCCCGATCCTTCAATTCAATCCATGTGGGCTGACTCCCATGCAGAGCTCCACTGACTTCAATGGGTCTCTTTATGCATGGTAAGTTATACCTGCACAGATGCAGTGGCAGGTTAGGGTCATGGTTTGGATTTGAACCAGTGACTCCTTCACACTTTTTTAAACTATAAGGAAAAACAGTTGAGCCAAATCCTCAACTGATATAAATCAACCTAGCTTCTTTGAGTCAATAAAGCTTTGCCAGTTCATATGATCTGAGGATTTGGATTGACAGTCTCTAGCTACACAAGACTCCAAGAATCAGTTCAGTTCCCTGGGGTAGCAAGGCTAACAGCAATATAGATTTCATGTTTTCAGTTTCTAAGTGGAGTGAGGTGACGATTCACTCCTGTATGAGTATCGACCTGGAGTAAAACGTATACAAAGAAATGACTGCTTACTGCTTGTGCCTTTCTAACTCAACATGTTGTTTATGGAGAAAAATCTCCTTGGTGACATCGCCTCCTTCTGCCAGAATATTCCCTCTCATCTTCATCTCTTGCTTTTTTGCCTCAAGAGCCTTTGCTTTGTCCCTCAGCTGGAGGGTTCGAAGGGTTTCCTACAAAGTCATGCAAATAACAGTTACATATTTTACTCACACAATATGGACTCTGATTTTAGTCCCTTTCTCTATTTACAAATTGATGGTGGATTTTTCTACCAAGAGGTTGCTTTCTTCTTTTTAATAGTTGAACTTGCCTTTGGGTTTGTTTGGTTTTTGAAAATCCTTTAATTGTACCTGATTTTATTTGCAATATTTGAGTCAATTGCATCCCTAGCTCACACAGATTACTTCTGTTCCTGGCAAAGAGCTGTGGCTGGGTCAGGACTAAATGCATGAACCATGTCTGTAGATCTCCAACCTCCTTCTCCAGGGCCCTCCCCTGAAACAAGTTACTCTATGCAACAATGTGTGGCAGGCATTGGTGGTTATAATACAATCAGTGGCTAGTTAAGACCATCTTTTCAGACTCTGGAATATATAGATTCAAACAAGTAAGATTATGATAGCCTTAAATCTGAATTTCTTCATTTTCCTGTTGGTTTAAATTAGTTTAACTGTTATGTTATGTTAAATGTTTTATTTTAATATACTGTAAAGTATTTCTGTATTAAGAGCAATACAGTCAACCACCCTCTAGGCCAGATTCTGACACCCTTACTCATGGAATACTGTAGTCTAGGTGTGGTGCCACTGAAGGCAGTGAACTGCTCTTGGAATAAGGTACTTACTCAATGAGAGTGAGGGTATTTGAATTTGGACGTGCGAGTCTCAGGGCCAGCTCCAGGCACCAGCGAACCAAGCAGGTGCCTGGGGCAGCAAATGTAAAGGGGCGACGACGTCGGGCTCTGGGGTGGCAATCTGCCCTCGGCGGTGGCTGGAATTCAGCGGCCGCTCCATCACAGCGCATTTTGCGCTTGGCAGCAATTTGGCGGCGGGGACCATCTTTTTCAGTCGCTGGCGGCAATTCGGCGGCTGCACCATCACTCTGCCTCCCCGTTCAGCGGCAAGTTGTGTTTTTTTTGCCGCTTGGGGCAGCAAAAATGCTGGAGCCGGCCCTGGTGAGTCTGACTCTGTAACCTTTAGTGGCTAGACTCCTAGGTCATGTTATACCAGGGGCAAGCTGAATATTGGGGGGAGGGATAGCTCAATGGTTTGAGCATTGGCCTACTAAACCTAGGGGTCTGAGTTCAACCCTTGAGGGGGCCATTTAGGGATCTGGGGCAAAAACTGGGGATCGGTCCTGCTTTGAGCAGGGGGTTGGACTAGATGACCTCCTGAGGTCCCTTCCAACCCTGATATTCTATGATTGAAATGGTTTGCATTAAAATCTGTCACTCCAGAGAATCAATTGCATCACTACTAATCTTAGCAGTCGTAGAGGTACCCTATTGGAAGTTATGTTGTTTTTCAGGGACAGCACAGCTTGCATCCTTTTTTCCATATGCTCCTGAGTTTTCAGTTCTTCCTTTGCTTCTTTCTGATGAATTCTGTTGGTAGAATAAAACCTTTCAGGTTCATGTCCTGCTGTGAAGCATTCACCATTAAAATGGCTAACCTGGCAAACAGTAATTGTTAACATTGCCAAACATTCCTCCTGTAGGTTACACTGTGTTTATATGATAACGGGTCCAGTAAAATAGAACAGTTGGAGGACTCTTCTACTTAGAACCACTTAAGTTTCAAAGGGCCACAAAGATAGTTTGTTCAACAATATATTTTCTTAAACTTTGAGTATCTACCAGTAGGTGTATTCCATATCGAGATCAACATCTAGCCACTAAAATATAGTAAAGATTTAGGTGTTGGTTATATAACCAAAGATATACAATGACATTTACTAAAACAAAGGCTGATGCTTGCATAAGTTGCTCTATTGTTTACAGACTACAAATATACCCCTAAATATGGGCCTTTTTATACATGGTATCTCCTAAATCAAGCCTGAGAAAATCCCATAACTATTAACATGAATTTAAATATATTTGGTTCATTTTTTAACCAGTTGGTCTTTTCCATCTCTAACTACCATGATCCTAGATTCCATTCTAGTAGATACAATATATTTTGCTTGAGATGTAAGACTCAGAACAGTCAAGTAATGAATTCACTGGACTTAATTTCTGGCATCTTGTCCATATTGCCAAAGAAAAAACTAAAGAATAATAGGGAAAATATACAATTACCTTTCCAGTGTATAAGGTTCTAATATACATGTAAAGTTGATTTACAAATATTTTGTAGAGAGTTTTTATTTTTATGCCAGAAACTAACAATAGTTATTTACGAAAACATAAAGCAACACAGAGTGAGCTCATCTCATTTACCACTGAAGTACAATGCAGAGATGTAACAGAAACAGTGCAAAGAAACACTGTGCAGCAGTTTTAGTAGACACAGTGAAAACTACCATATCCATTTGAAACTTCAGAGGTAATTTAGATAGGTAATCATCTGATTTGGAATTCAGCTTTTCCCCAGTTAAAAAGTATAAAGGGAATGACAAGCCTACAAGTGTCCAAGATAGTGCATCTAACTCAAAACTCAACTCCTCCAGCAATACAGTGCCCCCTAAGACCATAGTGGGACATTGTCACAACGAGAAAAGGAGGACTTGTGGCACCTTAGAGACTAACGAATTTATTTCAGCATAAGCTACATTGAGCTTATGCTCAAATAAATTTGTTAGTCTCTAAGGTGCCACAAGTCCTCCTTTTCTTTTTGCGAATACCGACTAACACGGCTGCTACTCTGAAAATTGTCAAAACAGACTCAAAAGGAAGGATCCCAACTACTGATTCACCCACACTACTTCACAAGTCACCTGGATTTTCCTCAGAGGCCTCTTATTCAAGTCCCTGTTTAGCTTGTGAGACCTGGCAGGATCACAGCACTAGGTGGTATGGCTGGAGATTTCTAAGGGCTTGTCTACACTTGTTATGCCGCTGTAGCACTTAGTGAAGATGCTACCTTCACCAGTGGGAGAGCTTCTCCCATCGGCATAGATAGTCCACCTCCTTGAGAGGTGATAGCTGTGTCCCTCCTGTCAACCTAGCGCTGTCTACACCAGAGGTTAGGTCAGTATAACTATGTCATTTGGGGTGTGGAAAATCCACATCCCTAAGCGATGTAGTTATATTGACATAAATTTCTAGTGTAGACAAGGGTTAAATGTCACAATGTAATCTAGCTGTAAAATGTTTCCTCTTAAAGGCTGAGGATCAGGTATCACATTTCAGATATTGTGTTATGATACTAGCAAGGGGAAAAGCTAATGGAACCTTGACATAGATTTTTTCAGAAACTGAGCTGCTTTCTCATGATTCCTGTGTGCATCTTCGACTACTTTTTGATGTCTTCTCTCATACGCCTCCCAGGCTTCCGTTTCTTTTCTGCAAAACACAAATAAAAATCAAGTGGGCATAGTCCTACTGTCTTGATGTACGAACAGCTCCCACTAAAGTCAAGGGGTCCTCTGCTTACCCAAGGGCTGTAGGATTGTGGACTGTTGCCATTGGTTTATGTTGCCCCTTTAATTGCATTTCCCTGTGTAAATATTCTGTGGTGAGTACCTACATGAAGAGCCTTCATAACTAGCATCCTTTGAGTTAGGAAACCTTTCCAATACCCAAATGAAATGGGCTAAGATAGTTGGGGAAAGGAAAGCAGATTATCAGTTATGATGCTTACTTTTTTCCAACCTGTTGTTTTCGTTCTGCCAGCTGGGCTACAGTCTTTTCTTTCTGAATCCTCTGTTCCGCCCGCTCTTTGCACTGTCTCTCTAGTTCCTCCTCATCCTGCTCAAGTTGCTCCCGGAGGCTTCCAAATTTCCCCTGCTCAATTTCTATCTGCCACATCTCATACCTTTTAAGCACAGAGTGAGATGTTTTCATTAAAGGGACGCAAATGAAATGGGCAAAGATAGTTGGGAAAAGGAAAGCAGACCAATTAATTACATATATTCAGTGCTACCAGCTCCATAGTGAAAAAGGAAGTTCAGCCATGTTTTACGCTATGCCCTGCTAGTTTCAAAGGACATAGCTAATAATCCTGTTAGTACTAGTATTAATACTTCTGATTTTTAGAGATGTCACTTATATTTCTCCTCAAACTCCTCTTTTTCCTCAAGCTGGTATTTACCCAATGTAAGAAAAGGCAGAATGTTTACTCGACAGTAAAGAATGCTTTTAATGCTTTCTTTATTCAAAAACATCTAGTTTGTTTGTAAGCTTTTTCAGTGATGGTCCTTAGAGTTGACTATTCTGAGTTTTGACCAAGGTGCCTAGATACCATGGTGAGGGGTGCATTAAGGATGCTTAAGATTGATACAGGACATTAAATCTGAATTAAAGTGTAAATATCCATGCCCTCACATCCAAAGACAAAGTGTTAGGATAAAATCCTATTGAAGTCTCTGGGAAACCTGTGTGCAGATCACAGACAATATGGAGTCCTAGAACTGCATGAGATTTAAAAATGTGTGGGGTCCTGTTATATGTGAACCTGCCAGACCAGGCAATTGCAATATTCACATCAGGTAAAATGAGCCCTAAAGTCCCATTTTCAAAAGCAACGTAGGCATTTAGGAGCCAAAGTCTTATTAAAGCTCAATAGAACGTATTCTCCAAAGGCCCAGATCTATGAAATCAATGGGAGTTAAATCCCTAAATACTTTTGATCAGTGGTTTTCAACCTTTCTCCATTTGCAGACCCCTAAAAAATTTCAGATGGAGGTGTGGACCCCTTTGGAAATCTTAGACATAGTCTTGGACCCCCAGGGGTCCACAGACCACCGGTTGAAAACCACTGCCTTTGTGGATCAGGGCCTAAGTGCCTCAATGGGATGTAGGCTCCTAAGTCACTTTGGTGCTCTTGAAAATTTTACAGAAGGATATGACTGAGGCAGACACAGAATGGGGAGAGAACTATTCTCAGCAAAAGTGAAAGTCTTAGGACATTCTGATGCTTTCAGATGAAATCAGGAATTAGAAAGTACAACTTAACTAGCACTTTTTTGTCTTGTTTCAGGAAGTGTTTTTATCTGTTTGGCTTGTTTGGCTGTCACAATCTTTAACAACTTTTTTTTAGGTTTAATGCGTTTAACGCAAATCACACACCAAATGAAAGCATCAAAGAAGCTTTTTAAAGCTACTATGTAATTCTGAAGTAGGATATACTACTTTCTGGCTAATCATTTAGCTAAGCATGGCTATAAGTTCCTGCTTGAGCTTTTGCTTTGATATGGCTGTATTAGTATTTGAACTGCTGGTGCAAAACTATAAAGGGGTTTGCCAGCTACCTTCTGCAAAGATATCATTTTATTTTTTATCATCTGAATAATTTTGTAAGTGTGATGCATCAACTAACAGCATGAGCAGAAAAATACAGAGTGCTACTAAACTGTCTCTATTATTTTGGTATTATAGTTCTTTAAGGGGTGTCTGGGAGACTGCAGCGAATAACACAACCCTGTGATATTCAAACTAAGAATGGTTCCAAATGGGATACAGGGAGAGTTAATTATCCTAAGTGACCTGCACACTTGTGGTGATCACTAATTGATATGTGCTACCTATGTTGCTACAAACACTCATCAGCACCAGTTTTCTGTGGTTGCTGATGTTGCTTTCCCTTCACCTCCTTTTAAGAACTAGAAACTAAGTAAATAAGCATAGATACAATTATTTATATATTATTCAGTACATAATTGTGACAGTCTGCATCACTACGTCCACCCTTTTTTCAAGGCTATGATACATTTTGTATAAACTATGCCTTGTAAACTATCATCTGAAAATTCATGATTTGCTGATCATTATTATCCTGGTAAAATATGTGTGGCAACATTGTATGTAAAGTTATAATATTCTACTATATGATGTTACTAAAACATATTCCAGATCTGGGGAAGCAGTCACAAACCAGTTCCTCAGAGACAAAAGGCAAACTGGCACCTCAGCCAGGTGTTAATGAAATCAAATGGATTATCACCTGGTTAAGTGGCCATTCTTTGGCAGGAAAAAGGGTGTGAGCGAGAAATTAACATTTTGTCAAAGAAATAAGCTGGAGGTTCCCGTCCCCACAGATTTTCTGTCTCCTGAACTCCAGCTGGAGATGATCCTCAAAGAAGAGGAAAAAGTACACAAATGGAGAGCAGACACCCCAAGTTATCTCTTCCTTCCTCTGTACTCACGGCATCGACAACATTTGAAGGACAAAGGAAGCATCATTGGACTGAGGAAGATATCCTGTCTGAAAAGAAGTCAACCAGTAATATTGCTAGAACATGTGGTGAGAGAGACTTTTGCTTTGAATTCACTTTAGCTTGTAAAGTTAGGTGTTGTGTTTTACCTTTTATTTCTTTGTAACCAGTTCTGGCTTTTATGCTTAGAATCATAGACTATCAGGGTTGGAAGGGACCTCAGCAGGTCATCAAGTCCAACCCCCTGCTCAAAGCAGGACCAATCCCCAGGTAAATCAGCCCAGCCAGGGCTTTGTCAAGCCTGACCTTAAAAACCTCAAAGGAAGGAGATTCCACCGCCTCCCTAGGTAACCCATTGCCAGTGCTTCACCACCCTCCTAGTGAAAAAGTTTTTCCTAATATCCAATCTAAACCTCCCGCACTGCAACTTGAGACCATTACTCCTTGTTCTGTCATCTGCTACCACTGAGAACAGTGTAGATGGAACCCCCTTTCAGGTATTTGAAAGCAGCTATCAAATCCCCCCTCATTCTTCTCTTCTGCAGACTAAATAATCCCAGTCCCCTCAGCCTCTCCTCATAAGTCATGTGCTCCAGCCCCCTAATCATTTTTGTTGCCCTCTGCTGGACTCTTTCCAATTTTTCCACATCCTCCTTGTAGTGTGGGGCCCAAAACTGGATACAGTACTCCAGATGAGGCCTCACCAATGCCAAATAGAGGGGAATGATCATGTGCCTCAATCTACTGGCAATGCTCCTAATTATACAATCCAAACTGCCGTCAGCCTTCTTGGCAACTAGGGCACACTGTTGACTCATATCCAGCTTCTTGTCCACTGTAACCCCTAGGTCCTTTTCTGCAGAACTGCTGCCTAGCTACTCGGTCCCTAGTCTGTAGCGGTGCATGGGATTCTTCCATCCTAAGTGCAGGACTCTGCAAGTGTCCTTGTTGAACCTCATCAGATTTCTTTTGGCCCAATCCTCCAATTTGTCTAGGGCCCTCTGTATCCTACCCCTACCCTCCATCATATCTACCACTCCTCCCAGTTTAGTGTCATCACCAAACTTGCTGAGGGTGCAATTCACACCATCCTCTAGATCATTAATGAAGATATTGAACAAAACCGGCCCCAGGACCGACCCTTGGGGCACTCCGCTTGATACTGGCTGCCAACTAGACATGGACCTATTGATCACTACCCGTTGAACCCGACGATCTAGCCAGCTTTCTATCTGCCTTATAGTCCATTCATCCAGCCCATACTTCTTTAACTTGCTGACAAGAATACTGTGGGAGACCATAACAAAAGCTTTGCTAAAGTCAAGGAATAACACATCCACTGCTTTCCCCTCATCCACAGAGCCAGTTATCTCGTCATAGAAGGCAATTAGGTTAGTCAGGCATGACTTGCCCTTGGTGAATTCATGCTGACTGTTCCTGATCACTTTCGGCTTCTCTAAGTGCTTCAAAATTGATTCCTTGAGGACCTGCTCCATGACTTTTCCAGGGACTGAGGTGAGGCTGACTGGCCTGTAGTTCTCCAGATCCTCCTCCTTCCCTTTTTTAAAGATGGGCACTACATTAGCTTTTTTCCAGTCGTCCAGGACCTCCCCCGATCGCCATGAGTTTTCAAAGATAATGGCCAATGGCTTTACAATCACATCCGCCAACTCCTTTAGCACCCTCGAATGCAGTGCATCCAGCCCCATGGACTTCGCTCGTGCAGCTTTTCTAAATACTTGTAATCAGCATCTTTACTTGTAATCACTTAAAATCTATCTTTTTGTAGTTAATAAACTTGTTTTATTGTTTTATCTAAACCAGTGAGCTTGTGTTGTCCAGGAGAGGGTTGGGCAGTATAAGAGGCATATTTCTGGGGGAAGTCTGGGACTGGGAATTTGCTGGTGTTGCTCTGCAGTGTAATTCAAGGGTGGCTGATCATAGCACTCAGACAGTATAGCTGGAATTTACATGCTAGAGGCTGTGTGAGAGCAGACCAGGAGTGCTTGCTCTAACAGTGAAGCAGTGTAGAAAGCACCCCAGGTTGGAAAATTGAGGGGACACAGCTGTTCAATAGTCCAGATTGTACCTTGGGGAATGTCATTATAATGTATTCAGTAAGAATACATTAAAGGATAGAAGTTAGAATCTTCCTAATAAGGATCACAGGGAGAAACGTCTACTTTACTCCACCTTTCTTCCTACTTCAGAATAAGACAAGGACCTATATGTCCCTAGCTGGTGTAAATCCCTAGCTGGTGTAAATCACCATAGTTCTACTGTAACCAACAGAGCTACATTGATTTACAGCAGCTAAGGATCTGGCCCACAAATCATTTCCAAAGCAGGGTACTGCATGGGTATGTGTGAGGTCAAGCGCTACTCTCAAAAGCCTTTGCTTTATGTGGAAACTCATGTAAGTTACTCCAAAATATTATATATCAATTTATATAAAATCAACATTTAGAGACATTAATGTTTTGGCAAGCGGCATCATACTCATTCAGTGGATAGTACATGGTGGATGCTAAGGAAATAGGGGAGAAATAGAAACCCAAGTTAACCTATGAATGACGATGTTAGGAGATTTTTGGAAAAGTCCCTTGTGTTTTTCTCACATCTGAAAAAGAAAGGAGGATTGCTGAAGAGCAAGTCAAAAGAGTGAGCATGCAGGTGCTTGAAATGGTGGAGCAGTCGCACAGGCAGCACTTTCTTTTGTAAACAAGAATCAATTCTGACCTCTGAAAGAGATTCTTTCGACATCTTGTGAGTCAGAGCAAGTTAGAGAAGTTGCAGTCATGAAATACCTAACTTACAGAGACACACTCTGTGATCCTTCTATATTAAGCATTTGGTTTTTCCAAAAGACAGCAAAGACTATAACTCATATAAATTAACCTTCAGTGTCCAGGTGTCTTTCAAAATGTTTGCTCACTATCCTGAATCTGACAGATATTCACTCAGTTTCCCATGTGGCCCCAACATCAGCACAAAGTTGAAGGAAAACTTTTATGTAACAACCAAGGAATGACTCTACTCAAGTTTAAACTGTGGCATCTGCAGGATGGAGAGCTTGACAAAAATAGAATACGCTTCCTTCACATAAATATGCAGAGTGCTTGTTCTGCAAAAGTTACACTGCTAATGTGGTAGCAAAAATATCCAGGGTCTGGTTTTGAAGTCTTTGCTTTTCTTTCTATGTTTCTTTCTGCTCATTCTCTAAGGTATGGCTTCACTGCAGTGAAAGCTTGCCCTTGGTAGACAGACAGCATGCTAAAAATAGAAGTGTGGATGCTGCAGCACACGCTAGCCATGTGTGTACAAGCCTATCTGATCCCCTTGGTCCATACTCAGGTAGCTAGCGCGTGATGCCACCCATGCCACAACATCCACACTGCTATTTTTAGTGTGTTAGCTCAAGCAAAGCTATCATGTGGCTGTCCACCTGGACTGAGAGAAATAATCCCAACTGTAGTGCAAACATGCCCCAGAGGGTCAAGCTGCTTCTTCTCAAGGTCACCAAGAGAGGCGTAGTCTCTTGTCAAATCTCCAGCCATATGCACCAGTGTTTTATAAGGCATCTTTCATTTTGAAAGACACAAAGAACTGACTGTCTTTCAACTGATCAATAATGGTGACAACTGTCACATTGTCCCTTCAAGATTAACCTCACAATGCCTTTTGAAAATTCACAATACCTTAGATAAGGCCCACTGGTACACTAGAAAACAGCAGCTCTTTGCAAACTGATGATGAGATGCAGTTACCTGCCCTATCCTGGTGCAGATACTTTGTGTACCTTTATAATGGAAGTAGAGTGATGACATTTCCCTGAACTTAATTGTATACTTGACTAGAGATGCTATGAAAGTGAAGCACTTAAACATTTGTTTTCTCAGTAAAAATTCCTTTAACAATAAGTTGCTATTGGAAACACACACACAAGTTGGTAAGAGACACTAAGTAAAAGATACAAGTTCACTGTATTTCAGAGCTTAGGATGCAATAGTCTCACTGAACAGCCCTAATATCAGTAGTCAAATCCCGATCCCACAGAAGTGAATGGAAGCATTGCTGTTGATTTTATTGACTCTTTGATGTTGTGCTCTCTAGTAGGTTAGCCCAAAATTAAAATCTACTTTGAAACTGTTTTTAACATGACAAATAAAGGTTTCAGAATGTCTACCTGAGATTTTATTAAATCCACTACAGCTTTACCACAAAATTAAAATATGAACTCCAAAACATTAAAATTTGAAAAAGCAATAAATGCTATTTTGTGGGATCTACAAAGAGACAATATTTTTCTTTCCACTATCACTACAATGAACCAAATCCTAGGTCAAATTCTCTGTTTATCTACATGAGCACAACTCCGGTGACTTGTTATGTAAAAGGAATATTGCTGGTGTAGTAGAACAGTATCAAAGGTCAGTTTCTGAAGTCTTTGATTTTCAGATGTGTGTCTTTCTGCTCACGCTGCAAGGGTCAAACTGCTTCAGCTCAAGGTCACCAACAGAGGAGTTACACCTATTTACACCAGCAGAGAATTTGGCCTGCAATTCCTACAGCTGTGCTCACATTTCTGATGATGCTGTTTAAGCCTGATAAAGGCACCTGTTCTATACACTGAAGGAGTAGTAGTTTCTAAAATAACTGTCTGCATTTCAGCTCCTTTCAGAACACACACACACAAAAATGTTCGCCACAAAAACTACATAATGAATACAGAGAGATGTTATTTTCAGGCTTCTAAGACAGTATTGCAAATGGTGTAGGACGGAAAGAAAATGACGACTATGTCCTTTAAACTTTTTCACAAGCTTTGCTGCCTCTAAGTTTTCAATCGCTTTAAATATCAGCTGTTACAAATTTGCATGCTTTATGTTCACTCCCTTTCAAACTGTGAATTAATCAATAAGTTGGTTTAGGACTTTGGGCTGAAGATCAGTCCCTTCAATTCTTTCTCACTTCTTTCTCACTTTTTAACTTACACATTTTCTTTCAGCATCAAAGCAATTTTTGACTCAAGGTCCTTTTCATTCCCCAGTTCAGCACACAGTCGTCTGTGCATTGCCTGTAGGCGGAATACAGCAGCACTGTTACATTTAAAAAGAAAAAAATGAAATAATGTATGTTAAAACCTTGCAAAGTGAAAAATTCCAGAAATAATTAAGGTGCCATAAGGCTGAGACATTTGTTTTAGAATTCCACTAATTTATATTAACATAATGTCTTTCAATAATGGCTCCTAAAGTGTCCATTCTCTTCTGAAAGGCACAATCTCATTAAACTACTATCTACTGGTTAATTGAAAATTAAGATGAGAGCATTTTACCATCACTCGGCCATATTTTAAAGTGATTTGTAATTTCTAATGCTGATAAATACCACTTATGTAGTTAATTTTAGGAAAACAAATAGGACAAAGATTGTTGTCTGCTTTTAAAATGATAATACCACCTTACTTGTACCCCCCAAGATTTTGGCATACAGAGTAGATAAATTCTGCTCCTAGTTGCATTGGTGCAAATGCAGTTATTTCAGCTGAGTTTCACTGATGTAACAGAGGAGAACTGAGACTGGTAACTTTCCAGGATGGAAAAAAGGCCACATAGGGCCAAACTTTCTGCTGGAGTAATTCCCTTGACTTCAATGGAGTTATGCCAGCAGAGAATCTGTCCCAGAGTCTCCAATCTATCAAGCTTTCCACAGAAAAAAGAAGTGTTTAATTCACTGACCCAAATAACAACCCTTAATATAAATCTCCCTCATTTCCATCTTTCTCCCTTCAGTGCTTGCAATCAGGCCTTTTGCCACTCCAACAGTTGCAGTTAGTTGAATGCATTGTCTTACTGCTGGTAATAAACAGAATAAATGAGTACTTTCTGCTGACAATCTGTCTCTTGCTAATCCTGGAAAAGTCAATTGTGGGACAGGTTCATGGTATATCATCTGTTGAAGAAATGTCATGATATATAAATGGATTTTGAAATCTCTGTCCCATTCCACATATTGAACATTCCTCTATGAGTAATGATCCTGCTTCTTACTCCGTACACCCCAAAATGGGCTTTACTGAGCTAAGTATCAAAACTAGCTTGACTACCTTTGTCAAAGTCAAAAATCAACTGATTCTTAATTTTATTAGAAAGCATAAAAAATGACTGATACTATTTAAAGATAGCTTCGCCCTGTGTTTAACATGCTTGTTTTAACAGCAATTACTTACACTGATTAAAATTGTGTCAACGAAATATAATGTAAACCTCATACTTTCAAACCTGAACCATACACAAATGTGTATTTTCAGCTGGTCTGAAACCTGGTCCATCTGAATATAATTTATAATGAATGATTCATATATGCTACTGCTCCTCCTTACTTCTCCAAGGATGAAATACACTCCTGCGCAGAAGGCCAGTGCATCACTTAAGTCCCATGTAAGCCCTCAAGATAGGGTTTGTATGAGATTTAATTTGTACATATAGCTGTGCTGGATAAGTATCTATCCCAGGTTTGAAAAATAAGCAAACTGAATGCAAGAATCTTATGGCACTAGAACCTGGGACTACAGTAGAACCTCAGAGTTATGAACACCTCAGGAATGGAGGTTATTCGTCTAACTCTGAAATGTTCATAACTCTAAACAAAACGTTATGGTTGTTCCTTCAAAAGTTTACAACTGAACATTGACTTAATACAGCTTTGAAACTTTACTATGCAGAAGAAAAATGCTACTTTCCCTTTATTTTTTTAGTAGTTTACATTTAACACAGTACTGTACTGTATTTGCTCTGTGTGTGTGTGTGTGTGTGGGTTGCTGCCTGATTGTGTACTTCTGGTTCCAAATGAGGTGTGTGGTTGACTGATCAGTTTGTAACTCTGTTGTTTGTAACTCTGAGGTTCTACTGTTTCAGACTCCTGACATTTCCATATCATCACTGGAAGCTGAGGCCATGTTTCTGCTGGGGGACCATGTGAAGTAAGACACTGCAGCATGTACTGCCCAGCTGGACCTGGGTGGTGGCCTCCCATAGCCCACTGATTGGCCCATGCTGATATATAAGCCAGGAAGCCATCACAGAGAGCTGCCTGAGCAATGATGTAGACTGCTTGCATGTGTCTGTTCCAGACCTTGACTTGTTGTGAACCCTAGACTCCAGCTTCTGATCCCAGTTTGCCCCTGCCACCTGCCTGTAACTCAGTGCCAGAATTCCTGGTATTGTGACCCAGCTTGACGCTGACTCTGGTGCTCGTCTCCTGACCACAACATGGTAACTGACCCATACACACAGGCCACCCACTACCTGGCCCTGACACAGAGGCCCAAAGTGGTGAAGTGACTAATTCTGCCATTGGTCACAGAAGCCCTACAACCTAAAAACAAAACCAGTGCATTGTAAGATGCAGTACATGGCACAAACTCATTTGTAGCCATAACCTAAAGTACTGTATTATTTCAGGCTTATTGAATAGTAACTTGAACCTGACTAAATAGAAAACATATTTTTCATTTGCATCTCCAGCACAATTTAACATTGTCATTAACTTAAGTCCAAATATCACTGCATAGGTACCAATAATGCTAAATTAATGATAATTCATATTTTAACAACTGTTAAAATGTCATGTTATTTAAGTCTTTAAGCCAGGAATTTGGTATATCTTCCTACTCCATTATTAAGCAGCAAATATCTATAATGGACCATTGTGATAGTTGCTATCCGAACTGCTACATAGCAGCATATCTACAGATTAGACCTTGGCCTGGCATAAGTTTAAAAGTTATGTTGCTCTTCTTAGCGTTTGTTTAATGATTGTTTAAATTATAGGGCATCTGATACTGAGCATATTTCTTCTACAATAAATTACATGAGGATACAGTGTCTCAAAACTACTCCATAAAGACTTCCTGAGAGGAAGAACTATGGAAATTAACTCTAGAAGCCATATGGGATCAAACAGGACATTGTTATTGGAGAGCGTACATTTCTGTGCAAAAGATTGAAAAAGTCTTAATTCAGCTATTTCACCCGATTACGCTGCAAACTCCACTCCCTGGAGTCTTCAGACAATCAAACTACATTTTTTAAAATAATTTTCTTTTAAAAAATTCTTATGTTTACTTGCCCAAAGAATCTGAAATTCAATCACACTCAAACTATATATTACAGAATAGTGTCTACTACACAAGAATTCATTTTCCTTAAACATTTAGTCACTTGTCACTTGTTTTTGATCATTAGCCATTCTGTTTTAGCAATTAAGTTACCTTTATTAGTTTGTTATTCATTGAGACATTTTATTAACCTGAAGAATACAGGGCACAGTGGCAGCTGCAAAGCTGGTTCACAATACACTGGATACCAGCACACAAACCACCCACTGCTTTCAATTTAAACAAATTAGAAAGGTCCAGTAAATTCACTCCCACTTCACAGCAGAGAAGCTCAGTAGCTGCTGTTGTATTATATTGCATTTGTGCATTTCACAAACACACAACACTGAGAAACAGAATATATAAGTACCAGTTCCTTGTCATAACAGGCATGAGCATAGCAAAACTAAAAATGACATAGCATACTTCTGATGTCAGTTGATCTATATTAACCAGATGATTAAATGAATGGTGGGTGGAAGGAATGATAAATGTAAACCAGACTAACTATATATGTTAAGATGACTTTATTTGTACTATAGCACATACATTTCTTAAATCTACATTTTTTTTATCCCAGGCTGAAAATCCCTTTCATACATTCCAGCCTCTGTGTAAGGCTAAAAATGAGAAAGTCCTCTCTCATGTAAAATAATGAACGTGATCAACGGGCTTTCTTGGGAGTTGGAAGAGTCAACCAAAGTTAAAGGTATACAAATGTCATTAAATTATCTGTCAGATTATCATATTTTCGTTGTGGACCTTGTGTCAATGGCACTCGGTTTTTGCCCAGCTGAGTGCTACAATGACAAACTTGCATAAAATGAACAAATTGCATATACCTTCTTTTTAGAACTCATCTTTCAATATTAAGGTGCCTCCATATGGACTACAGGTCTCAGCATGCAATGCTCTGTCTTGACGTGAGAAGGTTACTCTGATTAAGACAGTGCATTGTATCCTGGGATTAGTAATTTACAAGGGCTACACATCCGAACAAAAATTTAGTGCATTTGTGGACTATATTGTAAAACTCCACAGGCTGTATCTGTATAAGACAAATATATAAAAACTCATTGGTAAAGTATATATGATATTCTTCAGTGAGACTGTCAGGTACATTGGATATATCACTGATAAAATGATGACAATAGGTTGTAATGGGTTGATTCTCCAAGTGAGGCATGTTTGTATTCTCAGTAATGCCTGTGATTCTTATAAGAATCACAAGATAAGTCCCCATAAATCCTTGGGAGACTATTATCTCTCATAAAATGACTAATCTGATGGCCATTGTGAACTTTAATTAATCCCATGAGCAAAGGTATGCATTTTAGTTGATGGGGTTATTATTTTTTAAAGATGAGCAGAAGATATGTTTGTCTACTAAAATAAAAAATGTTTGGGATAAGGGGCATGAGAATTACACAGAACTCAGAAGCAAATGTTTTGACCATATTTACCACTGGAACAATAAATCCTATATATAATATTAGGATATTACCATAATGCAATATGATCCTGACCCACAACACCACACACTTAAATTTTTGGAAAATTTTGGATTAGAGTCTGGATCTGAATGTGTACTTGCAGGACACAGTGCTAGATTCAAAATTTAACTTATCTCACACTTCACCTTTTTACAGTTTCCTAGAGTGTTTAATGTTTGTAAATTACTTTAAGCTCCTCAGATAGGAAGTGCTACAGAGAAAGAAACTTTCCATGAGATCGACAGGGAATGGATCACTTGATTACCTGTTCTGTTCATTCCCTCTGGGGCACCTGGCATTGGCCACTGGATACTGGACTAGATGGACCTTTGGTCTGACCCAGTATGGCCGTTCTTATGAGATCTCACAAGACCAGATTTCAGAAAACTAAAGAGTTATCACTCCCATTTTATAGATGCATAAATGGAGGCAGAGTGACCCGCTTGAGGTCACACAAGTCAGTGACAAAACAAAGTAAAGAATTCATGAGTTCTGACACCTAGTTCCCTGCTCTAGCTACTACAAAATACTGCATTTGGTCATTCCACTTTGTCAGTGTTGTCCAAATGCAAAGGACTAGCTCATAAATATCTGCTGTCATGAGACATTCCTTAAACTCCAATCCTCACTTCTTGCTCCACAGCAATTGCCTACTAGCATCTTACCTCTGGACAGGAAGCTGCACAGATGCGCCTTTCCCAAGCTACTGCACTGCTGCTCTGTATATCAAGTGGAAGGTACTGTTGGTGTGAATAATAAGCTGCCTGGAGAGTAACTGTATCACTTAGTCTTCACCAACTTGAGACCTAACCTATCTGATCGGTTCTCCAAGCACAGTATGACAGTGCACTGCTCCTTACCAGATGGCATGGACCATGGAGATAACCAGCTTGTTTTTTTATCCTGATAATGGCAATGACTTTTAAACATTGACCTATTAGGTGTCATTTGATAGATTCAAGAATATGTTTAATAATGTTATCAAACATTTTCAGCAATAACAAGAAGAGGGAAAAGGTCACAACGTTTATCTCATTACCTTCCCCTTCCCACGTGTAAACACCGAGCATGTCAATAATCTGTGACAACCAGAAATACCCTCTACCTACGTATTTCCAGCCTCTTTCTCTTCTTCTATTTTGGTCTCTGTGCACTCTCGTTCTTTTGTTAGCATTTCGATCCGCAGCTGGCAGGCACTGAGCTCCTCTCTGAAACAAACAAAACATCCTTATTTATATTTGGTATGTTTCCCATTCCTTCTCTTGAAGCATTTCTGCTCCTTAGGATCATAGCTGGATCCTATCAAGAGTTTCTTTAGAGGCACTTGTTAACTTTAAAGTATTTGTACCAGGAATTTAGAAAAAAATATAACCTCTTAATTAATTCTGGTTTCATTCAGAGCTCTCTAGTAGCATCTACCAATGATGATAAATAAAGAGTATTTTTAAAATGTAGCCTCCTCCAGCATATATGTAATTTGTTTTTTATACTTTTTGGCCGTCATGCAATGAAACATTTAAGGTGAGTACTTAACTTTTAGTACACAAGTAGTCCCAATGACTTCAGTGAAACTACCTATGTAATTAAAGGTAAGTGATGTTATGCTCCAGATATGGGGCCTGATCCAGGGTCCACGGAGATCAATGAAATTCTTTCCTTTGATTTCTATGGGCTTTGGAACAGACTCATAAATTGTTATATTGACAGCACAAGTCTTTTATTTATTCAAGTATAGCACAAAAAGAAACAGTGCAGGTTCCATATGACACCGTGGCAATCCGCCTTAAATTCTGGAGGGACCTTCTTGAGCAGTAAGTAGGAAATTCAGTGTGTCTGGCCAGTTTAGTCTTTGGCCCCATTGTGCTAAGACTGCCAATAAAGGGCGTCTAATCCGCTGCAGTTATGATAGTGATTTTAGTTGATGAGTAGACAGAAAGAAGCCCACTAGGAACTAGACACACCCGTTTAGGCTACCAAATAGTCATCAGAAGGTTGTCTTTTGGTCACTTTTGAACCAGTGACCCAAAGTTAAGACTCCATATGGTTTTAGAAATCTAAGCTACCCAGTCACCCAAATATTTGTAACTGTTAATAGAATTATGTTTGATAATGAAGTACAAGGATTGTTATCCTAGCTCTGCAAAATAATAGCAATTGACAAGGGAAATCTTTCACAGCATGTCACTGTAAAGTAGGTCATATGCAGTTGAGCTTCAAGTACAGTTATAAATGGCACTTCCCGTTTAAAAATTGCATGGATATTTACCAATAAAAGCCACTTTTCAAGGAAGATGCAGTGATAATTATTAGTTTTTATTTATGATGAAAAAATGTTGCAAACAGCTGTTGGCCTCTTTACTCCCAGCCATCAACTTCCTGCCACTCCAAGATGATTGCACAATTGGGAAGGACACGAGTTGACATCTTGAGTGCACACATTGGGAGGATAATGACTAAATGGCAGGAAATGTCTAGAAATATTGAGCTTTGCAGATTTATATTTATTTTCCAAAAAAGTTCCCTGAAATATAACAGAAAATAAAAGCAGAAAACCCTAATACTAAGTTACAACATCTCACTATTCAAGAGCACCATTTATAAATTCACAGAAACAGTTCTTTTAAAACTTTCTCCTCTCAGTTACATAGCAATAGTTCATCAATGATACTTAGAACCGAAATTTCCTCATTACCTTATTATAATTTATGTTCATTTCATCATAACGTTACAGAATCTGAAAATAATAACTTCTTTTTTCCTAATAATTTGGAATAGTCACTTGAAATATGATAATTATTGAGTCAAATCCCCAGGTGGGATTGTTCCTCACTCCTGATCCATGGGTGAATTGGATCCTCCATGCATGGCTCTCCCTGTCCCATGTGAAAGGAAATATCAACCGCTGCCAAAGTTTCATCTCCCTCTCTTCTGAAACCCCTTGGAGTGCACTCCATGGGTACAAGGTCTGCTATGAGAAAGGAGGAGACTGGGCAGTTGTGGATGAGCACACCTTTGTGTGCTGCTGAGATTTCCAGAAAAGGATAACACAATCTTTTCCACTGGCTTGTATTTTATTCCTGCCACTCACAACAGTTCCATTTTTCGAATTCTGCAGATCTTCTGCACAGTATCTTTTTTAGTTGTAATTAGTTCTGGCATTGTACCATGTCAGAGGCTTTGGGTTTCTGCTCGTCACTCAGGCCTGTAACTTGGACGTCATTTTTTAATCAGACCTCTGTCTAGGTCCTCACATCCAGATTACGTCTAAATGCTGCAGATTCTTTGTACTTAAAATCACTAAGATACAGTCTTTCCTATCCATCCACACACCTAAAAATCTTGGCCAAGCTCTCATCATTGTGCATCTTGATTACTGCAAAATCCTTCTCTCTGGACTTGACAAATGCAAAGTTGCCCCAGTCAGATCTATTCAGAATGCTGCGGCAAAAATCATCTTCTAGACCAAGGGTTCTCAACCTTTTTCTTTCTAACCCCCCACTCCCGCAACGTGCTATAAAAATTCCATGGCCCACCTGTGCCACAACAGCTGTTTTTCAGTAGCTTAATAGCCAGGGCCAGCATTAGGGGGTAGCAAGTAGAGCAATTGCCCAGGGCCCCACACCACAGGGGGCCCTGTGAAGTTAAGTTGCTCAGGCTTTGGTTTCAGCCCCGGGCAGCAGGGCTTGGGGTTCGGCTTTCTGCCCTGGGCCCCAGTGAGCTTAATGCTGGCCCTGCTCTCTGATTTATTTTGGCAGACCCCCTGAAATCTGTTCACAGCCCCCCAGGGGACCTAGAACCCTGGTTGAGAACCGCTGTTCTAGACTGTTGCTTTGACCATGTCACCCTGCTCTTTGCCTCCTTCTACCATCTTCCCCTTCTGTGTTGCATCAAACATAAGCTGCCTGTATTCACTTCAAGGCTCTTCATGGCCTATCTCCACCGCACCTATTATCTCTGATTCACTATTGAGATGTTGATCCTCGGCTACGATCGGCTAACAATGCCAGCCTCCAACACCCCTTGTTAAATTTTCAAACAAGCACATTTGTATTGTTTCTCATGCTGCCCCTCATGTTTCGGGTGTGCTCCCCATACATATCCACAAAAATAATGCATTATCCTCCTTCAAATCCCTCCTTAAAATTCTCTTTTGCCATGATTCCTACAAAAGTTTGGCAATGATTAGGCTTCTGATGTGCTAAGACCACTGCTTATAATGCTGTTCAATACTATCTCATTCCTTGTACTCCCTCATCTACCTGCATTCATCTGTTGTCTCTTGTTTTATACGTAAATTGTAAGTTCTTTGGGGCAGGGACTGTCTGTTTTGTTCTGTGTTTGTACAGCACCTGGCACAATAGAGTCCTTATCCATGACTAGGGCTCCTAATTGCTACAGTAATACTCATAATAATTAATAATAACTATTACTTGAGCATTTGAAAGTTCTGCTAAAATTGCCAGCATGCTGCAGCGTTCAACTCCAGGGAAACATATGGCCAGTAGTCCAGAAACAAAGGGCGAGATCCACAAAGTGACTTAGATGTCCAAAACCCAGTTTTAGGTGCCAAGTCCCAACTGTATGCAATCTGCAAAACCCTTGCTTGACTGCCACCTAAACCTTTAGGTGCCTAAACTCTCTCAGCACCTAAATTTTTGCAGTAAAAGTCCCCTAGGTGCCTAAATTTCTGCCTCTGAGCATGAGTACTGCTGCCTCATTCTGGGTGTCCACTCACCTATCTCATGCCTGAGCCTCAGTGTGATCAACAAACCAAGGGAAGAGAGGAGCTCCTCCACCTATCTTGCTTGCAGGACCCAGTCCATTAGTGTGCTCAGAGGCTGCCTAACTCCACACAAAACACCAGGAAGTAGAGGCAGCCCACCTTATAACACAGCCCAGTGCTTAGGGTACTGATGTGGGAGACTCCTGTTCAATTTCCCCTGTCTGCCTGAGGAGGAGGAGTTGAACAGGGGTTCACCACCTCTCAGTAAGTCCCTAACCACAGGACTATGGGATATTCTGATATGGGTTGCTCTCAGTCTCTCTTGTTGAAGCCATTCCACTTTAATAAAATGTTAACTGGGCCAGAGAAAGAGACTGAGAATCACTTATAGTGACTGAGCACTGCAACACCTATGTACCTTTGCAGATCCAGGCCAAAGAGTCAAGTTTTCTTTTGCAAGGTCTTTCAACTCTAAGGTTGCATTGTACTGGCATTACACTCAGGGCCAGTCTTAGGGAAAATGGTGCTCTCGTAAGGATAAGGCCTTTTCCTGTAGCCAAATTGTAAGGCCTAAGGCCTTTGTCTGCAGCCATATTAGAAGACCAGCAGCCATTAACCAAAAAGCAGAAAGTCACATCCTCACATTTCATCTAAATTAGATTAAAACAATGTAATATCAGGCTGTTAAGAAGGCGATCCTGTCCTAACAGTACCCATCACCACCAGATAAGGAAACAAATCTTAAGACGGTTAAAGAAAACTTTGTTTGCTGGAATTCTGTTTGGCAAGAAATCACTTATCAACAAGTTGTAGTTGTAAAATCCCTAATTCTTTATTGTTTTGCCTTTATGGTCCCCACTTCTCTATTGTTTATCTGTATGGTCTCTGTCTGGTTCTTTGATTGTTTCTGTCTGTTAAATAATTAATTTTTCTAGGGGTAAATCAATTAAGATGGTGGGGTGTGATTAGTTGAAGAATTATTTTACAATATGTTAGGATTAGTTAGAAAATTGTTTAGTAATAATTTAGTAAAATGATTGGTTAAGGTACAGCTAAGCAAGACTCAAGTTTCACTATATAAACTGGGGTTCAAAAGGAAGTTCTTTGGAACCCACTCCAGGACAGCCCCAAGACCAGAGCTGCCAGACCTCAACACCCTGCCAACCACACCATACAGAGCAGAAGCTGGAGTGACCCCAGATGACCTGATATTGACTGGCCATCAAAAAAAGTTCATCTGCCTTATTGGGAGGGGTGAGCATTGTATGCTTAACATGTGCGTTCTTTTTTGGTAATCATTTTTAAATAGGAGGTTAAGGATATTACTGTGTAAGGCTCTTTCACTGGTAAAAGACCCCACAAACCTGCACAGTGTAACCCTGAGCCCATGGAAGGGTAAGGGTGGGCGCTTAAATTAAGAGGGTTACGCCTTGAGCCCATGAAAGGGTAAAGGTGGGTGTACTAGAGCATAAGGTTACACCCTGAGCCCTAGGAATGGGGTAAGGGTGGGTGCCTAAATTAAGAGGGAGCCCCACCTTGAGCCCTAGGAACTGGGTAAAGGTGGGTGCCCGTAGAGTATGCGAGTAATAGAGAATTTTGTGCAGGTAACACCCTGGGCGAACTTGTATTTTGGCACCGCTGGCCCCTGCTGCCTCCCCTGACCCTTCATCCATCCCCCAATCACCACAGGCCTCCAATTCTTCCCTTAGCTCCCCACCCATACGCCCTGGCTCTCGCTGCTTGCCCACGCTCCCCATCCCCCATTATCCCTGGGCCTCGCTGCCTCCCCCCACCCCATTGCTCCAAGCTCCCTTCTATGGCCTCACACCTCAGGCCTGTCACACTTCTTGACCATGGCATATCCCTGACCACGGCGCCCTGGGTGCTTGCCCACATCACCCATCTGTAAGGTCGGCCCTGTTTGCACTGCCAAAAAGCATGCCACCTGCTTTATTTTGCAATTTCTTAGTTTTTAAGAGTAACTCAGTTTTCATTCACTTAAAAATAATTAACGTGATATTTAAACTATGTAGTCCTGAGGGGCAGAATGGAGGAATTAACAATCAGAATAGACAACAGAACAGCTGAAATAATGGTTCCTTCTTTGAGTTTTCATCATCTCTGTTGATCATTTATTGGTCCCTAGGCATGAATTCCCAGTGCCAAACACTCCTAACTCACTATATAACTTGCAGATGACATTTTTCTTGGCAGCTCTAATATAGCTTTTGTGATTAACTTGGCTTTTTTTCTCATTCCTTTTGTTGCTTTACACATTGTGCATACACAGTATGAGCTGGCCACATTTGACTGTACATGATTGCTAATAAAACATAAAGCAATAGGAAAATATTTTCAATATGAAAAAGCAATTTCTCAAACAATTAAGTCTTGTTCCATTTCAGAAAAAGGGATTTTTAGTGCTTATTATCAATTAGGATTAATTCTGTTTAAAAATCCCTAAGTGATCGTAAACTCAGGGAGCTTGTTTAAAAGAATCATGGCAGCTTAGTCCCAAAGACAATAGCAACACATTAGTGGTTTTGAATATTAAATGAAATCCTGAAAATATGTAGTTCATGAAATATGAGGGCAAAATGCAGTCCTGATTTTAGAGGTTTAGCTAGACCACCAAACTCTGAATTATCTACTTGATGTTCCCAACAGCCAGTTGGGTCAGTGGGGTTGCTTAGAAGTAACTTAGAGAAGCATCTGTTCCTAGTCGCTAGTATTGAAATCCTCATTTTATTAATACTCATCACTGTTTGTTTGTATCCTGTTTAACTCATATGAGTCCAGCACTCTTTTTTAGCCTTTTCCGTTTAAAGGGAGGAATTAATGTTATTTAATATATAGGCCTCAAAGAGCATTGCCAATGTACATCTGTTTTTGACATTAAACTTAAGGGACAATCTTCAGATGATGTAAACTGTCACAATTCCACTCACATCAGTGGTGCTATGACAGCTTAAACAAGCTGAGGATCTTACAGGAGGCTATTTTTTTCTGCCATTTCCTTAGCATCAATGGCTAGTATATTCAACTAATGTCCTGAGTATCACACAATGGATTTATAATATGGATTTATAGCATGGGAGTTACTGAGTTTAAACTCATATTGCTGCCATTTCTTATTCCTGATATGTAAAATCAACAAGTGTCTCTTTTGAACTATTTATATGATTTAGTATGGAGGAATAAAAATTGAGAATGACAACTAAGTCTGTAACATGCATTTATCTTCACAAAAAAGGGACACTGTTAGATTAACAGTCCTTTAAAAAGAAAAGAAAAAAAAGCTTCCTCACCTGTGTTACAAGTTATGAACTGAAAATGAATTTTTAATGTTCAATTTACTTGTCTCTCAGTTTGGACAATGGAAAGAGACTAGTAATATTCATCCTGGATTATATTCAAATTCACTTTCTGGTTCTCTCACACAAGCACAATGGTGCAATGTTTTGATTGCAAATTCTACCGGAGAATGTATAAATCCAAATATAATTAGATTTTTTTCCATGACAACCCTGGGGTAAGTGGGTACAACTGCATTTACATCAATAGAGTTACTGCTTTCAAGGTTTTACAGAACCTAAGGAAAACAGAACCTATATTTGCATCCTACAGTGCCCTTGCAGCCTCCATTCTTGTTTGCAATATATCTTTTGCTGGGATAAATATAGCTTTCACCAAACAATAATACAAACTATGATAAACAATAGTTACATCAGGAATGATATCCTGGAATTTGATTTTGGAGGACAAAACAAAAACTGTGGTTTATCTATGCTTGTGTGACAGCTGAACCCCATGGCTACACACTAACCTTGCTTTTGCAATGGTAAGAGCCTTTTCTTTGGCTATGTTGTCAAGCTGGTTGAGATTTCTGCGCAGGTTTAATATCCGAACTCTGTCTGCATACTTCATGGTCTTATTATTATTGTTATTACCATTGTTCATGTGGCACTCCTGGCTTTCCCTTTAGATTGGAAAAAAAAAAAAAAAAAAAAGACTTCCACTGTGACAAATGATTAACCACTGTGACACTGTTGAGGCGTTTAAATAGTTATTTAGGGTATACGAACACACACTTACACTCTTTTTCCTTCAGTTTTTAAAATTAAGTTTCCATCAGAAATATGAATGTACAGTGAGCATAAAAAACAAAACAAACAAAAAATGAACAAAATCAGCACTAAAATCCTTGTTATGCAGATGTAAAGCAGAGCTGAACTTCAAACGTGGGAAGCTGATGTCAGGCGCACAAATCCATATTTAGGGAACTAAATAAGTGACCTGATATTCAAAGATACTGAGCATACGTAGCTCCAGTTGACTTCAGTGGGAGCTGTGTGTGTTCAGCACTTCTGAAAAATCAAGCCATTTATTTAGGCACTTTTAGGCCCCCAAATTTAAAATTTTGTCCTGAGCCTGTAAAATTCTAGATCCTTGGACAGTAATTCAAAGCCATCAAGGGGACATTTCAGACTTCCTTAAAATGTATTAAAAGCAGTACATTAAGTGATTCATGTCCCACTGATTTAATAAACTATCATTCAGGTCTCATGAAGTGTATAGAGAGCAATACATTTGGTGGTTCTTTTTCTTAATTATTTCAATGAACTTTGAGTTTCAGTGCCTATGGAACTGAGAACGTAGAAGTCTGCCTATAGCTAAGCATATGTGAGATGCAAGTTTCCACATGCAAACAGGCTAATGGACCTTATTCCCTGATCTTCATCACTCCTGCTATCCTCTTGCCAGCTCACTCCTGGGAAGAGATTAACAATCTTGTCAAACCGGGCCTAAGAGTGCTTTGATCAAAATGAAGCAGCACCTCCATTGGACCATGTTTAAACCACCAGACTCATTTTCACATGTGACCTGTGTTAGATTTTTTAACTGTGGTCTACTGAGATTTTAGTAGTATAATAATCTGCTGTACCGCCTATTTGCAGACCCAAAGTAGCATTAGTACAATTATATTGATGCCTATCTGTTCAACAACATGTGACCCGAGCCTGGTGTTCTTACACAAACAAAAGTCTCACTTATTTGCAGATCCCAATAAATTCCATGTGATAAATGTGGCCCAAAATTTGTCTGCATCTTACCATTATTGTCTATGCCTTGCTGCTTTCCATTACTAGAACAGCTTTGTCAGAAAGGCCTACAAGTCTTACTTCCTATAAAGAAATCCAGTGTATTCTTGAAGTCCCGATAAATAAATCTTCTCCCACAAAAAGCAAATTAAAACCATATAAGAAATTACCAGCATAGTTGATGACTGAGTATACAAATTACTCACCCACTAGAATCAAAGTCCTCTCCAACTCCTTCAGAAGCATCCTTGCTTTTGATTTTATCATCTTCCTCTGACTCTTCTCCAGTCTTGTGTCCTAACAAAAATTAAAGAAAAACAACAGTTTAATAAAGATACTTTGGACATTAAAATGTACATTTCCTGCCAAGTCAAAACACGACAAGCAGCACGGAGATGACATCTTAAAAGCTTTATTGCTTTATTGCTGTGTATAATCAAAAACTTCTCGTCACAAAATACACATAAAAGCAATTTTACACCTGGGAAATAAAACAGACAAATGCTCTCCACCTTCATTACAGAACTGTCATTGACGATCAAATGTAAGTGCTATAAGAAGAAAGTTTGTATTCGCCAAATGGAATTCAGGATTTATGGATCATTGATAGGTTTTGGCAGGCAGTATAATAAAATGCTGTCAACAAACACTAACCTATTCTACACTGCATTTATATATTTTTCATTCTTCTAGCTTGCTGCAACAATAATAGAATGATTTCTCACTAAATATTTATGTAGTCTCCATGTACCAGGATGATGATGAAAAAATAAAATGCTTGCCTAAGAAATTTTTCATTTTAAGGTCAGTACCAGCACTGCACTCTGAGTAATAATTGGTAATAGGGCACAAAAATAGAAAAGAAGGTTGCATCCAGTAAAATATTTGTATGCTGTCCTTGTGTAATACTAAGGAACTACACAGTCAAACCCTGATTAGCGCGGTCAGTATCTCTGTGAGCAACTGTTTGATTTGAGAAGTAGAGGTACTGGGGATAAACAGTGAAAGACTAGATTATAATTAGGTACACTGATATAAATCTGCAGTAACCTCATTGGAGTCAATGGAATTACTCTGGATTTATACCAATATAACTAAGCTCTCAGTTTGACTCCAAATCTATTGTGTGGACTGTACTGTATTGTACTGTCTCAAAGAGCCAAATGAGTAGGTACATTAATATGTCAGCATTTGTAAATTAGCAAAATATTTCACCTTTACCTTTCGGTTGGTTCGCCACATTCCAGAACTGATCTGTTACACTGTCGTTGTCATCTTTTTCTTGTTCCAAAAATGGTGTAGCAGCTGTCTGTTCCTTTTCACAAATATCAAAGAACTCAGTATCTTCCATACTGGCAATTCTTTTAATAGAATTCAGCTACCAGAGGAAATAATTGGTGTATGAATATTCCCACTCTACACACAAATGCTGACTATATTTTGAGATGAACTAATCACATTTGATCAAGCAGATATTTCATATATGTGAAATAATTGGCTACAATTTAACATTTAATTACTAGCTGCACACTTTGAGTCTGGATTTTAATGGATCTCTTAAAGAGAAAACTAGGCCATTTCCAGCGTATTTTCCTACCATAATAAGGTCAACAGTGACATAGTGCTTCCAGTCACATTTTAACCCAGTGATTGCTAGTTTTGTGAGAAATGTCAGGTGTTCTATATTAATTCATTTTTATTAATATTCAAAAATATAATTTCACTCAGCAAGCTATTTATGACAATTGACAAGAAAACAGATTTTTAGCATAGGTTTGCTTCATTTAACAAAATTATGTACAAAAAATGTATGAAGATAAATCAGTTTAAAAAACATGGAAATGTACCTAACAAAAACATCATTTAGGTATTATAGGGGCCAAATCCAGTTCCCAAAGAAGTATATGGGTGTGAATAGAAATAAAAGCAGGGATATTCATAGTGCATGCATCTATCATGTGTCCAGTACCTAACGTCTATAGCAGGGATGGCCAACCTGTGGCTCTGGAGCCGTGTGCGGCTCTTCAGAGGTTAACATGCGGCTCCTTGTATAGGCACTGACTCCAAGGCTGGAGCTACAGATGCTAACTTTCCAGTGTGCTGTGGGGTGCTCACTGCTCAACCCCCTGCTCTGCCCCAGGTCCTGCCACCATCCACCCTTTCCCTCAAAGCCCCTGCCCCTTCCCCGGAGCCTGCCAGGCCCTCGCTCCTCCCCACTCCCCACCAGAGCCTCCTGCACACTGCAAAACAGCTGATTACGGCGGGTGGGAGGCATGGGAAGGGAGGGAGAGGCACTGATTGGCGGGGCTGTCGGTGAGCAGGAGGCGCTAGGGGATGGAGAGGGGTAGCAGATGGGGAGCTGCTTACATATTACTGTGGCTCTTTGGAAATGTACATTGGTAAATTCTGGCTCCTTCTCAGGCTCAGGTTGGACACCCCTGGTCTATAGGATGCACAATTAAGGTTCAGTGTTACAGTCTTTGTGAACCCAAAACATCCTATAAGTCAGTGAGAGGTTTCAGTCCACAAGTATTGCAAGAATCAGATTCTTAATGTTATGATAAAAACTAGGAGCCATTAACTCAGGTGGTGTACATTGGGGTAGCTCCATTGTCTTCAATGGAGCTATGCCAATTTACATCACTTGAGAATCAGGGCCTAGAGTTGAAAAAGAACAATTAGGTCATTTTACCCAACTCCTTTTATATACAGGAATTGTATCCTAAAATGTACAAACTAGTTTGAATCTAGTGTGCCATCTAGATACCACACACTGGTTACTTAATCTTTAATTGTAAATTTCCCTGATTTTGTGGATCTGAGACTTAGCCAGCCTCATTCTGAATGCACTCTCACCAATGTAAGCCAGGGAGCAATTCCATCAGAATTAAAACCTGTGTCAATGGGAGAAGAATCGGGTCCATCAGATTTAGTACAATTTGTGTTTGAATTACTACATAACCAGTAGAGAAAACAGTCTAATTAGTGGCATCGGTAAAAAGTGTGTCTATTATTATTTTATCATTTCTATTATAGCACTCTGTGTAAATTGTTTTTCAAAAATATCAGATATTTCATTACTGTTTGGATGAAGCATATTAGCAACTGAAAATAACAAACAATTAACATTCAACAGCACAATTGTTGTGGATTTTTAAACAGAACAAATCTGGCCCATTGTTTCACAGAGAGGGCAAAGTCTGTTTGCACAGTATAAGAGCTGTTATTTGCTGACTGAATTTCTCTATGAATTAAATATTAAAGAAAGCGGGAAAGAGGGTCAGACTCCCAGTTATGATCATGCATGTGACTGAACCTTAGGAAGCAAAATGGAGGTGAAGAGGGAACCAAGAGTAAAAGTTCCCATTTTCAAAAGTGACTCAAGCACTTAGGGTCAGAATTATAAAGATACTTAAACATCTAAAGATGCATAGAAGTGCCTAGTGGGAATTTTGAAAGCACAGAAAGCGATTAGGTGCCTAACTCCCATTGAAAATCTTACTTGAGGCCTAACTGCATTGTTCGGTGCCTAAATACCTTTAAAAATCTGACCCTAAATGCTTGTCATATTTGAAAATAGGACTTAGGAGCTCTTGAAAATTTTACCCCAACACAACAGCCCTCAAATTCAATAAAAATGTCAGGGTGAACAACTCACAGTGAAATATATATAATGTAAACAAATACCAAACTAAACAATGGCTTAAATCTATCAAGGTGCTGAACACTCTGGCCCCAATCCAGCAAAAAGCACTTAGGCATACATATACATTGAGAAGGATTTGACCCCTTTGTGCTAGTAAGTAACTTGAAAAAGCCTCAATGCTACCTCTATAGTACTAGAGCCAAAAGGTCTGCAGCCTTGTTCAATCTAGCCCTCTTAGGGTATGTCTGCATAGCCTGCAGCAGCGAGCCTCACAACCTGGGTCGACAGACTTGGGCTTGCTCTACAGTCCTAAAAGTAGCTGTGTAGATGTTGCGTCTCAGGCAGGAGCTTGTGCTCTGAAGCCCACCTCCCTCCCCAGGCTTCAGAGACTGAGCTCCAGCCAGAGGTGCAGCTTCAAAGCTCTGTCTACACAGCTTTTTAGTGCGGTAGCATGAGCGCAGTGAGCCTGAGGGAGACTCGCTGCCATGGGCTATGTAGACCTACCCTTATTCAGCTAAAATACTATTACATATGCAATGACAAACAAACAAACAAACCAACCCTGCCAAGTGTGACTTGTTTAGTCAAGGAGCTACAATAGCTGAGACACTGTAAGTGCTGAATATGATCTGTTTAGTCACACAGATACCACATGTGTGACATTTTAATAATGTACATACAGAATTTGCTGTGTGTGACATATTTATTCACAGATATAAAGCAGCTGCAACAGGTTTTGGCATGTGGTTAGCATGTTGTCAGAACAATTTATAATTTCCCTGGATCCATATAAATATTACAGTCCTATCCCACTGGTTCTGATACAAAGACAAAAATAACCCTTCCACCTTCGTGACACTTTACCAGTATAGAGTAGGCTCAGCTTGAGTCACTTCCTCATAACCTTTGTTTCTGATGCAGTTCTCTCACTGTTACCAGAAAATACTTCCCCAATGTTGATAAAATTTACCCACATTCAGTAAATACCTTGTGGCATTCACTTGGAGTTATTACCAGATGGTACATCATTAAGACTATTCACACAAAGACTTATGTGCTTAATTTTATGCACATAAGTAGCCCCATTGAATTCAACTGTATGTGCCTAAGTCTTTGCAGGATTGGGACTCAAATCAATTTGAGCTAAATCAATATAAGACAGTGTTAAACCCAAATAAGGGTTTTGTACTGGTTTAAACAAACTGGTTTTAAGCATGCCTTTTGTTAAAGTGGTAGAAGTTTGTGTGTAGACAAGGACTTATTAAACAGGCTTTGTGCTGGGAAACTATGCTGGGGTAGTGAGTGGGGGAATGGAACTTTCCCTGGTTGCTCCTTCAGCTGGGCATGCAGCCTCTGGGTCCATATAATCATCAGCCAGAGAGTATGGGTGGAATCCACCAAGCTACTTAGGTGCCTAAACGCAGATTTAGGTTCATGCATCCCTCACTGCAATCCCCAAAACTTCCACCAAACTCACTCACCTGGCACCTGGACATACACACTGCTCTCTCACTCTACATTCAAGGAGGAAGAAGAGGTGGTCATGGTGCCCACCTTATAACTTTTAGCCCAGTAGTTAGATCATTCACCTGAGGTGTTGGAGACCCAGATTCAATTCTCCCCTCCCTGGCAGAGAAGGTGAAATAATTTGAACAGGGATCTCCCACTTCTCAGGAGACTGCTCTAACCATGGAGCTATGGGTTAATCTAATATCATTCTCTCTTGTTTAAACTCTTCCACTTAGATAAATAAATAAAGAATAACTGGGCTGGACACAGAGCGAGAGAGAGAGATTGGGAAAGACTTTATAGTCCAGCAGTTGGGGCACCCAAATGGTGGGCAGCAAACCCTGGGTCAAGTCCCTCCTCCAATCACTCTTTATCCACAGTGGAAGAGCTTCAACAGGAGAGACACAGGGATCCCCACATCAGAATAGCCCATAGTTGAGTGGTTAGAGCACTCTCCTGAGAGGTGCGAAACCCTTCCTCCCTCGCTGCTGGGGGGAGAAGGGGTAATTGAACCTGTATCTCCCACATCCCAGAGCAATGCTCTAACAACTGAGCTAAAAGTTATAAGGTGGGCAGTAGCAACACCAGCTCCTCCTCCTCTGGATGTTTTGTGTGGAGCGAGGCAGGCACCTCTCTCTTTTCCTCAAGAAACTACATAGGTGCCAGAGCCAAGAGAGGGGTTCCCATTCATGCATCACTAGCAGAGTAATGCCTAGGGGCATTACTAGGGCAGGGCTTAGCAAATCAGCATCTCCCATTGGCTAGGTTAGGCAGAGAGCTGCCTAGTCTGCTGGCTTTTGTGGACTTCGTTTCCCAGCACCTATCTCACCTCATTCATCATATAAGGAACCTAGGAGCCTAACTCAGCCTTGTGGATCACAGTATGGTTCCTGTGATTTTCTAGGTGCCTAACAGTTAGGCACCATGACACACAGCACTGCAGTGCCTCAGTCCTTTTGTGGATTCTACATCATGTCCCTATCCCTCTACAATGGACTGTGAAGAGCCCACCTCTATCATGTGGAGGCAGCAGTGGCTGGTGTGACTACCTGATCACAGAATATCAGGGTTGGAAGGGACCTCAAGAGATCATCTAGTCCAACCCCTGCTCAAAGCAGGACCAATCCCCAATTTTTGCCCCAGATCCCTAAATGGCCCCCTCAAGGATTGAACTTACAACCCCGGGTTTAGCAGGCCAATGTTCAAACCTCTGAGCTACAGATGGTGTAGGAGTTCCTCCCTGAGCTGTGACTCACAACACCCCACCTTCTCACATAATGAAAGTACTGGAGTTTCCATGGCCCAAACCAAATGATGCTGGGAAAATTTCACCCTCTGTGAAAAGAGAAACTTGTGCTTTCCAGATGGGAGACTATGCTACATGTGGCAATGAAGGATAATTGGAGGGTCTGATCCAAAACCTATTAAAACCAATGGAAAGTCTCCCATTAACTTTAATGGGCATTGGATCAGGTCCTAACTGAGCAGCAACAAGAAATGATTTCAAAGAGATACCTAACATACACCATAAGTACAATAATAACATGGATAAGGATTAAAAACAGCATCAGCACTTTACTATAAAAAATTAGCATGACCTATTTTTATACCATTGCATGGAGGGGAATAATGCACAAAAAATGATCGTATTTGTACAGAAGGTTTAAAGAGTCACTGACACTTCATGGAAAACTTTGAAAAAACATTCTACGTAGAAACCATTCTGTTGCCATGGGCTGTATTTTCTTCTTTCTTGCATTCTCTCTGTTATTAAGATCACTTGCAAGAAAAGGTCTTTTGGTTATTCAACAGCTCAAAAATTTCTGCAGCTTTAACTCCACCTTGAACTCACAGGGCTGTATTCCTCACACCATTGGAGAATTTGTCCCATAAACCTCACTATTTGTGGCATCAGTCACCGCTGCATGAACTATGATACCATAAATACATTTTGATTTTAACCTTCAGATGAGCAACAGGAGCAAATAAAATAATAATAATAATTAATAATAAAAATAATAAAATAATTAATAATAATGCTGTGTGCTTCATCTGAGTACCCCAGAGCACTTGACAGAGGGGGGTGAAGTGTTACAAAGCTTAACAAAGAACGTGTTTTCCTGCAACATTAAACTGGGATCCTATTGTCCTCATGAGTAAAAAATATATATATATATATATATATATATATATACAGAACTTGTGTGATACAGAAATAAAATTGGTTCTAAATAGACCATTTTCCAGTTTTCCATGAAGTATCAGCTGAGGCAAAAGAGACTGAAGCTACAACCTAGTTTTGAGCGTCACAGTACATGAGAAGGTCATCAGATAATAACATGATGTCAAAACAGTACAGCAAAGCATTACAATACCATACTATACAACATAACACAACAATGTATCAAAAGGTCATTGTATTGGGAGGCAATATGAATACATTCTGACAAAACTTCACATTGTCAAGAATTAAGTCTAATTAAGTCTAATTTCTCTTGAAATGTGGCAACATAACTGATTCAATTGGGTCAAAATTTATTGTGATATGTTTTTGTACTAACGTTTTTGGTCTGTTTTATGCATAATCTATATTGGCGGATAATTCTTTAAATAAAATAATAAATACATGGGCAATGAAAGGCACGTAACATCAAAAGTTTCATCATATGGCAGAATAAAAGCTATTTTGCATCACAACATCACACTGCGTCAAAATGCCCACTTGATACATGACATTGGATCAAATATATTACAGCATATCACAACAGTGTCGTGCATAATATGACACAATACAGTTGTATCCATCATGCTGTGTCAAAATGCCACCATGGTGTTGCAAATATCTAATGAGATTGAGCCAAACTGTCACCATACAACATGTCACATTAAAATATCACTGTGAAATGGTGGGACACAACATGCAGTGCAACTATTGCGAGTGCAATAATCCTGCATCCAAGCATGACATTACCATACCGCAACCTGACATACCATCCTCACGTCATAACACTATCATGCTGTAGTGCGCTGCCTCATTATGTTTCACAGCTGCAGCCTGCGAGCATGATTTTGGTGAAGGACCTTATCCCTTTTGGCAGGGTAGGGAGAGCTAATTGCCCCATTAAAATCATGACAGCCCTGGACCACAGGAGCGTAGCGCACCCTGTGACATAACGCAATGGTGGCAGGACACAACACCTCACGACTTTGCAAATCTCGTGACAGTGATTTGGGGGAGGGCACGCGTTCCCTTTGCCAAAGCAGGGAGAACTGCTCGCCCCATTAAAATCACGACAGCCCCAGAACATAGGGGCATAGCGCACCCCATAACATGAGGGCATCAGGACACGACATGTCGCAACAGGGCACGGCTGTCCAGTCACAACACATCGTGACATTGCAGGGCTTGTGACCGTGATTTGGGGGCAGGGACTCGTCCCTTTTGGCAAAGCAGGGAGAACCCCCCCCCCCTAAAATCACAGCCACCCCAGAACACAGGGGCATAGCGCACCCCTGGAGGTAATGCAAGCGCACCAGGACATGACAGGTCACGACATCGGTTTTGGAGACAGGGCTCGCCCCCCGCTGCAGGACAGGAGGAGGCAGAGGGGCTCAGCCCCTCAAAATCGTGTCTGCCCCAGACAGTGTGGGCCCCAAAGCCCCCCTTCAGCTAGCGGGTGAGGCATGAGAATCAGGGGCTGCACTAAGTTCGGGCACCCCGGCAGAAAGGGGCAGGCCGGCACCTCAGCAATCCCCCAGCCATTGCGCTAATGGCACCACCCCACCGAGACAGGGGTTCAACTGCCACCAACGGGCGGCAGCAACCGACTCCCCCACCTACCTCCCCGAGCCGCGTCCCGCGCCCCGCGCCCGTTGTTGTAGGAGCCGCTAAGGCAACGGAACGAACCACTTTGGGAGAGCGGGGGGGGAGAGCAGGAAGAAACGTTAAAGCCTTAACCCTGCAAAGATGAAGTCCATCAGCCGCGTAACCCGCTTCGCTGTGACTCCCCGCGAGCTAACCAGCTGCTTGACTTAGGGAGGAGCCCTGCCGTCTTTGGGCTTCTGTGTTCTCCCCTCCCCCCCAAGAAATGGTACGTTCCAACAGTGCCCGAGGCTGGCAGGCCGCTCAGGGGATCGCCGTCTTCCTCCCAGAGCCTGAGCTGGGCCCGCCCCGCTCCTTTCAGCCCCGCCCCCCAGAGAGACCCACCAGGCAGGCTCCTTTCGGTGCCCCCCCCCAGAGGTCAACCCCCCCCCTTCAGTAACGCCCAACCCCCAGGCCATGTCCCTTTTAGTGCCCCCCCACAGGTCAGCCCCTCCTTCAGTGCTCCCCACAGCGACCCCCCCCCCCAGGTCAGGCCCCTTTCAGTGCCCCTCTCACAGGTTAGCCCCCCACACACACAGTGACCCCCCAAGGCAGGCGCCCTCCTTTGCCCACTTCCCATTAGCAGCCACCCTGTCTCTGCTATGGCATTCACTATGTCCCACTGCCACATCCACACCATGTGGTGTGATGGCCCCACAACACAGCTAAGTGGCAGCGTCGCTCACACACACTAGCCGTGGCAGCCCTCTGATCCCTACATGGGCGTAGGCACCATAAAATTGGGATTACCCCAGAACTACCAGGATGGGGGTGGGCAGCGTAAGGGTGGCAGATAGAGGAGGATAGGAAGTCAGGTGGTCTTGGCTCTGGGAGGAGAGTGGAGTCCAGTGTCTACAACAGAGGGGGACTGGGAGGCCTGGCTCTGGGAGGGGAGCAGGGCCTGGCAGTTTACAGCCTGGGTCTAAAGGTCAGGAATAGTGGACTCTCTTCCTGGCTCGGAGGGGATTAAGATCTGGTTAGAGCAGTGGAGAGTGAGTGCGGTAGTTGCAGCGGGGGCCTGGGAGTCAAGAGTAGCTTCAAATTTTCCTCAAACTTTTTTCAGTGAAAAATGGTTAAGTAAACATCAGTTTTCATCAAAAAATTCCAGAGTCTCACTTTTTTTGGATGAAAACAAAAAAAACTGTCTTTTTCTCAGGGGAAAAAAACCTATCATTTCCTTCATATCACTAGTCAGGTGTTTGTTTCTGGGCTAAGAAGGAAGCACAGTGTCAATAATGGTTAGAGCACAGTAGATGGCATTCCTGGGATTTGTCAACTCTAATTTGACCCTAACAATGTATATTTTGAAAAAACAAGCACAAGCTTTTACAAAACATCCTACAGAAATGTTTCCAGTCATTTGTTTTTTAAATTTCCACTGGAAACAGTTGTTTACATTGCAAACAAATCCCCTGCAGTGTTTACATTTTAACTTCCTAGTACTAAGCAGCAACATGTGAAACTGAGTGTAAAGCAAACGTGAAACTGACTTGATTGCTTTTCATAGGACAGGTATAGAGAAATTGATGTTTTAATAGTTTAAGTTCTTTGCAGTATATGATATTTAAGTTGGTCAGGTCCATTAAAGTTTTACAAAATTCCTTATATTAATATTGTGAATAGTCCTTTGAACTACACACATGCTTGCAGTTAAATATGTGAATATGTGTTTGCAAGATTACCTTGGTTTCCTAGGGAGGTTGTGGAAGCCCCATCACTGGAGGTTTTTAAGACCAGTTAGACAAACACCTGTGAGGAATGGTCTGTGCATACTTAATTCTGCCTTAGCACAAGGGGCTGGACTAGATGACCTATTGCAGTCCCTTCCAGCCCTACATTTCTGTGATTTCTATGAAGATCAGAGCCTTCTTGTAAGTTCTTCAGGGCAGGGACTATTTTTTACTATGTCATATGGCCAGAAGGGACCACCAGATCATCTACTCTGACCTCCTGTACATCACAAGCCACCTCCACCCAGCACCCACACACTAAAGTACAGTGCATTTATAGCAGGGCTCCAGTAAGTGCTACTGAAGTATAAATAATAAATTTAAAAATAATAATGGTAACAAAAGGTGTGCTTTAAATATGATTTTTATTCTGACAGTGTCCCTGGAACCTCTCTCTCCTAAAATTGTTCATCTGTGAAATGGGAATTATGATAATAATTGCACACATCCCAGAGTCTTATTAGGCTTAAATCATTGCTTGTAAAAGTACTTTGAAAATTAAGACCCTAAGAGTTTTAAGACAAGCAAAGTATTATTTAATATTGTTACAATTATTATTCTTTTTATTCAGGTGACTCCATAGAAATGCCCATCACATCTGTATCTTCACCTGTAAACATGTGGCTTGATCTTATATTCACTGGACAACCAAGAGTCCCACTGAATTGAATGGGAATCTTGGATACCAAAGGAATGTAATATGATTAGGGGCATGGAGCCCACATCTTCTTCCTTGTAACTCAGTGCTGAAAAAGGCACAGTGGATTAAAGATTCTAAATCAGTAACAAAATATTCTGCCCGAAATTTAAATTATACAAATACATTTAGTTTTTCAAAAGAATATTTTGAAAAATCAATTCCTAACGTAGCAGGTAACACAAAATTATTAACAGTATCAATAATATTCATATTAACAAGTATCCTTATGGCTAATTTGGTGCTGGTGAAAGTTGCTGGTTGGGCGTGCTGGAGATGGGGCAATGTGATTTAGCTATTAGGACACTGCACTGGAAGTCAGAAGTCCTGAGTTCTGTTTCAGGTTGTACCGCTAAGTTGCTGTGCACAAAAAAAAAAAAAAAAAAAGAGTAGGACTGCTGTTTTGCAAATACCTGTATGTGAGAGTAAGTTCATTCACATGAATAGTCCCACTGATTTCATGCATAAGTATTTGCAGAATCAGGGCCTCAGCTTAACATCTGCTGCTTATTTCATCTGCCCTTAACAAGAGAACATTCACTCTTTTTGCTTGAGTAGAATTAAAAAAGCTGTGGGCCACACACAGCTCTCAGTTACACTTCAGTAATATTGTACCAGTGTAACTAAGAGGAGAATTTAGTTCAGGACTTCAGAAGAATGGAGACTTTGTGTACTATCACAATTGTATTTAATTTAAGGCATAACAAACAATTTACAGGATATTATTGATTGCAAAAATATGGAGGGACAGTTTTATTCATGGCTGAGTGCTTGTCCTAAAGTGCCATTTTAATCATTGCACCATACATTATCTGCCTTGTTTCAATTTAACTTCAATTTACAGCAAATTGAAAGCAATTATAGGTAATGTGTTGGTCTTCCACCCCCCACAAAATAGGTAGGAATAGCTTTGTGAGAATAGGTTTTAAGTCTGCATACAGTTAACCACCATATTCAAACTATTCTTTATAGTTTAAACTGAAATGGTCTTCTGAGGTATGCAGTACCTGCAAATACATGCCGGACTTGTGTGGTTAAAGGTCTCACTTGTTTTAGGTGCTTTAGAACCCAGAGTTTAATGGGGCTTCTAATGCAGTTTAAAACTAAAATTAAAATATTAGGAATTTTCCCAACCAATTATTTTAAGCCTTCTGTTAACTCAACTTAGACTGATGGAGCTAAAGTGTTCTCAATAGACACATCTGAGGATACTCAACAGATAATCAAATTGCATAATTTCTTCAGTATATTTTATCTTATGCTATAACACACACACAATGTGTATCCTACACTGAAAAGCACAAAATAAATCCATTATCAGCAAATCCTTGGTTCTAAATTGTACCCAGATAAATAACCCAGAATTACAAAATGTGGATCTGATACTCAGCTAATATAAATCAGAATAAAGAAAAGGAGTACTTGTGGCACCTTAGAGACTAACCAATTTATTTGAGCATGAGCTTTTGTGAGCCACAGCTCACTCTGATGAAGTGAGCTGTGGCTCACGAAAGCTCATGCTCAAATAAATTGGTTAGTCTCTAAGGTGCCACAAGTACTCCTTTTCTTTTTGCGAATACAGACTAACACGGCTGTTCCTCTGAAATAAATCAGAATAGCTCTGATGTCAGTGGACAACATAAATTTGCATCATCTCAGGATCTGGTTCCATTAATACATAGCTCATGTTTTTGGGGTTTGTTTTTTTTTGCTTTTCTAAAATGTTATTTTATTGTTAGTATTGTCAGTTAAAATATAAGCTCCCATGTCAAAATGTTCATTTGTATTGAACATTTTTCTAGCACAAAAAAACAGCCACTTAAAAATACATAGACAATTACACTGAATGTACTATTTAGTTCATATATGGTGTGAAATAAAGTGATTTTATAAAAGTTAAGTTAAATTGCTAATCTATAAATACTGACCCAACGCTTTATACATTCACATCTCAGTTACTTTCTTTATGTAGGCTGTTTATTAATATGCTACTAGATGTAATTTCCCTGCCTTCCCTTAGTAAACAGTATTTATAGGGTCTGTATTGTTCTGTATATCACACAGTTTCTGTGGCAATAGGTAATTACCTTAAAGTCACACTGCTTTAATACTTAAACTAACTTTTGGATACATGGTAAAGGGCACTGTAGAAGCTATAAATACATAATCACATTTTGATAGTTAATGATATAGAAGAACATGAAAAGTAGCAAAAGACTAATAAAACAGTCAGAGTTCTATAGTCAGACCCATTCTGGAGATGCATAAGAATGGCTCCTCTCTCAATTTCAGATTGGCATCAGCCAATGATATATGCCCACTTGGAGATTGCGGCCATCAGCACACTGTGAGTAGCAGACAAACTCTATGCCCTTATCTTTACAAGCTGGCTGCCCTGGCAAACTGCTTCTTTTCTCTTTGTATGGCTTTGCCATCTAACGTCCCCTTCCTATAGGTTTAAGCTGGTATCAACTCTCTCAGTGTGATGTTTGGGCACCGGCTATGACATTTAAAGTGGATTATCCCACCTATGGTGCTGGTGTATTTATATGCCAAAGTCAGGTAAGTCTCTGTCTAGGCTAGAGAAATCTAAAGCAGGTGTACTTTACACCTCTGACA